ATGTAAAGATGACGCTTTTTATATAAAAAAAGGTCGTCTATTGTATGTAAAGATGACGCTTTTTATAAAAACCGTCTCTATTGTATGTAAGATGACGCTTTTTATAAAAAACCGTCGTCTATTGTATGTAAAGATGACTCTTTTTATAAATCGTCGTCTATTGAATGTAAAGATGATGCTTTTTATAAAAAACCGTCGTCTATTATATGTAAAGATGACGCTTTTATAAAAAAAATGTCGTCTATTGTATGTAAAGATGACGCTTTTTAAAAAACCGTCGTCTATTATATATAAAGATGACGCTTTTTATAAAACCGTCGTCTATTGTATGTAAAGATCATGCTTTTTATAAAAAATCGTCGTCTATTGTAGTAAAGATGACGCTTTTTATAAAACCGTCGTCTATTGTATGTGAAGATGACGCTTTTTATAAAAAAGCCGTCGTCTATTGTAGGTAAAGATGACGCTTTTTATAAAAAAAAACCGTCGTCTATTATATGTAAAGATGACACTTTTATAAAAAAACACGTCGTCTAACAATTAAGAGTTTATATATACTTTCGTTAAATATAACATAAGATTTTGTGGTATCCACTAGTGTAAATATTTTAAATTGAAGACAAAAATTCAGTCATTGTATTCATATAGGGTCAAGGAGTGTAGCTGTAAAAAATCATCAAAATCAGAGTTTAAAATAACCTTTAATCATGATTTTTCATTTATAACCGTTGAAATTTTTTGCCTCGTTACTTGATCTCTAAATGTTTATTTTTTCCGATTTTTGGTGTGTATGATCTCGAAGTATAAACAAACAAGTTTGACGGTTGGATCGTTGAAACTAGTTTCTTAGAATGCGTATGCCATCAAAACAATATATTCACCAACAATTAAGAGTTTATTTATACTTTCGTTAAATATAACATAAGATTTTGTGGTATCCACTAGTGTAAATATTTTAAATTGAAGATCAAATTCAGTCATTGTATTCATATAGGGTCAAGGAGTGTAGCGGTAAAAAATCATCAAAATCGGAGTTAAAATAACCGTTAAATCATGATTTTTCATTTATAACCGTCGAAATGTTTTGTCTCGTTACTTGATCTCTGAATGTTTATTTTTTCCGATTTTTGGCGTATATGATCTCGAAGTATAAACAAACAAGTTTGACGGTTGGATCGTTGAAACTAGTTTCTTAGAATGCGTATGCCATCAAAAAAAATATTCACTAACAATTAAGAGTTTATTTATACTTTTCGTTAAATATAACATAAGATTTTGTGGTATCCACTAGTGTAAATATTTAAATTGAAGATCAAATTCAGTCATTGTATTCATATAGGGTCAAGGAGTGTAGCGGTAAAAAATCATCAAAATCGGAGTTTAAAATAACCGTTAAATCATGATTTTTCATTTATAACCGTCGAAATTTTTGTCCCGTTACTTGATCTCTGAATGTTTATTTTTTCCGATTTTTGGCGTATATGATCTCAAAGTATAAACAAACACGTTTGACGGTTGGATCATTGAAACTAGTTTCTTAGAATGCGTATGCCATCAAAACAATATATTCACTAACAATTAAGAGTTTATTTATACTTTCGTTAAATATGACATAAGATTTTGTGGTATCCACTAGTGTAAATATTTTAAATTGAAGATCAAATTCAATCATTGTATTCATATAGGGTCAAGGAGTGTAGCGGTAAAAAATCATCAAAATCGGAGTTAAAATAACCGTTAAATCGTGATTTTTCATTTATAACCGTCGAAATTTTTTGTCCCGTTACTTGATCTCTGAATGTTTATTTTTTTCCGATTTTTGGCGTATATGATCTCGAAGTATAAACAAACAAGTTTTGACGGTTGGATAGTTGAAACTAGTTTCTTAAAATGCGTATGCCATAAAAAAAAATATTCACTAACAATTAAGAGTTTATTTATACTTTCGTTTAAATATAACATAAGATTTTGTGGTATCCACTGGTGTAAATATTTTAAATTGAAGATCAAATTCAGTCATTGTATTCATATAGGGTCAAGAGTGTAGCGGTAAAAAAACGTCTATTGTATGTAAAGATGACGCTTTTTATAAAACCGTCGTCCATTGTATGTAAAGATGACGCTTTTTATAAAAAACCGTCGTCTATTGTATGTAAAGATGACGCTTTTTATAAAAACCGTCGTCTATTATATGTAAAGATGACGCTTTTTATAAAAAAACTGTCGGCTATTATATGTAAAGATGACAATTTTTTTTAAAAAAGCGTCGTCTTTTAAAACACGCTAAAAAATGGCCGCTTAAGTGAATTCGCGCTCGACAAATTTCAAATTTTCACCCGTCTTTGAAAATCTTATCTCTCATTAACAAGGGTCGTCTTTTAAAACAGGCTAAAAAAAGTCTACTTAAGTGAATTCGCGCTCGACAAATTTTCAGATTTTCCCCCGTCTCTGAAAACCTTATCTCTCCCTCCTTGAAACCCTCCTGCACTCTCTAAAACACCCTCATGAAATTCTCTACAAAATCATCAAAAAATCGATATCAATAAGGAGTTGAGAGATTGAGGTCTTAGCAAATCCATAAGATGTAGAGGGATTCTGGATTAATTTGGTTGAAAGGTTTGATTTGAAAGTCACCTAATCTCTTAATACCCTTGTATATCTTGCTAGTGAATTCTGGATTAGTCTCTTTGCGTTTTTGTTATGTTTTTGTCTCCTTAATTTCATATTTTGTCTCTCACTACTACATTTTAGTCTTTGCGCGACGAAAGTGTTTTCGTCGCGCAAAAAACGATTTTAGTCGCACATCATTATGCGCGACAGAAGCTTCGTCGCGCACAATCCGTCGCGCAAAGGTCGTGAAGAAAGGATTTGCGCGACGAACAAATGTCATTCGTCGCGCAGTTTGCGCTACGTATAACATCTTCGTTTCAAAAAACATTTCGGGACGACCTCATTGTCCGTCGCACAAATATTTGCGCGACGAAACAGAGGTCGTCGCAAAAAAAACTGCGCGACGGAATTGTCCGTCGCGCGAACTACATGAACCTTGCGCGACGACATCTTATTCGTCGCGCATACACATCTTGCGCAACGAAATTACTCGTCGCGCAAGATTAAGATATATTTAAATGTTTTTGCGCGACGATTTACGTTTCGTCGCGCAAAAGCAATATATATTATTAAAAAAAATTTATTATTATTTGATTTTTAATTTGTAAAAAAATAAATTTTGTTTTTTTTTAATTAAAATGAAATTACAATAAAAAAATTAATCGTAAAGAAAACATCTATTATATAAAATAAAATAAATGTACAAATTGTAAAAGTAATTATAAAAATAAAAAACTAATCAAATAATGTTCCGAAATCTAATTGGTCATCTGCCACATGCGGCTCGGAGGTATGGGGCTGTCTGCAGGGGCCGTGGTGTGCTGGGGATGCTCGGGCTGGACGGGCTCGGAGGTCGAAGCACCAAAATTCGGGATTGGGAATCCCGGACCGCGCGAGCGACTGCAGAATCACCGACATCTGACCCTCAAGCTCGGCAACCCGCGATGTCAAAACAGTCACCTGACTGTTTGCCTGCGACGATGACCGCGGTCGAGGTTCCCTCTGTCGGGCATTCCCCATCCCCCTACAATACGTTCCCGGCCTCCTCCCGAGAGTCTGATCCAACGTCTGCGTCAAAATCTGAAATCCAGCATCATGCGGAGGATCCACAGACTCGATCGGAGTCTCGGGAGGAAGTTGGGAGGCGGACTCTTGAAGAACCAACTGGCTCCTCTCCACCATCGTCGTCTGTTTAACATTACATAAAATATAAATTCAAAAAATGCATATAAATTGAAAGTGTAACATAAGAATTAAAAATACATAATACTTACATGAAGGGACTCGGCCAACTCATTCCCAGGTCGAACATAAACGTCACCAAAAAAAAAAAAAAAAAAAAAAAAAAAAAAAAAAAAAAAAAAAAAAAAAAAAAAAAAAAAAAAAAAAAAAAAAAAAAAAAAAAAAAAAAAAAAAAAAAAAAAAAAAAAAAAAAAAAAAAAAAAAAAAAAAAAAAAAAAAAAAAAAAAAAAAAAAAAAAAAAAAAAAAAAAAAAAAAAAAAAAAAAAAAAAAAAAAAAAAAAAAAAAAAAAAAAAAAAAAAAAAAAAAAAAAAAAAAAAAAAAAAAAAAAAAAAAAAAAAAAAAAAAAAAAAAAAAAAAAAAAAAAAAAAAAAAAAAAAAAAAAAAAAAAAAAAAAAAAAAAAAAAAAAAAAAAAAAAAAAAAAAAAAAAAAAAAAAAAAAAAAAAAAAAAAAAAAAAAAAAAAAAAAAAAAAAATTGAAAGCAGTGGTTTCTTTCGTCGTCATCTCTTCTTTTTGAATGAAGTAGGGCCTAAAACCGTAAACACATTGATGCCGTAGTCAATATACAACAATATAATAGCAATATTAGGCCAATATACATCCAATAGAGAGGCAATTTAGGGCAATATAACAGCAATACAACAAACAATAGCCATCACAATATACATGCAATAGGGTGGCAATATGCGACAATATGTATGCAATACAAAGGCAATATGAGACAATACACATGCAATAGGACAAACACTATTAAGTCAATCTACATACAATACACACAACATCCATTACAGACTACAATTGACATGCAAAATAAATCGCACGAACCCTAACAATTCAGACTACATTTTAGTATCTTTAAATTGCGTCTAATAGTTTCACAAGCTGTTACATAGGTTTTGTTCCTATGATTCTATACAATGATTTTAACTAGAAAAACCAATTATAATGCGTAGTAACAAATATATATGCTCAAAATTGTTTTCATAACACTGGAAAATTCAATTGTTATGACATAGTCAACCAATCCTGCTCTATACATACATACTTCCTACCTAATAATTGTTATTACATAGGCAACCAATCTTTGCTCTATTACATACATACTTCCTACCTATAATTATAAATAATGGGAGAGATTCACAAAGTCTACTAATTTGATCTAACTTCATCAATTGTGTTCTGCGGGTATGAGTTAGCTCTCTCTTTCTGCACATTTCCAAGCTGTTTCATTCTCCTCCCGCGTAGCAATATCAGCAACAACAAGTATCTACATATCTGAAATCATAACTGCAGATGATCTCTAATTACACAAAGGGGAAAACCATTTCTTTTATAACTTTGGTTCTGAAATATATAACAAAATGCAAAGACCCTGCTTCTGAAAAGGAGCACAAAGTTTGTCAACCAATTCATAGTAAAAAAGAAGAAAACTAGTGAACCTAACCCGAGAAATGCAACCTGCAAAACCAAACTCCAACCAATACTTAACCACATCATTAATACTTGAGATTTTCTTCTCATGGATTATGATTAGAGGATTTTCCAATTCCTATCAGCACATACACAAGTTTGAAGATAATCAGCATCAAGACCTAGTTATCGCTGAGTCAAACCAAACTTACACATTTCTGATTGTTCTGGTGATGAAAATAAGGGGATATGTAGCCCCTGTCTAGCTTCATTCCCTTAACAACCTCCAACTCATTCTCCAATGTTTTCCCATCCTGCAAAATTACATAGTGTGAAGCTTACAGTTTTGGGTATCATTTAGGAATAAAAAAACTAAATATATATTATTTGCCCTCCAATATTTCTGTAAAACTTCATAAAGACCCATACATACCTCACTTTAAAAACAACATAAAAAGAAGTGTTATCATCCAGATTTCCGCCTTGCAATACGGTACACACTAATAGGCCTATGACAAATCTCCTAATACCAAATGCAAGAATCAATCGACAAAGAACAAACACATTTGTTGTTTCAACAAACAAAATCAATCCCAAACTTCATTTCTACACAAAATACAGACGAAATCAATACATTCCAATTTCAGTAATCAATTTCAATTAACACAAAACTACATATTACCAACAATTAATTTCTGGAGAAGCGTTTTGAAGAGGGGCATGTAAACCCAGACTCAAACCCCCAAAATTGGACCCAAAATGCTCAAACAATGGCCACCTATGCCAAGGCTGCCTGTCATATTCAGAAAAGAGGGTTTGTTGGGTTTGTTTAGTGTTTGCCAATCAGAACCCACAGCACTCTACCAATTGGAGGAAAGGACCTTAGGCCCTCCTTCCAACGCATTAGAGCAAAAGGGGTTTTCCATCAAAATTATACGAACTAATTGCTGTAGAGAATTATATCCATCAGAATCATAAGAATCAGTTAACACCATAGATACCACAAGAGATCACACATCATCGCAGAAAGCATAGACAGCTAAACAGGCTATCAATGTCACTGGACTCATTTTCGCATTCATCAATATATCATGTTTATATGACATCCACAAATCTCAGATCTTTGTACCTTGAATGCCCTGAAAATCAAAAGAATACACTTGTTCAAAACATTATAAGTTAAAACACGAAAGAATAAAACAGAAATAATAAAACGCGGAGACAAAAGTCTACCAAGGAAGGGAAAGAGATAAGCTGGAGGATATGACCTCATCAGATAGTGCCTCTTTGGCGGGCTTCTCTCCAAGAAAATTCACCAAAAACTGTTAAATCACAATTTGTCATACAGTTAACTGTGCATACAGAGAAATATGGCATATATATTTCATGCACAAGGCATAAGTTATGAAATTGGCCTTTAGAAGATCATGTACAATTTGATATAATAGCCAATGGATCACAGACAGGAAATAATAACCGACTGAAAATAAAACAAAGATAAGAACCAAGTGAAAGAAAAAACAAAGTAAAGAAAGTTTTTAAGTTTCAACAAAAGTTCACATAATGGAAAAACTCAATTCATGCTGGTAAGATTCAGATGTTCAATCAAAGAATAAGCAGGTACTGAGCTACTAGAGTCAATATGTGTTAACGTAAAGGGTCGGAAATGAATGTTTTTCAAATAAAAAAGTAAAACTTAAACATGTGGGAATAGAATGAAATAGTTATTTGCCTAATCCTCCAATTATAAATATTTAACTATTAATCTGGTAAGTACCAACCATGAGGACGACAAGACCACACAACGTTCTCAACAGAAAAAACAATGATAGCTACCAATCACTGGGATATTATTGTTCTGCTCGAACAATTTGATATGATTGAGTCTTGATGAGAAGTTTCCGGCAGCTTATCTCAGGCCACAATCTCTGTGCACTCAAGAGGAATGGGGAAAACTTGCGGCGGAACTATTTAACTTAAATATCAAAATGAATGCATAAGATCATTTTAAGAAAGAAAAAAACACGCACAGCCTCATTTTGGTGGTCCACTCTGTTTCCATCTAAATGGAAGGTGGTGTCTAAATAAACTAGGAATTTATTATTTCATTCCAGACATGCTGTTTTAGGAGTAAAGAATTATGAACCAAATTCATTTTCAATCAATAGATGTAAATTAGATACTCTGGATAATAAAGTTAATGATGTATCCTGAATTATATGGAAAATAAATAATGATATGAAAAGCTTAAACATGACTGAAATACATGTTACAATTCCAATGACAATAAAAGAAGCCACACAGACCTTGGACCTTGCTAAGGTATCATCCCGTTCAACAGAATCACGTATCAACAGAATGTGATCCAGCAGATCATTATGAGAACGCCTGACGTCATACAAGCTGAACATTGAGTGAAAATTGTCAAACTCTGTTCTAAGAAAACTAGCAAATAGAAGTATCAGATGTTTAAAGTTTTGCAAGTTACCTGAAAACTTTGGACAAGTGAGTACACAACGATTTGTAGGATGTTTCGGGATTTCTCTTCACATATGAAGGAATTGAACCGTTATCAAGATTGACCGCACCGTGTCCTCAAAGCTCTTCCTCGGCTAAGCCAATTATTTCCTTACAAAAATTTTCCTTGGAGAGTACTAAAACCCTAAACCAAATTCACAAAAACCCCAAATTTCAAAAAAAAGGTATATGAACAGTACCTCGTGGATGTCAACGGTGGAGTTACGCTTGGATGAACAGCCACCGCTGAGGGAGAAAGACGATTGCGTCAAAGAGAGAGAGGTACACGAGGGAGAGAGATGAGCCGAAGAGATAGAGCCAAGAGAGTTAGAGAGAGAAGCCAATTTCTGAAAAACTGATATGGGTACAATCAGTTCACAATAAAAATGTATTTATATGTGGTAGTTGTAAAAAAATTGGAAAGGGGTGGTATTTTTAGTTAAAATTAACAAATGGGTGGCATGGAGGTCATTTCCCAAATAATAAACCCCTCAAGCCCAGCTCAAAACAAATCTAATCTGCAATGATGAAGATCTGAATATCATCAAGTATTGATTAGGCTAAGTCAGTCGGTCAATACAGTATATTTTGGTGGACTCCGCCCTCTTGTTCTCCATCTTCTCCTACAATTAATTTTTTTTTTTTTAAAAAAAAAAAAAAAAAAAAAAAAAAAAAAAAAAAAAATTCACAAATACTCGTTAAACCCAACCCAAATGAATACCTCTCTCATGTTTTGCGTCTCTTTTTTCTAATTGGTCTTTTTCTTTTCTGGTAAATATTTCTAGAGTTATTAAGCTTAGTTATAATTAACCATCTTTATTGCTATTTATTGAAGACGAAGAGCAAGAATTGAAATATTCCTCAACTTCTACTATATCATAATTAAGAAACCTCGATCTAAATTAAGTAAATCATGAGAATCTCTCTATCAATTTCTTTTCATCACTCTATCCATTTAAGATATGATGAGTTGGGCAATCGGAGGAACCTAAAGAGTTCATTGGTCAAACATAGACAAAACAAGACAAATTTATAATTGGATTGGAGGAGCACGAGTGCGAACAAAGTTGAAACAATGTCAGTCTAACATGTCCAGCTTACTCTTCCGTATTGTTTTTTCTCGCTTTAGTTCAATCTTTGTTCGGTCGGCTGCAAATGTTTCTTTATTTTTAAAGAATTATGGCATCTGGGTTTGACTTTATGCATGTTTTTCCTTTTTTTTAAGTTGTAGAAAATAGAAAGATAAGTCACCAGATCTGAACTAGTTTTTAATCAGAGCCACTGACAAGATTGGATCACTGTGCTGTCTGTACTCAACGTGGTTTCCTCTGTCATCGTGCACGCTTGAGTTTTAATTTTGTAACATATATATATATAGAAATTTTTTGAGGTAGACATCCACAAGTTATTATCATAAGGACGTCATATATTTTGTACTAAGCTTTCTTGCTTTTCTGTCTGTTTATAATAGTATTCGCACGATAATAACATGCGGAGATCCGAATAAGAGAATAATTGTGTATATATATATATATTTTTTTTTTTGGAAAAAATAATTATGTTTTTTGGAGCATAATTTAGGGGGCGTTTGGTATCCTATTTAAATAGGGAACTCAAAAACTTTGTTTTTTCTTAAAAACAAGGAGTTCTCAAAGCTATTTTTATGATTCAAAAACTTTTTTTGTATGCAACTTGAAAACTGTTTTCAAATCTTAAAAATTTGAGAACTTGTGGGTTATTAGAAAAAAAAACTGAAAAAACATATATTTTTTGTTCTTAATAATTGGGCTGTTTTTTAATTGTTCTTGAGTTTGAGTTTTTAAAAATAAGGCTACCAAACAGATTTTCTTTGTTTTGAACTCAAATTCTGTTTTTGAATTTAAAAAGTTGAATTCAAATTCAAATTCTATTTTTTAATTTAAAAAGTTGTATTCAATTTGAATACGAAACATGCCCTTAATTTCTTTGTTATTCTTCGGCCTCTCATTTCATTTGATGCATATATAGATATATACTAAAAAGTTGTGGCTGTTGTTCACTTTCCTGAAATTATTTGAAAAAAGCGGACCATCAATAATATTTTATGCTTCTTGGCGTTGCCTGGTCTGGTGGTTGGTGACTTCGTGTTTCATGCACGCCTGTCCATCATATATTAATTTGGCTATTTTATTTGGTTGAATTCCAAAATTTTATTATTATTATTATTTCATGAATAATTGACAGCAGGATTGTAGCATTGCCCATGCATGATGGGATAATGTCAAACTTTTTCCCACTTTATTTGTACGGACCCCAAAGAAAACGGGTGCAAGGTGAAATTGATCTTCAAATTTGGGTTGTTTGAGTTGATGTTGGGAATGAAGAGTGGATAGAAACTGTTAACAATTATTTTTGGTGCTATTGGATGAGTGAGACACATTTCTTGTTTATAGAGCGGCGGGGTAGAGTTTGATATTTGGGAGGACCACAAGCTTAAAATTATGGGATTTTTTGTACAATCTATACTACACTCTTTATATAGTCAAAAGGTAATAGCTCCGCCCCAAATTGTGGTCAATAACAATTTGGTCACTATATTATAAAAGTTGACAAAAAACAACCACAAAGCTACAAGTCTTTACATTATTTTTTTTGCGGCAAGTAATAATTGGGTCATTATATTTTAAAAATTGACACCAAAAAAAAAACAACCACAAAGTTTCAAGTCTTTACATTATTTTTTGCTTACATAGATTGTAATGCCCTCAACCCAATTTAATCATTTTATTCAATTCGATTCAATTTATTTAATTGTGAAATTACAATTTTGCTCTTAGGGTAGGGTTACATTAGTCACCTTTCGATCCGTAAGGATTTTTTTGGAATTTGAGTAGCACTGTTGCGTAGAGCTCATTGATACGAGTTCGAAGACACGTTGTGGTCAACGGAAGTGTAGTGGCACAACCATAATTTTTTCAAAGTTGGATTTTTAAAAATCAGGTCAGCTTTCCCCCACACATTTCTCTCTCCTCCCCCAACACTCTTTCTCTCCGTTGCACTAGCCAAAATTTCAATCATCGATTTCGGTGCCGTCTGGCCACCGTTTCCGACAAAACAACTTGCAAAATCTTCCTCTCCTCCTCCTCTACATGACCTGACAATACCTACCCTGAATTTCTCAAAATTCACGACGAATTCTGTGGTATTTCTGACATCAAGCTAATGTCGGGCCCACTTACTAATACTATAACCTCTTTTCCAAACTAAAAAAAAAGGCACGAGACTTTCTCCCAAAGATTTTCAACATGTTAAAACACAATCATAATCACCCAACAGCATCATACACATGATAATAACATGCAATTACGTAATAGTCCTCCAGCCTTCAAATAATTCGAAACAGAACCACTAGCAATGCTCTTAAGTCAAATAATACATTAAACAATGCAAACAATGAACTCAAACAAATTTATGAATGCCCACTGTAATTAACATAAAATAACTTTCCAATTTCCATCATGTGATGTTTACCATCCAAACACAATCACAAGTAGTTTAAAGACTTGGCCCAAATCGTACATCAATCCCAAAACAGGTTTCATACATGTCTTGACCACAAACACATTTTAACAACCCTCACTTAGTCAAATTGGAAAATGCACAATCATTTAATCCCGCCTTGGTTTCAATCGAGTCTCAGGACCACTGACAAAGTCAGAACCAAACTCATTAAAAACAAAAGAAGTAAGACTAGATCCAAATGACCAAATTAAAGTTCCATAAATAAAATTTAGTCTGCAGCTGCACCTAGGTAAAACCTCAGGCTACCTACGTACCTCTTTGTGAGAGATCAAGCCACACGTAGTTCTTATATCAACTATCACGACTCAAATAATATTCGATTATATCAACCCACAAGCTGGAAAATCCAACGCCCTGTGTGGGTATAGTGACAAGGAAAGGTACATATGATGGTAAAGTTCGTAACTCTTATATAAATATTATACAAATAATATTCCCTTCCTTAATTCAATTTTCGCAAATATTTATTCATAGTATAGAAAATAAACTCTCAAACATATATATTCTATACATACCCAAAATAATTCAAATAGAAATTAAAACTTGTTTATACTTAATTTTCTTAAAATACTATATTCCACAATTAAAATAATAGACTTTCGTAAATAACCCGATATCACTCAATCCATATACTTTAATAATAATCATAATAATATTAAATAATAACAAATAATAACTCTTAGAGATCCCATATCTCATTATCCCAAATTAAATCAATTTTCAACCAAAACTCATTTATGAAAAAAAATTTCATATTAGAAGAACAAAGTACACTTAAAATCAAACGTCCATTTATTGCTAATAATCATCGCCGAGACCCAATACTCACTTTCACAACTTATCAATCAAGTATCCCAAGTTATCCACTCCATAACTTCAATTATCCAACTAATATACAAGAATTTCGTATGATACTATAAAACAATCCCATAATCCCTACATAATCAACATAGCTCAAAAAACAGTCAAGACTCGTTAATGAGGTCATTCTAGTACTCCTCGAAGGGTGAAACTACCTCAGAAGACTCACAGTCAACCGAGGGGTCAAACTGTCCAAACTTGGTAAACCGGACCCGCGGGGCCCACGACCTCCAATTTCCAATCCGAAAGTTCCTATTGGTTCAACAAGGTTTATTACACATGTTCTACAAGTTTGGTCTGAATCGAATGGTTGGATAGCTTGCGATCGCACGATTGGACGGTTATCATTTAACGCAAATATTAAGTCATTGAATCGGAGTATCGAGGACTCCGATTCACGATCCGCAAATTCCTACACGATCCTAGAGATGCCTATATCAACATATATTGAAATGAAGTCGATCCAACTGTCCGAACATATCTAATCCGGATAACGTTTAATATGCGATATTCGATCGACAATCAAACAATAACCAAATTCAAGTCCGAGCATATCGTTGTGCTCAAGAAGACATGAGAATTTTTGTAGGACTCAAAGATTAGTCACAAAGTGGCCCACACGCCGCCATACTTCCTGGCAGCATGTAGGTGTCCAAAGTGATTCTGGCGATCAGAAAATCTCCAAACTGCCTGTTAAGACTTATACCTACAAGATCATGACATTGAGTGGAGCAACTTTTGTTTTTGGACCAACCCCAAAAGATGGCCAGAATCGCGAGCCGAAAACAGGCCAGATTTCAATCGCTAAATCGACAACCAAAACGCAAAAATCGATCCTAAACAACCCAACCAATAGCAAGAACACATTGAGAGGATGAAAAAGCATACCTAGATAGAACAAATTGGTAGCCGAAAACGTCCGAAGGAGCTCTGAAAATTATGGATTAAAATCGGCCAAATTTTTGTAGTTTGCCGGCGATACCCGCTGTTCTAGTGGCAGGGAAAGGTTGGGATGGAGAGAGGGGAGTGGCCCAGTTCGTTTGGTACTGTCATGCCCCAGACCCGAGGTTCAGTGGAAACTCCGTGCCCGGTACATGAGAAATAAAAACTAAAATAAAATAAAAAGAAGCCGAAACATGGGTTTAAAATAAACTTTTCTTATAAAAATAGCTCCAGAATCTTACAACTTTACAAGAAATAAATAAAGCTCTATCATTCTCATCTAATTCAGCCTCAACTGGTTTAGTCCTTGACTTGCCCACTAATTCATTTGAAAAATTAAACAGGGTGAGGGATGAGCAACCACCGCTCAGTAGAGACATGAGACCTTACCACAATATATTGATATAATTAAATTAAGTGACATTCAATCACACAGTCAAATATCACATTAAAAATAATAATAATGCATGACTGCTCTTAATCTACTCCTGTTAATTCATATAACTGGACAAGTAGACCTGCACGTCCTATACCATACTTATACCACTTGATCCTGAACGCTCATTTATATGAACTAACACCTATTTCAATCATCCCATAATTTCTCTTTTGTTAGTCGTCTTGTCTACACCATTGATCTCCAAGCCCAAATCACCCAATCGACAATTATACCGCCAATTTCCTAGTCTACTGTGCACATGGGCTCGCCTGGACTTGGTCCCTATAATTGTCAGACTCAACTACACAAAAGATCCTTCCCATTACCCTTTTTTTTTCATACTTTCTTTATCAACCCAAGAATTCCAACCATCACTGATAACATATGATCATGTCAATATTAATAAAATGATATAATGATAATTAACAAAACTTAAACACCCAATATCAATAATAATATCATGTATAATATATTGCTTATGAAATTTAATTAGATCAATCTTTGTAAAAGGTCACCAAGAAACCCCTACCTTAAATCCAAAGCTATTGTATAACTCCCAGTTGTAAGTCCAAACACCTCGAGTTCCTTCAACGAATTTCTTGTTCTACACCTTCTAATATTTCTCCTCTTCTTTCCTCTCTCTATTGCTTTCTATCATGCATTACCATGCATGCTGTTTAAAACAAGTTAAGGGCATTGGTTAAAAGGCGCCAACTTGATGGTTTGTGATTGGTGGAGTGTAGGTTTGATGATATGCTTGACTTCCTAGATTATCCTACTTTCTTCTTATGCCAACAGCTCATGCTTTAACCAAAAGCTTAGTCATCTAGGTAAAAGTTTAGTCATCTAAGTTTACACCTGTGAATAAACTAGAGTGGTAAGTTTCCTCTATGTAAATATCTTTGTACGTGGCATCACTTAAATCAAACAAGTAGGTATTCTTTTACTATAGTACTATTCCTAATAATTATCATGAAAGTAACAATTATGTGGTCAGATAATTATATATATATATATTAAAAATACAGGGTTTCACAGGTACCGGCCTTGTGGCCAGTGGCAGTCGGAAACCATGGCGATGGCACAAAAGGTCGTCGGTTGTACTGTTGGGGGGGTTTGTCGTGTGAGCTGGAGAGAGAGAGAGAGAGAGAGAGAGAGAGAGAGAGAGAGTTTCTGATTTTATTAAACCCTTTTCGAATTATTTACGATTTTGCCACTATGTTTCTTTTGATCGTAACTTCTTCGTTACAACTCCAATTTGAGTTCACTATGTGTCTTCGGACTAATCTCGGCACGATCTACGTCATAGTAGCATTCATTTCTTCAAAATCCTTCCAGATTAAAAGTGACCAAAATACCCATACCCCAGGGACAAAATTGTAATTTCATAAATTATTAAATTACTTTAATTAATGAATAATTAAATTTTGGGTTGGGATGTTACATGACCCACCCAAATTTTCCTGTCAAAAACCAGCCTAGCACCATCGATTTCGAGGAGAAAATCCTGCCAAAACTATCTTCGACGCTGGCGACTTTTTCGGCCACCTCTAGTCATGCCACCACTTGTTTTGAGGCCAGGTAGTTCCAGTCAAAACCGTTTGGTTTCGGTTTCGATCTGGCTAGCTCCGGCCACTTTTTGGTCGTGGTCCAAGAACAAAAAATGCTCCCTTGTTAGTCTGAATGGTTTGGTACATGTTTTTTTGGGGTGATTTGAGAAATTTCTATCGCCGAAATATTCTCAAGCCACCCACGCACTGCCAGCGCGTGTGGTGGAGTGGGCCATGGAATGGTAGCCCATTATGTTTCAATTTGATCCCTTTGTCATCCCAAGCATGATGGTATGCTCGGATTCAAATTTGGTTACCGTATGACAGTCAAATGGATTTACGCATATTAGGAAATATCTTGGTTCGATATGTTCGGACCGTTGGATTGGCTCCATTTCCAAGTATGTTGTTCTTTGTACCTCTAGGATCGTATAGGAACTCACGAATCGAGAATCGGAGTCTCGGATACTCCGAATCAATGATTATAGGGTTAGATAAATCGGTGACCGTCCGATCGTGCGATTGAGAGTGATCTGACTGCTCGATTGAGACCAAACTTGCAGAATGTGCTTAGTAGACTTTGTTGAACCCGTAGGAACTTTCGGATCAGAAATCGGAGGTTGTGGTTGACCAAATTTGGGAAGTTCGACCACTCGGTTGACTGAGAGTCTTTCGAGGTTATTCCACCTTTCGAAACGCGTAGTTGGACCTTAGAAACTCCCCGTTCATTGTAAACACACTTGGAGTCCTGAGAAAACTAGGAGTTTGTTATAAAGTTCTTGTTCGAAGTGCTTTATTTAATCCAGTCCTTGTGTTCTTCAATAGGTACTCAGGCTCAGCATGCTCAGCAAGCAGGACCCTCTCAGGGTCAAGCAGCTTTGGACTTTATGTGAGTGGATTTTGTTTTTTAATAATCATTATTTTCAAAGGTGGAATGCTATGCATATATATATATTGGGATATTTTTTACTGTTGAAACTTTAATATTGTTTTAATATTATTTTATGGTATTTTATGGAATCGTTGGTATGTTTTTGGGATACTTGAAGGTTGTGTTTATTTTGGGTTGACTTATTTTTATCTTGAGAGCTATTATCTATACTTTGATTATGTATAATTTGGTATTTGTGTTTTGGACACAAGTGATGTCCGGTTGTCTAGAGATACGTGTTGGGTACATGGGATTGTTGGAAAGTGGTTATGGAATGAGATTTGGGTTGTGGTTTATGTTAGTTTGGAGTGTGTTGAGGCCCAAAAAAGTCACGGGAAGCCCAAAGACATTTAAAGCGTAATATAACATATATCGTCAGTCATGCATTAATCCAAGCTGTATTTTGGGATTTAATTCATTAAATAAATATAGAAATAGCATACATGCCATGCCAAACTAATAATACATTTTTCTCATGCCTATCACTTATCAAGCTCACATGAACCCAAGTCATGTGGTTTACGGGGCTTGCATGAGGGATTGTGGTGTGGAAGGTTATGGAGGTCCACAAGGCCCATGGAAGCTCTTGGATAATGGAGACTTTGGGCTAGCTACTTAGGAGCACCAAAGTCCAAGCCCATTACTTAGAGTTCTCCAGTGTGGGTGAGCAAATGAGATATTTTTTAAGCACTTCCTTTTACCTATAGGAAAGTCATTTTCCAAATACCTAGCTTTACCCATTGGAAATAAGCATTTTCCAGCACTTCTTATTACCCACTGGAAACAAGCAGTTTCCAGTGCTTCCTTTTACCCATAGGAAATAATCAGTTTATGATACCTAGCTTTACATGCTGAAAAATAGCATACCCCAATACTTCCTTTTAACCACTGGAAATAGGCTAGTTCCATCACCTCTTTTTACCTATTGGAAATAAAGGAGAGCATTCACCTTCTATAAATTAGGAGGCATCACTCAGCCAAACCAACCCATCTTGGTTGTTGCAAGCTTCTCAACAACCATGGAAACTAACCTTTCTTTAGCTACTGCAAGCATTCCAGTAGCTACCAATTTTTCTTCAACCAACACTCCTCACTCGGCTGCTGCAAGCATCCCAGCAGCCATCATCCCCTCTTGGTTGTTGCAAGCTTCTTAGCAACCATGAGAACTCACATTTCCTTAGTTGTTGCAAGTATTCCAGTAGCCTTCACAGTCATTCCTCAGCCATCACAACCATGTCTTCTACTTTCTCACTCTTGAAATCCATCATCTTCTCCATAAGGCCTCACCAAGCATAACTCCAAGCTTTTTTCTTCCTTCCAAGCTATAAACACCATAGCCTTCAAACCTCAAGCTTTTCCTCTCATCCTCCTTCTCTTGAAACTCTCAAATCCCCATAGCCATAGCCACAAACAACAGATTATCAACACCCAAACTCAAGCATATCTAACATCAAGCCAAGCAGATGCATTCTCATTTGCTAAACTTACGGGTCTTTAGCTCCCACACTCTAAGCTCTCATGCCAAGCCTAGTAGTACCTTGATTCACAAAGCAAACTCTCATGCCAAGCTTGTGCAACATCAATGCACCATTTTCAACTCTTCGTCAAGCTGCCGAAAACATCAGCACAAAACACGCAGCCGCTGGAAGAAGAACAAAGTACTCCCATGGGACTTGCTTCTCCCTCGGGGTACTTTGGGCCTAGTTCTTGCTAACTCAGAAAAAGGGGCATTGAAGGCTTGATTCATCACTCTATGGTGGTCCAAGAATCAATAAGCCCGAATGAGCCTTCCGACGAAAAAGACCCCAACATAAATTAGGTCTGGTTAATTAAAATGGGCTGGGCCGTTGGTAGGTACCTACGGGTTTGAATCTTGAAGAGAGAAGAAAGAGTAATGAGAAAATGGGCAAAAATGGGCTTGGGCTGCTGTAAAAATGAGGCGGCCACTCTACCTGGAGGGGCAGATCAATGATGTGTTTATACGGAGGGCTTTGGTAGACACGGGTTCTTCTGTCAACATTTTGCCTCTGTCTGTACTTACAGCAGCTAGTATTCCACTATCCAAGATCGTGCAGTCCCAGACAAGCATTAGCGGCTTTGGGAATCAAAGTGAAGTTACAGTTGGATACATGCAAGTAAATTTGAAGGTAGGGCCAATCCAGTCACTTACCAAGTTCTATGTGGTGGACGTAGATGTGGCTTATCACACTTTGCTGGGAAGGCCATGGCTCAACAAGCATAAACTGGTGGTCTCTACTTACCATCAATGTGTAAAAGGGAGGATTGGGCTAAGGCCACTTCGTATACCTAGGAGCCAAGCACCGTTCAACCAAAATGAAGCTCACTACTCCGAGGCAGAGTTCTACACTGAATGCACAGGCGCCGGAAGCAACCCATCCAAGGATTTTGGGACTTACCTGCCGTCGTGGACCGAAATTCGTGATCTAAGCAACGAGGAGCTCATAACCATCGTTGATCGAGAAAGAAAGAGACACTCGGAGGTCAACAACCATGCATATGATCATCCTCAATGCTCAAAGGTGACGTTGCCAGATGGACGCACTGTATACCGCTTATGACGAGATTAGGGGTTTGACCGTATCCTACGGGAAAGCCCCGAGTATGGAGGAGAAGCTATGCAAGCAGACGACCGTAAGAGTCCAAATGACAAGGCACCCCTGCCTTGTGCCTTCCAAGAACAAATAACAACACCCAAGCACATGCAAGATGGCTCAACAGCAGTAGTTGAGCAGTTGGAAATGACCCCTCTGTCCCAAGACCCATCTCTATCAGTGTTCATTTAACAGGTGAAGAGAAGGAAGCCTTGGTGTTTTTGTTGAAGGAATTTCGAGATGTATTTGCTTGGAGCTACGAAGAGATGCCCGGCCTTAATCCGAATTTGGTAAGTCATACGCATATTGAGCTCGGTACAAAACCTGTTGCACAGGCAAGAAGGAATTTTCATCCTGAAATTGAGAAGCAAATCAAAGTGGAAATTGAAAAGCTATTAGCTGCTGGATTCATCAAGCCAATCAAACACCCGACATGGCTAGCAAATATTGTGCCCGTGAAGAAGAAAACTGGGGTAATCAGAATATGCACAGACTACCGTGATCTCAATCGAGCTTGCCCAAAAGATGAGTTCCCGCTGCCCAACATGGATATTTTGATCGATTCAACCTCAGGTCAAGGCATGTTGTCCTTCATGGATGGATTTAATGGCTATAATCAAATCAATATGTCTCCCAAGGATGCCGAGAAAACAGCCTTTCGAACACCCTACGGAAATTTCTATTACACGGTCATGCCGTTCGGTCTCAAGAACGTCGGTGCTACCTACCAACAGGCCATGACGGCGGTGTTTCATGATATGATGGGAAAAAAGGTGGAAGACTACGTGGATGACCTTGTAGTGAAATCCAAAACCAGAGGAAGTCATCAGGGAGTTCTGAGGCGGGTGCTGGAAAGGTGCCGGCTATACGGGTGAAAAATGAACCCAAAGAAATGCGCATTCGGAGTCTCATCTGGCAAGTTCCTGGGCTTTCAGGTACACCTGCGTGGTATAGATGTGGATTCTGAGAAAACCAAAGCCATATGCTCTCTTGCACCACCTAAGAATCCAAAGGAGTTGAAAAGTTTTATGGGAAGATTGTCATACATTCGGCGTTTTATTCCAGGCCTTGCTGCCATGATAAGTGTTTTCACTCCTCTACTCAAAAAGGGGAAGCCATATGTATGGAGACAGGAATGCCAAAAAGCTTACCAACATGTACAACAACTGATCACCAAGCTATCCACAATGAGGGCACCTATTCCGGGACTTTCACTCAAGCTTTACTTAGCTGCGACGAATGCTGCGGTTGGAGCTTTGCTTGCCCAGGATAGCCATAACGGGGAGGAAAGTCCCATTTATTATGTAAGCCGACGACTAAGAGGAGCTAAAGCAAGGTACCCAAAAACGAAACTTTTATGCCTTGCTCTTGTCTATGCTGCGTAGCGCTTGTGACACTACTTCCTTGCTCACAAGCTACAGCTCATAGTAAGATCCGATCTCGTAAGATATATGCTCACATCTGGTCATCTCGCACGTTGGTTGTTACAGCTATCCGAATTCGATATCACATGTGTAACTCCTAAGGCCATCAAGGAACAAGCCGTGATTAATATGCTAGCTTTATTTCCCGAAGTAGAGGAATCAACTCTTTCCGAGGAAGTCCTGGGAGAGCTGCTGGAAATGGTTGCTACTGTTACAGAAGAGGAGCCATGGACCCTCTACTTTGATGGGTCTTCCACATCAAAAGGTGGAGGGGCAGGTGTGGTGCTCATTAATCCCGATGGGCAAGCTACGGCTCTCTCATTCAAGCTAGACTTTCCATGCACGAAAAATGTGGCAGAGTACGAAGCTTTTATTATGGGATTGTCCACAGCAAGAGAAATGGGTGCAGAAAGGGTGAAGATCATCGGTGATTCGAACCTAGTACTAAGCCAATTGCAAGGAAGCTTTGCTGTAAAGGAAGCGACCTTGGCACCATATCGGACGGCTGCTGAAAGGCTCATTAATTCTTTCAAGCAAATTGTGATGGAGCACATTCCATGCGTCACCAATAGGTACGCTGATGCTTTGGTGAAATTGGGATCAAAGCTCTCATTTGTACAAGAGCAGCCCAACATCACCGTAATAAGGAGAAGCACACCAGTGATCGAAGCAATGGCCCAGGAAGACCTGCTGGAAGAGGATGATTGGAGAAAGCCACTGAAGAAAAAATTAGGTAAAGAGAGCAGCATTAAAGACTTGAAAGATTATGTGATTATCTTTGGGGAACTCTACAGACGTCTTCCGGGAGGTGTTCTGACCCGGTGCGTTGAGGTGGCGGAAGCAGGAAGGAGGTTGCAAGAGGTACACGATGACACTTGCAGCTTGAAACCAGTAATCAGCCTGTACCGGCGCTTGCAACGCAAAGGTTATTATTGGCCAGAGATGAAGAAGCAAGCAGCTGAACTATAATCCAATTGTCCCACCTGTTCTATGATACCCTCCATAGAGGAGTCATTCACTGTTTCATTTGTAGAAGATTGGAGAACCCCATACTTGGCATTCTTTGTTGGAAGAACTCTGCCGACCAACCCCAGGCTTGCCTACAAGCTCAAAAAGACCGTAAAGAGGTATTTCGTTGATGGGTCAACTCTCTACCGGAAATGGTTTAATGGTGAGCCGCTAAAATGCTTGGGAGAATCGGAGGCACATCAAGCCATGCAAGAAATACATGCTGGAGAGTGCGGAGAGCACCAAGGAATGAAGAAACTTCACCGGCAGCTACTAACTGTTGGATATTACTGGCCTACCATGAAGAAGGATGCACATGACTTTATTAAGAGATACCACACATGCCAAATCCATGCTAATTTAAGTCACAAACCTCCTACATTGCTACAAGACATGCGCACTCCCTGACCTTTCCATACTTGGGGGGTTGATTTAATTAGGGCAATCCATCCCCCTTCCGATGGCTACATATGGATCCTTTCCGCTACGGAATATTTCACAAAATGGGTCCCCCTTCGGAAGGCCACGGGAGCTGCTGTCTCGAACTTCATTCGGGAATACATTGTGTGCAGATTCGGAATCCCATACAAGATGGTCACCGACAATGGCACGCCTTTTGTTAACAAGCAAGTGAGTTCAACCCTTAGTGGGTACGGTATCAAGCATCGGCGCTCTACACCTTATTACCCGCAAGGAAACGGACAAGCAGAAGCTACCAATAAAACGATACTGAGGATTTTGAGCAAGATGGTATATGAGTACCAAGGGAGTTGGAGCATTCACTTGCCGGATGCTTTGTGGGCTTACCGCACCTCACCAAGGAGTGCTACAGGTTTTTCACCTTACTCACTTGTGTACGGGTCTGAGGCTATTTCACCTATGGAAATCACCATTCCAATGGCCAAAATAGCGGCTGTCAATGATCTTGAATGGGATGCGAAAACATGCTCAGATTGGCGTTTGCTAGACCTCGAAGCGGTTGATGAGAGAAGGATGGAAGCAGAAAGAAGGATGGCACTCTACCACAAGACTGTGGCCCAAGCATATAATAGGACCGTTAATCCTCAAGCCTTCAAGCAAGGAGATCTCGTGCTAAAAGTCGTTGAGCATGTGAGAAGGCAAGTGTCGGGACCTTCCAAGTTTGCCCCACAATGGGAGGGTCCATTCGCAGTCAAGGAGGTTCACAGCAGCGGTTATTATCGCTTGATCTATGTCAAAGAGGGCATGCTAACGGATCCCATCAATGGAAAATGGCTCAAGCCCTACTACTGCTAAGTGGGCATAATATCTTATTTTCATGTTATCACATTTCTTTTCGTTTAAAAAAAAATATTGTCTCCTTCTATATGCTCGCTTTTGTTTTGAAAAGCTTTTGTAAGAATGTACCGTCATGGTAACATGGGATTTGAAATGAAAATGAAGGAGTATTTTGAAAAGAAAATTGTCTCTGGAAGTTTGCCCTTTTTCGTGTCCTAAATTCCTTTTGAGCATACGTTTGTAATTATATATATGGCAGGTATTTCAAAAAAAATAATAAATATAGAAGAAAATATTACTCAGCGAAAGACATGCCAAGCAAAGCCATTTGAACGGGATCCTAGGTCAGTAGCAGATTTCGTGCTTTAACAAAATGAAAAGAAACACGCCAGGCTAAACACTCGCAAAAGGAAACTAGCATGCTTATAAGGTCCAAGAACCTTCAAAGAAGATAGGCAGAGTGTCAAAAGGTCATCCTAACAAAATTTTGGCAACAACCACCATACTTCAAAAGGATACCTAATCTGTAGGAAAAAAAAACTCAAGCAAAGGATTCCATCAACCAGGCATTTTATACATGTTAAACAAAAGTTACAATGTGTTTCTGGCAACAAAAAAAGGGGAGGACATAGGTTTCGGTAGCTAGAACACAATAGCACTACGATGCCAAGCTGCCACCGTACAAGTTTTGCAACATAAGTCAGATCAAGCTATACAAGCTAAGAAATAATGTGTGCTTCAATCTCGAACGAAACTCTAAAATGTGTCAAGCTAGTTAGTCTTACACCAAGCAAAATACGACCTGCAAAATAGAACAAAGAAGAATGTCAGGAGAAATCAGGGTAACATTGAACATATGTAGAATGAAGAAGGGACGAGAAGTCACAAACCTCAAAGTACCATCAAGGATGGCTAGAAAAGAACGGAGGAGGCCCTATGAGAAGATCCTGTAACTGCTTCTATCACGCAGTCAGCACTATCAGGGGAGACACCTTGGGCAGAAAGGAGGCCATGCAATTCCCTACGCTGGTTTTCCAGCTCATGCTGCTTGAAGACCAAAGCCTCTGCCGCTACCCTTATTTCATCAAGGCCGGGATTTGACTTCATGTTATGAACAGCCCGTGCCCCAAATACGGCACGTGCCAAATCCTTCACCAGGTTCAGAAGGCACTCTGCTCGAAAGCCCAAAGTCATAGCCTCACAAACTACATCCCGCCAGCAAAGGAGCCTGTGATCAGTGATGTCCAGTAGCAGCACGGTATCCATCCCATGGAGCACCGAGCCGAGGGTCCAGAAAGCAGCACATCGCGAGAAGAAAGAAGTAATACCAGTCATGTCCACAAAATCCCCGTACTTGTCTAGAAATTTCCCCAAAGCCGCGACCGTCTCGGGATAAACAAGAATTCCCTGGAAGGGTGCGTAACCATTGAACCGATGACAGAGCGGCAGGAGTTCATCTGCGGATCGAAGGACCTGAGCACCACTGTCAAAGAAGGCCATAAATGCAGTAAATGATTCCTCCTACTCCAACCAAGACATGTTAGGAGGGTGTTCTGCAGGAGTTTTCAGCAACGCTCGCGTTGTCAGGTTGAACTGCTGGAAGAAGTGCTAGGGGACTAGGCCCTGATGCCCGGAGAAATGGTTGAATATGGGATGGAACGGGCAGGGTCTCGTGGACGGCAAAAGTGTTGCTCCGGAGGGCTGCTAGAAAGGCTAGCGAAATAGCAGGGTCAAGGTCCCTCTGGAGAAAATGTCGGAAGATAGGTGGTAAAGGGCTCGTGACTTGGAACGTAGGTGTTTCATCCCAAGAATTCGTTGGTGTCATGGGTGGAGAAAATCCTGCAAGGGCTGCCTCAACCAGTGTATTGAATGTGTTGAAGGGAGAAGGCACTACATGCACAATTTCCAAGTTCAAAATGGCATACTCAGCCTGCAAAAGAAAAAAATGTGCATGCAAGGATCAATACGAGATAATTGACAGGTGATGGGCATTGGCAGATGAGTAGGAGATGAAGGTAAATGGAATATTATCGGCACGGATACCTCAGGGGGACTCCGGGCAGGGTCAGCAATGGCTGCAGCAAGATTTGAGCCCTCAGCAATGTCAGTAACCTGCAAGATGAGCACGCGTTGAGTGAACAGATTATGGTGTAACGAAGGAAAGGAGAACAAAATTTAAAATGCGTCAGTTACCGTCTTAGAGCTAAAATGGCGCGTACTGCTACCAACGGACCAAAAGAAAGCATCTAAACCAACTTGTCCTCCTGGATAGTCGCTGGAATAAGCAAATGCATCCTCATTGCAATCATCATTGTAGTCCCTGTCAGAATCTTCACGCATGTCACCGATGTCATCAACGTTCTCTTGCTCTGGAACATCAACCTCGGATTCAGTGGTGTCGCCATCATCACTATCATCGTCAATTGTCACCACGGTTGGGGTTCCGGCGGCTTCAACGTTACTGGTGCGTGTTCCAATAGATCTTGCGTGTAGAATGCGCATGCTACGACGTTTAGGGGTCACCTGAGGAGATACCAGGGGTGTGTCACTTCTCTTTCTCTTTGGGGTTGTACCCATTTTCCTTATATAAAAAAAATATATATATAATAAATAAGTATGTACCTAAATATCATACACACATGACAAGTAAAGAAGGCACAGAGAAGTATTAGAAGTGCGGGATACTTACAGCGAAGATGTGAAGTTTCTAGCGCCTTGCTAGTAAGACTTGGGCTCTCAGATACAACAGGCTTCGAAGGCTGTGGACGTTCAGGGGGAGTTGCTTCTTTAGTCCGAGGGGGGCCACTTGGTGCTACCTTTGGGATGAACCTCCTAGGTTTACCGGTACTCGGCTCCTTCCTTACAGTTTCATTCATTTCCCGCTTTCGGCTGCTGGATGCTGGTGTCACAGTTTTTCCAGAGCTATGGGGACTCTGCGTCCTTGGCTTTGAATTTGTCTTGGGAAACTCTTCGACGACGTCACCTGACTTTGAAATAAAAGGCAAATTACGCTTTTTGCTTAGAGGGATAGCCTTCTCTTCCGACACCAAACCTGCAAGGCGGGCTGTTGTATGAGGCAATCTGTCCCCGTGAGAGGATTGGAACTCACGAAAGTGAGGCAACGGTTCCAGTAAGCTTTGTAGCCTCTGGAGAAGCCATCAACCCTCGCCTTGCTCGCTAAAACGATGGGCCTGCAACTGGCTGGTATGTGGTCATTGCTCCAGAAGAACCTGTGTAGTGCAAAGGGGTCACCATGGTTGAGACTACCGGGAACCTCTTGGTCAAGCCCGAATTGCCGCCTGACTCGGTGTGGAGAATAGGTCACTGAAATCTCTGCGCGATTATCCCCAAGAATAGGTAAGGGGATGGGAGCAACGTTCAACAAAGCGTACTTTCGGAACTGGCCACTCTGCGATACGGCTGCTGGAACTTCAACAGTATCACTAACGTCAGCATAAAATGGCACGAAAGTGAAGATCTCTGCTGAGGTGCCATAGGGACGGAAGACAAAATTCTCGACGTTATCCAGCAGCTTTAAGAAATTCTGGTCTTTCCGCTGCATCTTATTGAACCACCTGCAAACTAATGGGAGATTGTCTGGCATGAAAGAACCATTGCCCCAGTCAGCCAACTTCATAGCGTGCGAATGGGGGAGTGAATGCACATCCAAGCCTTTGAGACGCTCCCACAAGAACACTTGCAAGAAACCAGAATTTAGAAGGGTCTCCACGCCCATGGTTCCTGATACATTCTTTTCCAGAAGCTGGGTTCGATTAAGTAGATGGTATAGATGTCCTAGGAACATGGGGGCTAAGGGGATGGTGTTGCCTCGGGCTATGGCCAAAGCCAAGGGAAATACACACTCGTGCAGGCAGTCCTGAGAAAAGTCACAGAGCACAAACCGCCCAAGCCACAGAACTATAAATGCAGCCAACCGGCAGGGACCCTGTCTGTTTGCATCCCCAAAATATTGTATCCAGTTACTGAACCAAAGTGAAGTGCTGGGAGAAGTGGGAGCGCCTCTTCGCAAGACTACAAGATTGTCTATTTCTTCTGGAGTGAGGGCAATGCCGAAAGGACTACAGTCGCCACAGACAGGAAGGCGAGAGATATTCGCCATATCTTCAAGGGTATGGGTAAATTCCCCCCATGAGCACACAAAGGTGTGAGTAGCAGCGCTCCACCTCCGGACCACGTGACGAAGCATCTTCGCTTCGATGTGGATGTCCCACAATTTGGAAAGGAAGATGGCATCAAAGACCTGTGGAAACCAGCCACTCCATGGCTTTCTTCGCATAATTTACCCATGTGGCTTGTTTTTCTCTCTTTTTTTTAGCATCAGACGATCTTTTGTCCCTCTCATAGGACAGATTTACATGATGATATTGAATTGGTTTTTCTTCTTCTTTCTTGACATGGTCCTGGCATGACATTACAGAGATGTGCTCGCGTTCAACATTCGTGAAGGTGCTGGAACTTATGCATTTTGTTCTTTCCTCCTTTTTGCAGGTGTCTGTGACTTAGTGGACTTACCATGGCATCTACTGACCTTCCACCGATTATGCTAGACCACCTCTACTCCATAGATGATAATCTTAAGGCGGGAGGGCCGCTCCTGTTGCTTGAAGATGCCCGTGAGAATCCGGTTGTCGGTGATGAGCCATCCCCTAAGACCACTCCTGTAATTGATCCTGCCTCCATATCCAGATACTGCATTGAAAAGGGCCTCTTTCCAGCCGTTCCCTTATTCTTCCAATATCCTTGCAGCATCAGTAAGGGTTGGTCAGAATGGGTCGATCGTGAGCTGCGGGATCCATCCACATGCAACATCTTGCGCAGAGCACAGGTCCATGATGGCATCTTCCTTTCCAAATTGTGGGACATACACATCGAAGCGAAGATGCTTCGTCACGTGGTCCGGAGGTGGAGCGTTGCTACTCACACCTTTGTGTGCTCATGGGGGGAATTTACCCTTACCCTTGAAGATGTGGCGAATATCTCTCGCCTTCCTGTCTGTGGCGACCGTAATCCTTTCGACATTGCCCTCACTTTAGAAGAAATAGACAATCTTGCAGTTTGCGAAGGTGCTCCCACTTTTCCCAGCGCTTCACTTCGGTTCAGTAACTGGATACAATATTTTGGGGATGCAAACAGATAAGGTCCCTGCCGGTTGGCTGCATTTATAGCTTTGTGGCTTGGGCGGTTTGTGCTCTGTGACTTTTCTCAGGACTGCCTGCACGAGCGTGTATTTCCCTTGGCTTTGGCCATAGCCCGAGGCGACACCATCCCCTTAGCCCCCATGTTCCTGGGACATCTATACCATCTACTTAATCGAACCCAACTTCTGGAAAAGAATGCATCAGGAACCATGGGCGTGGAGACCCTTCTAAATTCTGGTTTCTTGCAAGTGTTCTTGTGGGAGCGTCTCAAAGGGTTGGATGTGCATTCACTCCCCCATTCGTACGCTATGAAGTTAGCTGACTGGGGTAATGGTTCTTTCATGCCAAACAATCTCCCATTAGTTTGCAGGTGGTTCAAGAGGATGCAGCGGAAAGGCCAGAATTTCTTAAAGCTGCTCGATAACGTCAAGAATTTTGTCTTCCGTCCCTACGGCACCTCAGCAAAGATCTTCACTTTCGTGCCCTTTTATGCTGACGTTAGTGATACTGTTGAAGTTCCAGCAGCCGTACCGCAGAGTGGCCAGTTCCGAAAGTACGCTTTGTTGAACGTTGCTCCCATCTCCTTACCTATTCTTGGGGATAATCGCGCAGAGATTTCCGTGACCTATTCTCCACACCGAGTCAGGCGGCAGTTCGGGCTTAACCAAGGGGTTCCCAGTAGTCTCAACCATGGTGACCCCTTTGCACTACACAGGATCTTCTGGAGCAATTACCACATACCAGCCAGTTCCAGGCCCATCGTTTTAGCGAGCAAGGCGAGGGTTGGTGGCTTCTCCAGAGGCTACCAAGCTTACTGGAACCATTGCCTCACTTCCTTCCGTGAGTTCCAATCCTCTCCTGAGGATAGATTGCCTCCTACAACAGCCCGCCTTGCAGGTTTGGTGTCAGAAGAGAAGGCTATCCCTCTAAGCAAAAAACGCAATTTGCCTTTTATTTCCAAGTCAGGTGACGTCGTCGGAGAGTTTCCCAAGACAAATTCAAAGCCAAGGACGCAGAGTCCCCATAGCTCTGGAAAAACTGTGACACTAGCATCCAGCAGCCGAAAGCGAGAAATGAAGCAAACTGTGGGGAAGGAGCCGAGTACCGATAAACCTAGGAGGTTCATCCCAAAGGTAGCACCAAGTGGCCCCCCTCGGACTAAAGAAGCAACTCCCCCTGAACGTCCACAGCCTTCGAAGCCTGTTGTATCTGAGAGCCCAAGTCGTACTGGCAAGGCGCTGGAAACTTCACCTCTTCGTATCCCGCACTTCCAATACTTTTCTGTGCCTTCTTATTTGTCATGCGTGTATGATATTTAGGTACATACTTATTTATTATATATATATTTTTTTTATATAGGGAAAATGGGTACAACCCCAAAGAGAAAGAGAAGTGACACACCCTGGTATCTCCTCAGGTGACCCCTAAACGTCATAGCATGCGCATTCTACATGCAAGATCTACTGGAACGCGCACCAGTAACGTTGAAGCCGCCGAAACCCCAACCGTGGTGACAATTGACGATGATAGTGATGATGGCGACACCACTGAATCCGAGGCTAATGTTCCAGAGCAAGAGAACGTTGATGACATCGGTGACATGCGTGAAGATTCTGACAGGGACTACAATGATGATTGCAATGAGGATGCATTTGCTTATTCCAGCAACTATCCAGGAGGACAAGGTGGTTCAGATGCTTTCTTTGGGTCCATTGGTAGCAGTATGCGCCATTTTAGCGCTGAGCCGGTAACTGACGCATTTTAAATTATGTTCTCCTTTCCTTTTTTACACCATAATCTGTTCACTCAACGCGTGCTCATCTTGCCGGTTACTGACATTGTTGAGGGCTCAAACCTTGCTGCAGCCATTACTAACCCTGCCCGGAGTCCCCCTGAGGTATCTGTGCCGATAATATTCCATTTACCTTCTTCTCCTACTCATCTGCCAATGCCCATCACCTGTCAATTATCTCGTACTGATCCTTGCATGCACATTTTTTTCTTTTGCAGGCTGAGTGTGCCTGTAGTGCCTTCTCCCTTCAACACATTCAGTACACTGGTTGAGGCAGCCCTTGCTGGATTTTCTCCAACCATGACACCAACGAATTCTCGGGATGAAACACCTACGTTCCAAGTCACGAGCCCTTTACCACCTATTTTCCGGCATTTTCTCCAGAGGGACCTTGACCCTGCTATTTCGCCAGCCTTTCCAGCAACCCTCCGGAGCAATACTTTTCTTGGAGGCATTGATGAAAAATTGTATTATTAAGTGACAAATTTTAGTATTTTAGTATTATAGATCAACACTATAATAGCAACTTTCGTAAATGTGATGATGCCTTGGGATGATAGCTTTGGCATATAAAATATAGTCATGCTTTATTAGAATGGCAGCCTTTAGGCAGACATCAAATGGTATGATGCATAGATAGAGTAATAAAGTGATGTGACTATTTGACTCACACACTAAACAAGATAATGATACAATATAATAATGGAAGTGACAAGTAAAATAATGGTAGTGGAAATAATAAGAAAATGATGCAAGCTGGTGCACTATATAATGCATCAGACTAATCAATCAATCCTTTTGACTTGGGCAGACCAACCCACGTGCTTTTGTCTATGCTTAAGACAATTCAATGGAACATGAATTTTATGAATATATTAAAACAATAAACAAATATATATATGCTATATTGAGATTAATGAGACAAAAAATCTTATCTTGGTGAAGCCAATCGCAGAGATGAGGCTTAGAGCATTGAGCAAGTGTTTCTTCTAACTTTCTCATCGTATTTACACAACTCTTAGAGAGGTGAGGGATACTGCGAAGGTGATTTACAGCGATGGCCAGATTTGTTGATGATGTTTCATGGTGGAGAGGTGAATGGCAGAGCTAGCCTCAATAGTTGACGACGGTGGTCAGCGACTTGCATGTTGGCTGAAGCCCCCAGTCCGTGAATGGATGTTGAGCTCAACCTTCTTCTGCTCAAGTTTTTTATTTCTCTTCTCTGCTTCGTCTCTGTTTCTCTCGAGTTTGAAAACTTTTTCTTTGATTTTGCATCAAATTTGCTTGGCATAAAGCCCCCAAGTCATTTGGATTTGGAGACGGTTGTGGAGTTTGCTTGGGTGTCTCCAGTACCTCAGTGGCATGAATGCTCGATTTGCATCAACCTTAGGGGTCCTTTCACAAGATTTCATTTAGCTTGAGAAAATAGATCTAAGAAACAAAGAAAGAGATAATGTTACCAACATTTTTTTTCTGGATTGTTCTACAGAGCATATGGCTAAGAAAAAAGCAACAAAGGAGGAAACACTCTTATCTTTGGTATCTTGCATCGATATGACTTAAATCTTGTGTGGAGAAGCCGTTGTAAGAATAATAGCCTAGTCCCCAGCAGAGTCGCCATTTATGTTGGGGTCTTTTTCGTCGGAAGGCTCATTCGGGCTTATTGATTCTTGGACCGCCATAGAGTGATGAATCAAGCCTTCAATGCCCCTTTTCTGAGTTAGCAAGAACTAAGCCCAAAGTACCCCGAGAGAGAAGCAAGTCCCAGGGGAGTACTTTGTTCTTCTTCCAGCAGCTGCGTGTTTTGTGCTGATGTTTTCGGCAGCTTGACGAAGAGTTGAAAATGGTGCATTGATGTTGCACAAGCTTGGCATGAGAGTTTGCTTTGTGAATCAAGGTACTACTAGGCTTGGCATGAGAGCTTAGAGTGTGGGAGCTAAAGACCCATAAGTTTAGCAAATGAGAATGCATGTGCTTGGCTTGATGTTAGATATGCTTGAGTTTGGGTGTTGATAATCTGTTGTTTGTGGCTATGGCTATGGGGATTTGAGAGTTTCAAGATAAGGAGGATGAGAGGAAAAGCTTGAGGTTTGAAAGTTATGGTGTTTATAGCTTGGAATGAAGAAAAAAGCTTGGAGTTATGCTTGGTGAGGCCTTATGGAGAAGATGATGGATTTCAAGAGTGAGAAAGTAGAAGACATGGTTGTGATGGCTGAGGAATGACTGTGAAGGCTACTGGAATACTTGCAACAACTAAGGAAATGTGAGTTCTCATGGTTGCTGAGAAGCTTGCAACAACCAAGAGGGGATGATGGCTGCTGGGATGCTTGCAGCAACCGAGTGAGGAGTGTTGGCTGAAGAAAAATTGGTAGCTACTGGAAGTAGTTGAAGAAAGGTGAGTTTCCATGGTTGTTGAGAAGCTTGCAACAACCAAGATGGGTTGGTTTGGCTGAGTGATGCCTCCTAATTTATAGAAGGTGAATGCTCTCCTTTATTTCCAATAGGTAAAAAGAGGTGATGGAACTAGCCTATTTCCAGTGGTTAAAAGGAAGCATTGGGGCATGCTATTTTTCAGCATGTAAAGCTAGGTACCATAAACTGATTATTTCCTATGGGTAAAAGGAAGCACTGGAAACTGCTTGTTTCCAGTGGATAATAGGAAGTGCTGGAAAAGGCTTGTTTCCAATGGGTAAAGCTATGTATTTGGAAAATGACTTTCCTATAGGTAAAAGGAAGTGCTTGAAAAATATCACATTTGCTCACCTACACTGGAGAACTCTAAGCAATGGGCTTGGACTTTGGTGCTCCCAAGTAGCTAGCCCAAAGTCTCAATTATCCAAGAGCTTCCGTGGGCCTTGTGGTCCTCCGTAACCTTCCACACCACAATCCCTCATGCAAGCCCCGTAAACCACATGACTTGGGTTCATGTGAGCTTGATAAGTGATCGGCATGAGAAAAATGTATTATTAGTTTGGCATGGCATGTATGCTATTTCTATATTTATTTAATGAATTAAATCCCAAAATACAGCTTGGATTAACGCATGACTGACGATATATGTTATATTACGCTTTAAATGTCTTTGGGCTTCCCGTGACTTTTTTGGGCCTCAACAGAGTGCTTTTAGCATTACCTTATGTACCTCCCCGACACTTGGGTACTTGGACTGGATACTTGGATATGTCAGAACCCAGGCTCCCTTGACAGTGTGTTTCGTAGACCCTTAGAGGGGTAGTCTGCGGGCGTAGACCTTGTCACATACGCACGAGTATTGAGGATTCTGCTGTGCGTGTTGGTGAGCCCAGTCCCCTGGTTGGATTCCTTAGCCACAGGCAATAATTTGATCTGAGCCGAGCAATCGAGCCAAGATTCACATTTCCGCGCCCTGAACTTCTGTATGGCAACTTCTATTTGTTTTGTTTTCCGTTAAACGTTTGTTTTATGTTGTAAACTGAAATTTCCTTAGAATTGCTCTTTTATCACCCATGTTTGGGTTGGATGTAAGGCCAAAGGCCTATTATGTAAACTGTCTGCCTTTGTTTTGTGCATACTGCCGGTTTGGAACTTTTTACTGTGTTTTGACACGTTGAAATTTTAGGAAAAGTCCGTTTTTCAGAAGAGACTCTATCGAAATTTATGTAGAAAGTCTCGACACTATTTTCCCTTGTTTTCGGAGAAAATGATGTTATTAGTAAGTGGGCCTAGCATCGGTTTGATGTCAGAAAAACCACAGGGTTCTTCACAGATTCAGAGGAATTTGGGGCGGGTCTTGTCATAGATGTTAGATTAATCACGTAGGTTAATAAGCGTCACATGGACAACGTTTTATAATTGCAATAAACTTAATAATCAGACGAAAGAATGAGAAAATTGGTAACTTCAAATTTCCTTTTTACTAATTCATTAAAAACAATGGTCAAACTAGGGACGAACCCATGTTAAAACTAAAGGTCCATTTGATAACCATTTCAATTTTAGTTTTTAGTTTTCATTTTTTGTTCTAGAGTATAAAGGAAAAGGAGGGAGAATGAAAGTGAGAATGAAAGTGGAGATGAGATTGAGAAGAGAGGATGAGAGGGAGGAGTGACAAAAGTGAAAACAAATACTAAAAACTAAAATCTATTTCAAATTGTTTTCACTTTGGTTAGTCCTCCCTCTCATCCTCTCATCGCATTCCCTCTCTCAATCTCATCCTCACTCTCATTTTCCTCTATACTCTAGTACAAAAAATGAAAACTAAAATCTAAAATTGAAATGGTTATCAAACGAGCTCTAACATGAGTCCATGTGAATTTTTTTTTTCTTTTTTGTTGTAAATTTAGCCCACCTCATTTTGAAATACTTGGTCAACTACATGCGAATATGAACCAAAATAAAAACCATATTTATTGGTTGGTTGCCTCATTTATTAGTATATTGCTTATTCTAACCTTTCTATTTTGGGTTAATTACATTTTTGGTCATTGGGGTTTGGCTCGAAATCATATTTGATCACTGTGGTTTCAATTTTCCTGATTTGGTCACCGTATTTGCAGTAGTTAAAAAATTAAGTCCAATGCCTCAATTTTGTCGGTTTGTTTGATTAACAAATTAAGTTCCTGTGCAACAAACATGAGTAAAAGACCACACACGCGGGAGCTTTCTCTCATGGGGAGAGCCGGGGTGACCAGAGCCGTATATGGTGGCACTTGGCCATGTGGGAGAGAGGAGAGTGGTGAGGCCGGCGACTAAGGATGCCGTTGGCTAGGAGAGGGAGAGAGGTTTCGGGGGTTTTGCTAGGTTTTTGCAATTGAGTTTCATATTACCTTTTGTGTTTTGTGGCCATGTATTTATAGGGCTCAAGCCATCTATGGTTTTTCAAAGAATATCTTCCTATTTGGAAGGAAGATATTCTTTCCTCAAAATATAGAGATTGAGTCAATTAGGGATTTGATTGGGATCAAATCACTAATTGATGATAATATCCTAAATTGGTGATTATATTTCCAAATAAAGATAATATCCCTATTTTTAGTATCAATTTATCGGCCAAATAAACGGGCTCAATTAATTGACCTACGAGATATTTTTCTTGTCCACGTGGCACCTCATGATTAGAAGCCGTATTATTTGCTCCCACAAACGACACAATGTTCATTTATTCTCAATCCTTAATCCTTTATGTTTCAATAATTTGGTTGTTCAAATTGCTGTTGTTGATATTGGGTTGATTATCAAGTTCTTAATTAGGTTTTTTTTTCTTGTGTTATTGGATTGAATTTTACAATAATTGAAGTTTCTCAAATTCTTGCGGAGCCATGGCGAGAGTGTGAGGAGAGCGTTGGAGATCTGAATAATTTTTAAAATTTTTTGTTATAAAATATTTAATTTTTACATTTAAGTTAATAATTTTGAAATTAATATTAAAAATTAAACAAACTGAAGGAATTGAGGCATTAGATTGAATTTGTTAACTACTCCAAATACAATGACCAAATCGGGAAAATTAAAATCACAGTGATCAAATTTGATTTCGAGCCAAACCCCAATGACATTAAATTTAAATCTTTTTTTTTTTTTTTTTTTTTTTTTTTTTTTTTTTTGTGATGTGATTGATTCTAACTTGAAATGAATTGCTGCTCACGCCATAAGACTAGGTGTCATTTGAGAAAGTTTAAAGGTCCATTCTTATTGTAATGGTTGTGAGTTAAGAATTCATATGTGAATTTTATTAGTCACTTGGCACATAGTATGTGACCGAAATTAGTTGATACATCATCGACTGGTCAGCCATGACAATAACCACATCTCATATTCTTCTATGGGGCTACATCTAGAATTCTGTCTTTTTAAAGTGTATTCCAAGTTTTCAAATTCAACTTTGACATAAATTGTTGTAGAAATTCGACTTCATATTATTATGTCACTCGATAAAATTTTATTTTTGTTACATGTCGTGATATATAATCTAAATATATTTTGTAAATAAAATAAGTCAGTTGACCGAGATAGTGAACATATTTTTTTATATTAAAATTCGAATATTCTTAATTAAATTAATTTATAGTAATTTAAGCCAATCGATCGTGTAAAAAAAACATTATAAATAAAAAAAATAAAAAAAAGGGAGGGGTGGGGGGAAAGTATAGAACTCTCTAGAACATTGCGAAGAATATATTTTCCCTAGGTAGAATTTGACCGGTAATCCCTAGCTCAAGCTCACGCCAAGCCCCTTATTGGGCTAACGTCAAACCTATTCTGGTTGGACTTCTTTCAGAAGCCCAAACCAATTTCACCACGTCTCACCTAATACCGGATCTGGGTCCGAATATTCCAGAACGGAAAAGTGCGAACCACATCACACTCATGCACGTCACGTGCCCCTCGAACCACCTTGCTCTCCACGCACTCCCTTAAATGCGTGATCTCCTATGGTAAATCCGCTCGTGACCCCACCCGCGAGCAAGCGGTTCATAGTAAATCTGCGGCTAATACAAAGCCCTAAACATAATCAGCGGCTCCGGATTGACTTTCTTTTTACACAAGAAAAACCGCAACCACCCATTGGTTTTACGATTCTAGACATTTTTCTCTCTCTCTCTATATAAGCACCTATCCATCACTCTCTCTCTCACACTACCGTCTAAAACCCTCAATCAGTTTTTCTCTGCCTCTTTTATCTCCCACCTAATTCTCTGTTTTTTTTCGCTCTCCACAATCGCCATGGGTATTTCTCTCAATTATTGGTTTCGCCATTTTTGCTATAGATCTTGTATTTTCATTTCATTTTTTTTTCGATTTGTTTTTGTTTTATTGACTTTTTTTTTCTCTTGTTCTTGTTAATATCGATCAGGATCTGACAAGAAGATCAAGATCGGAATCAACGGTAATGATCCGATCCTTCTCTTTTTCTGTTCACTGTTTAGGTTTTTGGTTGATTCATCTCGGATTTGAGGTTATTTTGTGGTAAATGATCTGTAAATTGATTGAGTGAAAATATTGAAATGGTTTAGGGTTCGGAAGAATCGGTCGTTTGGTTGCTAGAGTTGCTCTTCAGAGAGACGATGTTGAGCTCGTTGCTGTTAACGATCCCTTCATCACCACCGACTACATGGTCAGTATATGTTTCCGTGGATATGTGTATAATTGGATTTATGTTAGTGTTTTTGGTTTCGAAGTTTGGACTCGATTAGTGATTTGTGTGGTTATGGTTGTTTTTAGACCTATATGTTCAAGTATGACACCGTTCACGGCCCATGGAAGCACCATGAGCTCAAGGTCAAGGACTCCAAGACCCTTCTTTTTGGCGAGAAGCCCGTCGCTGTTTTTGGGATCAGGTACTCTTTTATCTGATTCTTAAGTTGTTGAACTTATCTGTGAACCCATCATGTTCCTTTCGCAGTTTAGTACAGTGTGGTCTAGGAGATTCAAAATATGGGCTAAGAGATTCAAAATATGGGCCAAGAGATTCAAATCTAAGTTGTGTTTTGTTTTATTTTCTTACAGGAACCCAGAGGAGATCCCATGGGGCGAGGCCGGTGCTGATTTCATTGTGGAGTCCACTGGAGTTTTCACCGACAAGGACAAAGCTGCTTTCCACTTGAAGGTAACTTTCGTTTTATTAGTTTTGTGATTCTCTTGCATTGGCCAATGAAGTATGCTTTCATTCAAGAAAATAGCATGTGAAGTTTATGTTGGTTGTCAGAATTGGCCATATAGTGATTGCATCTTATTAATTGAATCTGAATCTATATAGGCATTTGGAATTCGTAATGTGTATTTGTTAATTGATCTTACTTCTATGATAGGCATTTGGAGTTCTTAATGTGTATCTGTGTGTTGATCTTATATCTATGATAGGCTTTTGGAACTTTGATGTATTACCTTTTATTTAATTTGGGTCCACTTGTATTGTTTCCTTGAGCTACCGTGGTTGCTTATCTAATGATTGTGTCTTGTAGGGTACAACTTATTGTATTTATTTGGGTAATTTTCAAATATGTACTTTTTAGTTTAGTTGGATTGAATTGTTTTGTTTTCATGTCCAGGGTGGTGCCAAGAAGGTTATCATCTCTGCCCCAAGTAAGGATGCTCCCATGTTTGTTGTGGGTGTCAATGAGAAGGAATACAAGCCAGACATTGACATTCTTTCTAATGCTAGCTGCACTACCAACTGCCTTGCTCCCCTTGCCAAGGTTTGAGTCTGTTTATTTCTGTTGCTGCTTACTGATTTGCGATCTCAGTGAATGTTTGTAATTTACATAATTTTACTTCTCAATTGTCCATAGGTTATCAATGACAGATTTGGAATCATTGAGGGTCTTATGACTACAGTGCACTCCATCACTGGTGAGATTTAGCTTTGAACTCTACAAAGTTTGAAATACATGTTTTGAAACTAAGCGAAGTTGGTTTTACCTTTTCATGATTCAGCCACCCAGAAAACTGTTGATGGCCCATCATCAAAGGACTGGAGGGGTGGACGTGCTGCTTCCTTCAACATCATTCCCAGCAGCACTGGCGCTGCCAAGGTAATTAATGACATATTTAATGACACGTATTTATCACAAGCTCTCTTTTTTAAGCAGCTTACAGTGCTCTTGTTTCTTTAGCTGTCTTGATTAATGTATTTTTGTGTTGTGTCATGTGAAGGCTGTTGGAAAGGTGCTGCCACAACTTAATGGAAAATTGACTGGTATGGCCTTCCGTGTGCCAACTGTTGATGTTTCAGTTGTTGACCTGACTGTCAGGATTGAGAAGAAGGCAACCTATGAGCAGATCAAAGCTGCCATCAAGTAAGCTCTGTTTTTGTTTTTTGTTTTCTTGTTTTGTTCTGTAATTGGTATTGTTATTGGCTATATTCCTCCATGTAACCATGCGTTTTTGCGTTTTTGCGTTTTTGTTAGTTCTAATTTTTATCTTTAATCCTGTGATGATCAGGGAGGAGTCCGAGGGCAAGCTTAAGGGCATCTTGGGTTACACTGAAGATGATGTTGTCTCCACTGACTTCATTGGTGACAGCAGGTAAAATAAGTGTTCGGGCTCTCATATTGCATTTTAGTTTTGTTCCAGTGCTTTATGCATACCATGAATTTAGCTAATTTGATGTCTGGTGCTTTTGTAGGTCAAGCATTTTTGATGCCAAGGCTGGAATTGCATTGAACGATAACTTTGTCAAGCTTGTGTCGTGGTACGATAACGAGTGGGGTTACAGGTAATTTCATCGTCCTCTTGCTAACTTGCTGCTTATATATTTAAGCTTGCTTGCGCCCTGTACTGACATGTCTTATTTCCAATGTTTTCTTTGCAGTTCTCGTGTGGTTGACTTGATCGTGCACGTAGCATCCACTCTCTAAATCCTGGATGGACGAGATCGAAGGCTTTGTGTTTTTGGTTGAGTCTAGGGTGTTTTTAGGTGTTATGTATGAATAAGAAGTCTTTATCTTGTGCTCTAAATCCACTCTCTAAATCCTGCGAGTTAAATCTGCCCAGGTTGTCTATTTTTGATGTTCGACATTTCAGTTTATCATGAAGTACCCCCCCTTTTTGCTGATTTAAATTAAACATGACATTGTACTTTAGTTTTACAAGTATGATTTTATAAGCAAAGGTTATGGGGTTGCCAATGCCATAAGGATGTGTTCACGTTGCGTCCGTTTCTTCCTTGGTTCTTTATATAATATCCGCCATCACTCTTTGGTTAGTTTATTCGAGAATCACTCTGGTACAGGTGATGACCTGAATGAACTACTGGTTGAACACCCACAACAATGTTGGGGAATCCACTCTGCTCTGTGGCCGCCAAATGTTTAAGCATGTGTTGCCCTAATTTTTCAGACCGGTGTGGCCGCCAAATGCTTGAGCATATGTTGCCCTAATTTTTCAGACCGGTGCTATAAATTCATCAAGTTTTATATAATACCAAATTAATTTCTTTATAAGTGTCTTGTAATGTTGTACCAATTAGCTGCCTTGGCTGTTAAATCAATGGGCCGCAACAGAAACAGGCAGGTGCAGAGCTGTCTTGGGTGGCTGAGTCATTCTGTAGTACCGTTTGATTCAACAATTAATATATACAAGCTATTATCTAAATTATAAAGAGGGGATGTGAACTATCACGATGCTGTTTATGAAGTTCAAACTTGAGACTACTAAGAACAATCCGAACTTAGGCAATATTTTCGAATTCACTTCTTGTTTTTTATTGGGCTAGACGATGTTGGCTTTAATTTTACATTTTTAATTTATTATATTTACCCAGACCAGTTAGGGATGCTTTGCACTTGTCGTTCTTCTTGTCTTCAATCTTTGACTGTTCGATGAATGCAATGCAACACATTGAAGATGCAGCGTCATATGACCGTACTCCCCGCATGTTCCATCTGATAAATAAACAAAGATGGATTATTTGTGGAGCTTCATTTCTCATTAGAGAATATCAGTTCTCGTGATCCAATGAATGAATGAATCAAGTTTGATGAAACCAAGAAGAACATGGTGGCAAAGCTCTCTCTGTCTCTATCTACCTCCAGTACTACTGACTGTCTGCACTCTGCACTACGCCTACGAGGCACAACACCCACAATCAAAACCCAAGGCCATGTGCAACCACCATGGACCACGTCGTACCCAACCATTCTACCTAATTAAGTGTAGCTTTGATTAATTGAGTTGTTAGTGACAACATGTGCCTCTTTACTTATTTCGCTGACCACTGTCTGTCTGCTATTACTTATTAATTGAGTTGTTAGTGACAGCAAGTCCCATAATTACACAATAGAGACCATATTATGTGTTTCTCTTCAACCATAAGCAACACTTATCCTATGAGTTGACAGACAATGTTTTCGTCATCACTTTATGTTACATTACATGAAAAAAGATCCGAACTTAAACGTAAAGTGGAAAACAAACTATCTTAACTAACTGATTTATAATTTCAAAGATCGGATTCCATCGTAGAGGAGGATCCCACTAATTTCAACCCAACTTCCCATTTATGCACCCAGATAATTAGGACAAGCCTACCACATGCCACCGTCGGTGACCCCATTAACCACTATGCCCTATAACAATATAAGTAGGTATGTAGTCCCACAAAATTTACTTTTTTTTTCTCTCCCTTTAAATTGGGGTCTCTTTGTCACAAGTCTACAGTCTATTTCACCAATTCCTAAAAAAGAAAAAGAAATTTACTTTAGAAAAAATCAATGGACGTGAGATCCTAACTCAACCGCCACCGCCGGTCCCTTGATTTTTGTTCCTCTCTTTCCTTGTGAAGTAGCTAAAAAATCCCATTAAAATTTCATCAAAACTGTGAACCTCATAGTTTGGTCCGTCACCACCAGTCTCCAACGTAATATTATAAAACTCTTTTATCTCATTTCACTATCAAATCTACTTTGCTCTCACGGACCAAACGAATCTCTATCATTCTATGCTTTGTCTCTAACTTTCCCTCCACCATATAAAATACCCTCCAAAAATCTGATAATCAAGTGGCCATTTTCCTTTTGTTATCTTCTAAATGTTGCTTCCTCTTTACATTCACTCAGTCTACCGTTCCTTTTATTCTCTTCCTAAAAGGCTAAAAGGCTGAGAGTCCCCTGTTTATCTCTTTATCTGCTTGCATAATAGCTTCATCTGGGCATATAAATAATGACTCTTATTGCTTACTGTTCACCTTCCAATCCTCCAATCCCCATTTCTTAGCATCAAATCTATTGGGTTTCATCTAAAACTTTATGTCATTCTCAATTTCTCATATGATGGGTGATGGGTCAGTTTTCCCATCTGTTGTAGACTTCTCTATTAATTGAATGTTTTTGGTTTAAGAGTTCAGTTACACTGATTCTTATATCTTCATTCCAAGAAAAAGCCTCACTCTTTTAGCTTTTCAACAATTTTCCCATTTAAGAGAACAAGTTCCCATTTTTGCCTTTCTGGGCCTTTCCACTTTCACTTCATGTATCATCTCTGATTTTTTGTTATTGTTATTTTGCTTGATGATATAATTTGAAAGCTTTGTGCTTGACTGAGTTCTTGTAAAAGTTGTTGTTTTTAGTCAATTTCAGGGTTACAATGCCTCCCTCATACTTCCCTCTTAGATGGGAGAGCACTGGAGACCAATGGTGGTATGCATCACCTATTGATTGGGCAGCAGCCAATGGCCTATATGATTTAGTCAGTGAGCTTCTTCACCTTGACACCAACCTCCTCATCAAGCTGACCTCTCTTCGCCGAATTCGGCGCCTTGAAACTGTCTGGGATGACGAGGCTCAATTTGATGATGTTGCAAAATGCCGCTCTCAAGTTGCCAAGAGACTCCTCCATGAGTGCCAAGCACAGAGGGGCCACAACTCTCTGATCAGGGCTGGCTATGGTGGCTGGCTTCTGTACACTGCTGCCTCAGCTGGGGATGTGGGTTTTGTCAAAGAGTTGCTTGAAAGAGATCCTCTTCTTGTTTTTGGAGAAGGAGAGTATGGTGTCACTGACATCTTTTATGCTGCAGCCAGGAGCAAGAACTCTGAGGTTTTTAGGCTCTTGTTTGATTTCTCAGTCTCCCCAAGGTTTAGTCTTAGCAATGGAGAAGTGGAAGAGCGGTTGGGTGATATTACTTCAGATTTCAAGTGGGAAATGATGAACCGTGCGGTTCATGCTGCTGCTAGAGGTGGGAATTTGGAGATATTGAGGGATCTCCTTGGGGATTGTGAAGATGTTTTGGCTTACAGGGATGCTCAGGGATCTACTATTTTGCATACAGCCTCTGGCAGAGGGCAGGTTGAGGTGAGGCTCTTGTGTTATATGCTTGTTAGATGCTTCATGCATACAGTTATTCAAACATGCTAGTTGCTTCAGAACAATCTTTTCATTGCTTAGATTTCAGTTACTCTCTTATCGTTTCTTAGAATATTGATGCAATTGAAGGTATTGCAGATCGGATACTCAGTCATTCATGAATTGTGGGGGGCTTAATTAAGAAAGATTTTTAGAAGATGGAAGATTTCTTGCTCACTTATTTTTTATTACTTGAATTTATGTGAGTGCCTGTGTTTTGAGTTATAGTACTGACATTTTTTGGTTGCTCTTTTCATTTGAAAGAGCATATAAAAGGGAGTGAGCACTGATTGACCTAAATTCTAGATAAGCAGTTATGTGGTTAGTTGCTTGCTTGGCCTTAACGTCCACTCATAAATAGTTGGCTTTATGATGGTGATGGCCGCTCACTAAATTTAATGGCCTCACAGGCACTGCAACTTGACTGAAGTACTCGTTTTCTTGCTTGGTTAAATTTGAACCTAAGATATATCATTCTTCTGTTGATGATCAAGCAGATAATTGTTGATAACCGTAATTTTCAAATTATCCTTTCGAACATTGAACTACTACTTATAATGTTAAGTTTGATCATTCTTTATGCAGGTGGTTGAGTATCTAATAGCATTCTTTGATATCATCACCATTGTAGATAATCAAGGGAACACAGCTTTACATGTGGCCGCTTATAGGGGTCACTTAGCTGTGGTGGAGGTCCTAATTCGTGCATCTCCCTCATTAACCTCTTTATCAAACAACTATGGTGATACCTTTCTACATTTGGCAGTTGCTGGTTTCCGAAGCCCTGGTTTCCGGAGACTGGACAAACAGATCGAGCTCACTAAGCAATTAGTATGTGGTAATATTGTGAACACGCAGGACATTATTAATGTTAGGAACAATGATGGACGAACCGCTCTTCACATGGCTGTAATTGAGAACGTTCAATGTAATTTGGTGGAACTCCTCATGACTGTTCCATCAATTGATTTGAACATCCGTGATTCTGATGGTATGACCCCACTAGATATTCTCAAACGAAGGCCAAAGTCAGCATCTTCTGAACTTCTGATCAAGCAATTGATTTCAGCTGGAGGGATCTCCAAGTGTCAAGATCATAAAGCCAGGAGTGCCCTTGTTTCCCATTTGAAAATGCAGGGTATTGGGAACAGTCCTGGGACCTCCTTCAGAATTCCTGATGCAGAGATATTCTTATACGCAGGCATTGACAATGCTTCTGATGCCAGTTGTGAACAGTCAAGTGTGCAATTCTCAGGCGAGCTAAATCAGTTAGGCTCAGCCAACTCAGTAAACAATAAGAAGTCAGGTTCTGTAAATTATGCGGCAAGGAGCCTTAAGTTTCTCCTTCAATGGCCTAGGAGGAAAGAAAAAAAGGAATCTATCAGAGACTTAGGAGATGGTGATTCTTCAGAGTCATTTAGTCCATGTATAGATTTGGACGACAATCCAATCCCACTTCGGCAGATGTATTCGAAATCTTCCTCCCTTCCAAACAACAAAAGGACGCTTTCTGTCAGGAGTTTTCTTCCAAGCCCATACACTAAGATGAAATTTACTGCTGGTCTAACACATGGTGTAATTCAGGCAAAGCCTCATTTAGCTTTTCCAGCTCATTCATTTTCAGGTCCTCTGTCAAGGTCATCTATGTCTTCACCTACTTTCATTGACAAAGAGAAGAGTGTTGACATTCTAGGACCCTCTTGCTCAAATGGGAAAGCGCCGCAAGTGAACTTCAAACAGAGTGAGTTCAACAAGAAGATAATAAACCAATATTTGTGTGTTGGCGCGCAAGGCCTGGACACGGAAGAATCAATTAGCTGCGCATGGCCAAATCAGAGTTACAAACATTCCACTTCTCTAGTTGCTTGATCAGACTGTACAAACGAGTTAGTTGGTGTTCTTCCTTAGACCTATAGATTTAATAGAATTATGGTGAGTTCTCAAAAAGTTCTTTTCTTTATAGATATGGTTTATTTCTTTCTTTATCCTTTTCTCCCCTCTTTAGATCACATGTTTTATAATATCTGTGAAGCATATGCATAGTTGCATACAAGGTGTAAAAGCTGTCTGAATAATGTTAAAAAAATGCTATGAAAGGGATGTGTGTTTGGCATATTTGTAAACCCCAATACCTCTTGTGTTGTATGAATTTTGGCCCTTGCACACTGGTTGTAAGATTGTTGAGTCAGCTAAGTTTAAATTTATGCTGCATAGTGATCAAATGGTTTCCCCTATCTTCTCTGGTTGCCCTTCACAAGTGACTTCCAGATGACCAATTTATCTTTGTTGAAAAATTGACATAAAAAAAGCTACTTAGTTTTGGCACAACCAAGTGTTTAGGTTCATTAGGCTTTGAAAATCCCATCATAAAACTACAGAGGGCCATAAAATGCTTACATGGTTGCACTTTTCCTGTTCTCACTGCTGTTCTTGTTATTCTTTTCATCTTTTATAAGTCTTTTCATGCCAACTTGTGGTTAGAAATGTGAAGCGTTTCTTTGTCATTCATGCCTCTTTGAACCTTTGATATCCGCTAACAATTGCAATCTGATATACCAACTCATTGTATATAATCGACTTCAAACTTAGATTGGCTTGAAATTGATGTTCATAGTGACACAATGATATGGTTAGGTGTGGCTTGAATTGTACTGTCCACTAATTTTATTTCTTATTTTGCTTGGACATGTTCTCATACTCGATACGCCAGCCACAATGCATGCATGCCTTCTTTATAGAAATGCCTGGTATCCTGATCCTCACAATCAGGAATTTGATGCACGAAAAAGGTTGGTATAGGAAATTTTTGACCAAAAGGACAACAAACAACTCATGTGCCATTTGAGATGGGCTGACTTCGTTCTTACCTATTATGACATTCTCAAGTCAGGACCACACGCTTCTCCTATTTTTCCAATTCAGTTATCCAAATTTCTGAGTTACAAACAGGAACTTTTAAAAGTAGGAGATTGCAGTGTTAATGTGGGCCTAATCATACGCTCACTCTCGACATGACTCGTGGACATGCAAGCATAAAATTTAATTTTGGATTAACAAAATTATCTAAGTATATCCTAACTTCCGACTCTCAATCACGTGTACATAGTAACATAAAAATGGTTAGGATTACGATAGATAAAGGATTCGATCTATCCAAAAAAGATAACCTAATAAATAAATAAAATATGAACATAAAAAGAAATGCTACTAATAAGCTAGCGAGTAGATATAGGAAGCCTTGAAATGAGATAATTGTGGGAGCCATGTCTTAAAGACAAGAACATGAGAGTCTCCATGGGACCTTGGTCGAAGGGTCTAAGGTCTCCCCTTGGTCTTTGGAGACGTCAACGTTTGTTACTTGGGGTATGTATCAAGACATGGAATCCCGCCATGCTCGGTTTTATTTTTACCAAGCTGAATCTTTGAATCCGTACAAGTTCCCCCCACTCACAATTTTACAGATGACACCTCGGGAGGTAACAAGTAAAGCAAGTTTGTTAATCTTAAGAGTGAGATAATAGGGGCTTGGTGGTAATTTAACCCGTGTTACAGCTCAACTCCGCTAAATGGATGGATGGCTTTCCTATCCTAGAGTACAAAAGAGAAACTGAAACTTACTAACTTGGCCAACTTTGCTAATTTTGGCTTTCTTTCATGTCTCCAACAACAAATATAAAGGTGATGGCTTTGGGTGAGTTTACAGGCCAATTGCTTGCTCTTCACTATTTGCTTTTGCCCTTCTTTAAATCTGTTTAGTTTTGTTGAAGCCTAGAAAGAACAGAAAAAAATGGTACAAGCAAGGGATGTTGAAGATGCCGCAGCCAGGCAGAAGCAGATTGATGATTGGCTTCCCATCACTTCTGCTAGGAATGCCAAATGGTGGTACTCTGCTTTCCACAATGTCACTGCCATGGTGGGGGCTGGTGTCCTCAGCCTTCCTTATGCCATGTCAGAACTTGGATGGTATGTACATGATATATTTATTTACATATGCATGTGTTTGCTTCATTTCATGACTTTCATCCTTATAATTTGCTTCATTTCATGGCAGAACTTGGATGGTTTTGTTTTTGTTTTTTATTTTTTATTTTCTGGGAAAATTATAGGGGTCCTGGTGTGGCTATTATGATTCTGTCATGGATCGTCACCCTATACACACTGTGGCAAATGGTTGAGATGCATGAAATGGTGCCCGGGAAGCGGTTTGATAGGTACCATGAGCTGGGGCAGCATGCCTTTGGAGAGAAGCTGGGGCTGTGGATTGTGGTACCCCAACAGCTAGTTGTGGAAGTTGGTGTCAACATAGTGTATATGGTCACAGGAGGAAAATCACTGGAGAAGTTCCATGATGTGATTTGTCCAAGTTGCAAAACAATCAGGACCTCCTACTGGATTATGATTTTTGCTTCTTCCCACTTTGTTCTCTCCCATCTCCCCAACTTCAACGCCATCTCTGGTATCTCACTGGCTGCAGCAGTCATGTCCTTGAGGTAATTCATTTCTTCAAGTCAATGAACCATCACCGCAATTGTATACATGGAACTTTTGTCCTTGAGGTAATGCTAGAGATACCAACTATAAAACATATCCCCAAAATATTTAGACAACGGCACACGATCATTTGGTGACTAAAATTGGAAATTTTGTTTGTGACTTTAGTATAATCGATTATCTGATTTCTTACTTACAATTTTTGTCTTGGGGATGGATCATATGCAGTTACTCAACAATTGCATGGGGTGCTGCTTTACACAAGGGGGTTGAACCAAACGTGGACTACAGCTACAAAGCTAAAACCAATTCTGGAGCTGTCTTTAACTTCTTCAGTGGGTTGGGAGACGTAGCATTTGCCTACGCTGGTCACAATGTGGTTTTGGAGATCCAAGCAACCATTCCCTCTACCCCGGAGAAGCCTTCCAAGGGTCCCATGTGGAAAGGAGTGATTGTGGCATACATTGTGGTGGCTTTGTGCTACTTCCCTGTTTGTTTTGTTGGCTACTGGGTTTACGGAAACAAAATTGAAGACAACATCCTCATCTCATTAGATAAACCCGTTTGGCTAATTGCAACTGCTAACATGTTTGTTGTGGTCCATGTCATTGGAAGCTACCAAGTGTTTGCAATGGGAGTGTTTGACATGGTTGAAACTTTTCTGGTCAAGAAGATGAACTTCACGCCTTCTTTCGCCCTTCGATTTGTTACTCGCACTACATACGTTGGTAAGTCCATTAATTAAGTGAACTTTGTTCAATTTCCATGCCAATAATTCAGTACTGATCATAGTTTGTTCTTAATCTGCAGCATTTACCATGATCGTTGGTATAGCCATCCCTTTCTTCAGTGGCCTTCTGGGATTCTTTGGGGGATTTGCTTTCGCCCCAACCACATATTTCGTAAGCAAATTAAAAGATTCATTGCTCTGCATCATGTGTGCTGTTTATACAATCTAAGTCTAAAGATCCAAATAGAGCTTAACTTTGTAACGGTTCTTTAAAATTTGCAGCTTCCCTGCATCATGTGGCTTTCCATCTACAAACCGAAACGATTCAGTCTATCTTGGTGCATAAACTGGGTATGTTGCGCTGGTTTCGCTTCGATTAATTTCCTCTAGCTATGATCTTTAGGCTCATTCACAATGCTGACCTTTCTTTTTTCTTCTTCATTCAAACATTTCAGCTATGCATTATTCTTGGTATTACGTTGATGATTTTAGCACCCATTGGAGCCCTAAGGAATATCATTCTGCAAGCAAAAACCTACAAATTCTTCTCATGAACTACTAGTTTATATATGCAACAAGAGTTCATCTTTATATATTCAAGCTCAAAAGTAGATGATCATGTTGATGAGGCCATCATCACAGCAGTTGGCATTGGAAGTTTGACTTTTGTACCTCCAAGGAACATGATAGGATATGACTCATGTGGGCTTCCTAGAGCTGTTGCAGAATAATTATGGCTAAACACGTCCAGTAGCATTGTTAACTTTATTATTATTTATTTAATACGAATTAGTAGTCTCTGTAAACACAATAAGAAAAGGGATCAGATTAGTTGAACTGCAAATATTATTGAATATGGTAGGAGAAGTTGTTGCATGTGAGAGAGGAATAAATCGGTTCTTTCTTTCCCCTTGATAATTGTTGTTGCCACAATCAACTCTATTTATTTGGTTGTTCTTCATCTCTCAAAAGAAGAGGAGAAATGGGAATACGTAAAGTTTTTGTTTTTATTTTTTTTCATGATACAAGATATTGAGAGGTAGAGATATTCGAATACAAGACCTCGAGTGCAAAGTAACTACATTTAAACGCTTAAGCTACAAATTAAAGTTTATTGAGTACAGGTTTTTACAAATTTGAGTAAGAACATGGAGGGTGTCCAAATCAATATGAATCAAATTATAACCTAAGAGGATAAGAATCCAACTTTTGCCTTGGATGTCATGTTTATAGGGATTTTTGTAGAAATGTCGCATGAACTTATACATTAATTTCAATTTGTCACCTTAAAGAAAAATTTAAGCAAAATGTCACCTTAAGTTTTCAAAATTCATGATTTGTTGCCTGACTTTAACATCATCCAATTTTTCATCCATTTTTAAGGGTATTTTAGTCTTTCCAATATGTAAACCCTCTTTTTTTATATAATCACTCTTGCTTGGAAAGACTAAAATACCCTTCAAAATGGATGGAAAATTGAATGATGTTGAAGTCAAGTGACAAATCATGCATTTTGAAAACTTAAGGTGACATTTTGCTTAAATTTTTCTTTAAGGTGACAAATTAAAACTAATGTATAAGTTCACGTGACGATTCTACAATTGTCCCCATGTTTATATAATGGAGCGTATATTAAGGAATAGTTCTGTATGGTTTGGGAGTAATATTTTGGGCTTGGGCCCCAACCGAAACCCAAAAACAATAAGTCCGAAATGAAACGACACGTCGTTTATAGATCACATGCTGTTACGCAGCGTTGGAATCCACAAATAAAAAGAGGGCAGTATAGGAAATGCAGAATGGTTACCCACCAAAATCTCAACTCTTCCCGCCAATTCCCTGCAACTCTCAAAAGTGGCAGCTTCTGAAACCCTAGAGGGATAGAGTGAACCAAAGCGCCACATGGAAGACGAAATCAAAGCGGAGTTCAACAACAGTGGTTTCACTTTCGACAAAGAAAAGGAAATACTTCAAAAATGTAAGATGTTTCGCCTTCTGTTCCCAATTTGAACTTCATCGCTATTTACAAATGAGTGTATATTGATCCCACAATTTTCGATTAGGCGCCACATTCTGCATAAATTTCAAACTCACGCCTGCGGATCTCGTTTCAAGCTGGGAGATTTACTACCTCAACAGGTTTTTTATCATTCTCCCCCTTTGTTTTTTCTTGAATACATTTACCCTTACATTGCTTACAGAAAAAACCAGAAACTTAAAATTCATTTGCGTTTTTTACTAAAACGTTTAAAATAATTCAATTTTGTGTTTGAGTATAGTTCTTAGCTTTAATTTTTAGCTTATTTTCTTGTGTGTATTTTTTCTTTTATGGCCATCGGAGAGAGGGATTAGTTTTGTGTATAGACCTTTGTTGCCAATTATTATCTGGTTTGAAATAGGATTTTGTGGCAGGCAAATAAACGGAACTGTGGTAGAAGATGCCGAAATGGATGGGTTTTTAGGGTATTTGCAAAGTCAGCAGAAAGTTGCCATCGATGAAAAGGAACTCGATCTGCATATCTACTCAAGCAGAGATGTGGACATGTAAGCACAATATATGATTTTGAGCTTTTTTGTATGGGAGCTTATCCAGTAAGGATTTTATGTTAAGGATTTCTAATCTCAGCCATCCATTAGATGTGTTAGTGGGTTACATATTCCATACATGCAATCCAATGGATAGGTTTAGAAATCCTTAACTAATCCTCAACATAAAATCCTTAATGGAGCATTTCCCTTTTTGTATATAATAATTGTTCATTTGTGGTGGCATAAATGTTGTGGTCGTGGGATCGGTATGACTAGTTTCAGAAATTCAGTATTTGATGAGAAACCATGAGCAGGATTTTGAATGATGAAGATGAAGATATAAGGGAAGACGTTCTTGGCACTCCACCACCATTCAAATCTCAGAACCATTACTCAGAGCCATCTGACTCAACACCACAAACAATTGGGAACATTTCTTCTGGGAAACCATCGAAACTCACAACTCCTTTTGGGCAACGAACAGACAAGTTGGTTGTGAAGTTTAGCATCAATAATAAGCCAAATACAGAGAACAGGGAAAAAGAAGATGATAATGAGAATCACGAGGATGATGACATTATCAGGAAGGTTAAGCCTGGAAAGAGGTGTTCTTTAATAGTCCATGGTTCAGGTCCTGATATAGGCTGTCGGTTTATGTATGATAGGACTGAAGATAGGGTAAGGAAAACTTGAAGAAAGTATGTTGATCTTCACCTCCATATATATTCTCCACTAACTTAAGCTTTTGGTGATTTAGTTTAATGCACTTGAAAACCGAATTAGTAAGTATGCAACTGCACTGGTTTCATCTGGGCAGTATGAGGAACCGCTGGATCCTACAGTTTCTTCTCAGGTATGGTACCTGCACCCTCTTCCCCTGGTAGGAAGATTTTTCGGCAACTCAATCTCCTCCAAGTCACTCTGAGACTAGTTATGATCTAATCTTATTATGTTTCAGAAAATCATATTTACCGTTGGCATGATCTATTGTGATGGAGAGGGCCATTTGAACGAGAAGTCCACCTTGTTGCAAAGCAGGTAGAAATTCCTGGATTTTCCTAAATACTTTTCATGTGAACAGTTTACTAACAGGCCTACAGGCTAGTATTCTTCCTGTTTTGTCAATGATATGTCAGTAGACTGAGAACATTCATGACTACACCTTCAAACATGATATCAATCTGTGAAGGGCTTGAAAAATGGTTTTTACCTAAGTTTAGCTAGTGAACAATATTGTCTCAGGATCTTAGCCTTCTTTAAGGCAACACTTAGGCCCAGGTTGGGCTCCACAGTTATTCTGTCAGGGCTGAAACAGGCCTAAGCATCATTGTTCACTCTCTTGAAAACTGCTGGTTATATATTTTTATTCTTTAGATAAACATTTTTTTTTCCTTTCAATCTTTGACAGCGCAGAGCATTCTGGAGGCCAGCGTGTTCGTATAGAATTACAAAACTTGAGCCAGTTTTCAATCTTTCCAGGCCAGGTATGGAACATGAAAAAATAGAACCATGGTCTGTTCCAAATGTTGAAATAGTGTTCCGATTCTAAATTCTGACATGGAAGGACTGCATTCCTGCAGCTAGTAGGTATCGAAGGGATCAATCCTAGTGGACACTGCTTTATTGCTTCAAAACTGGTAGATTCAATCCCTTTGCCTATTGCTGATGATCCGAACTTGCCTCCTGCAAAAAGGCAAGCTTTGGATCAGGAGATTTTATCAGTTGGTGTGTCCGGTACACAACCAGAACTATCAGTGGTGTGTAAGCTTGTAGCCTGTGTTACTTCGTGCGAGTAAACTGAAGATATTATTATAATTTTTTTCTTTTATGCGAAGCTTATGTTATTTGTCAGTCAACATTAGTGTAGTACTGTCCAATACACCACAGAATCATTTATCATACAAGACTTCGACCTGAGTTGGAAAGCAATATTTAAATGTGAATATGGAGAACCTAAGAGTAGGCTGTCTAGTGATGATTTTTAATAGAGGCTAGATAATTTAGAAATGTTTTAAGGACTCCGGTGCCACACCACTGTACAATTAAAAGATTACTAAGCTGGAGGCTTAATGGATAAGAACGACTTAAAAATACTTGAAAATATTAGCTTTCTGACTAGAGAAATTGTTCATTAACTGAAGAGGCAGAGGAGTTGGGTTGCTAACTGAGATAGTTAAGCAAGGCAGCGTACTTTCCTAGATTTCTGGACACAAGCAAAAAATGGAAAAAAAAATCAGGGTTTATGTATATGATGTTATATATAGTACTTGCTCATTGCTGATATGAAATCAATGTGTGGAATTATTGAACTTTTCACAATTCCATGCAAATCTCTGATCCCCTTTGGTAACCTATAATTTTGTATTTCAACAGATCATCGCATCAGGCCCTTTTACCACAACAGACAACTTATTGTTTGAGCCTCTAAGAGAGCTGCTAGCATATGCAAGCAAAACGCTGCCCCAGTTGCTTATATTGGTAAGTATCTACTTTTCTTCAATTGAATTTTTCTTTTAAAAAATTTAACTGCGTGAACCATTTATGTTGCTTACATATTGATGTTGTTTTTCTCAGCTAGGACCATTTATTGATTCTGAACATCCAGAAATTAAGAAAGGAACTGTGGACAGGAGCTTTGATGAAATTTTCCGTTCTGAGATTCTTAGAAGGGTATGTACTTAAAGGGTTGTGTAATTGTCGCTCTGAAGAACTATATAGATCGATTCAGTCTTCATGCCTTTTTCCATGGTATCTTTCTTTCAGTTGCAAGATCATGTCGAATACATGGGTTCACATGCACGCGTTGTTCTTGTACCATCTATACGGGATGCTAACCATGACTTTGTTTTCCCTCAGGTAATACTACTTTTGAATCAAGTAAACATAGGATATATCTGCTCAATTTCCTTACACTTCATTGAGATGATAAATTAAGATCATATGTTTTTCTTGGTTGTGCAGCCTGCTTTTGATATTCATCCAACTAATCTCAGGCATCAGGTACATGTTTGTGGATTTCGAGCTTTCATCTTTCAAACTGGTGAGCAACTCCTAAATAAATTTATTTTCTACCGTTATGCTTACGAAGTGATTTTACATGTTCTTACTCAGATAACCAGTCTCACAAATCCAGGGATTTTCGAGGCAAATCAGGTAACCAACGGCTCTTGTCCTGAAATTATGACTACCTTTGTAACTTTTCCGAAATGAGTTTTGATGTTAGAATTATCAATTTGTTGGTGCCAAGATTTTATTAATATAAAAAGCTTTGGATTCCAATAGAAGGCACATTCGGTTTGGTCAACAAAGATGGTGGATTATAAAACAAATTATCTATACTTAACCCCACGAGTTTAATTGAGCTCCATCTTGACCAGTTCACAACTTTTTGGTTTCAGGTCAAGATAGGTTGCTGCTCTGTGGATATTCTCAAACACCTTAGTGGAGAGGAGATCTCGCGTAATCCAAAGGATGGAAAACTCAGTGATCGCATGAGTAGACTTGCAAACCATATAATTAGCCAGCGCAGGCACGCTCTAATTTCTTAATACGTCTATATGGTCAGAGGTGCTCTACTATCTAAAATTCTAAACATACTCTATAATTTTTGGGACAGCTTTTATCCTCTATATCCACCAGCAGAAGGCATTCCATTGGATTTTTCGCTTGCTCCAGAAGCTCTAAACATCTCGTTGATCCCAGATATTCTCATCTTACCCTCTGACATGAAGCATTTCGTGAAGGTAAATGGTCATACCAACTTCAAGCTAAAGCAATTGTAATAAGATCATAAAGAAAGGTGCCTGTCACCCCAATAAAGAATGGGTTTTAAATTTTGTGACTTTGGCATATTAAAACCAAGTTGACGTCGTTACCAATAGACGTTAACAGAAATTTGTCTTTGGGTCCAGGTACTGACCCTTGGTGAAAGGGGTGAAGAGAAAGAGCAGGTTAAATGCATTTGTGTGAATCCGGGAAGACTGGCCAAGGGAGAAGGAGGAGGTACTTTCGTCGAGCTTAACTACTATGGTAATCCTGACACAAGCAATGCTTCGATCACAGGCATATAAACAACATCGGATTTCTTTAACTTGCTGCGTATACTTCAAGAACGATCCGGTAAGCGGCCTATAGCATAGAAGTTTAGGATCAAAATGATGCTAAGTTAAAATTTATTGTATTCAATGAACAATAAGTTTCGAAAGCTCCATAGGCTGCCGTAGTAAGTGGATTACCATCTCATTTGTGTAAAAGGGAGATAGATTTCTTTCTGTATTAGGTTTGGTTCGATGTCAATACATGGTCATCATTTATATTCTCTATAATGAAAGATAGTGATGATTGGTGCAACTGTCAATCAGACTCACTGTGTTAGGCCCCCAAAATAGAATCAAACTCATTTTTGGAAACCAATGAGTTGATGTGAGACCCCTCAATGTGAAGTTTGGAACCTTCTCCATAAATGAAAACACCAATAAGTGAAGAAGACACCAGCCTGTCTAATGGTTACATGAGTAATAATACAAAGACAGATGAATCTTATCTTGGAAATATGAACATTATACAACCCCATTTATAATTTTACCCCAAAAAAAACAAAAACAAAAACAAAAAAAAGGTTAAAAAAAGAAAAGGCATCACAGTTGTTCTACGTCTCTTTCTTCTGCACTTTGTTTCTGTGCCAATCGATCCAAAGATTCAAAACCCACAATATGCTAAGGCCGATGGCAATTAAAATCACAACCATCCAAGAAACCCATGCCCATCTGGGAATTTTGGGTTCAGCTGCCCCACTTGCATAAAACAACCCCAACTTGAACATGAACAGTGGTCCAAGAAACCCTCTGAAAACACTGTAAAAAACATAAAAGCGAGGAGACAAGAAGTCGTACAATTTGGCAGCAGCCGGTGAATCAGCCCTGCGATAACTTGCAAGGGTCCAGACGTTCTGGCAGCCACTTGTAATTTCAGCAAGAAAGAGAAGCACAAGGATAGCGTAGGCCCCATGATGAACCACGTAACGACAAGTTGTAAACACGTAGAGTGTGGCTAAATGGTGGAGGATGAACAGGACATCACTGGGGAAGAAGAATAAATAGTGAAGGAGGTCAAGGAAGAAGTAAGCTATGCTGAATTCAAGTATGGTGTTTTGGAAAGTGTCGTTGGGAGAGGCAAAGGTGGGGGCTTTGTGGCTGTGGAGGATTGAGTACATGGACATAATGGCTGCTGTAGGGCCATGAGCTAGAGAGATTAGGCAGCTTGAAGCTTCTGGTCTGTGTTTTGGACCCCAGTTGCGGAAAACCACAAAATAAGCAAAGAGATAGATGAGCAGAAATATGGAGAAGAAGGCTGGAAGTGTTGGGATGCCAAGAATTGAATTCTCCATGAAAATTAAACCCAGCTGCAGAGAGAGAGAGAGAGAGAGAGAGAGAGAGAGAGAATTGTATGCAGAAATCAAGGTTCAAACTCAGAAATTATTGGGCTCCAAAAGAGAATGGGGAAACTAGATTCTGTTTAACCACATACACACAGATTCTGAACTGAGGAGATAGAAGGAAGGAAGGTTACCTGCTTTTTGAAGTTGAGTGTGAGAGCTTTAAAATGAGGGGTAGGGGAAAAGTAGATTGAAAATCTCGTGTGGATCGGTACTACGGTATTAATAAATGAAATCTTATATCTGTATATTAGAGTGGTTTAGGATATTGGTATACCAAAAAGTTGGTAAATGCAGTATTATACTTGAATTCACATTCCCGATACATGAGAGTAGTTTAAAATATCGTTCTAAAAAATATGGTTAGTGTATCATACCCATTCATTGCACTCGAGTTCCCATCCATTCGTATATTAGAGTAATTTAGAAGGATGTATTGTCAAAGAAAAAGAAATTAAAGTCCTAGTCCTGATTATACTATGTAGTCTCATAACGTAAGACTACTCTTCTTGATGTTATGATGACCAAAAAGGGCCAACATGCAAAAGCAAATTACAGACACATGCCAATGATCAAAACAAGGGAAGGGAGACTATTCATTTTGAAAGTGAATAAACGAAGGCTGCGAGGGTATTTTTATTTCGTTGCTTGCAAGGCTTTGCTGCCTTTGCTTGACTTGAGAAGATATACATGTCCATGTTTCGTGGTGGAATCGTGTGGTGGGATATTCGGATATGAAATTTGGAACCCTCCTGCACTGCACCTAATAATTCTATGCTTGCAAGGAAGAACTTGCATCTATTTTATGGAATTATCCAATGACTTGATCAAATATTCTGGCCTTTATTTTTCTTTTTTCGCTTTTCCAAATGGCTACACAAGGCTTTATGGCCCAATCCCAATCCCGTGCAGGAAAACTTAAGAGGGAATATATTCGCCACAATCGAGTCATTCTATAGTGATAAGGCCCTTAGATGAGGTCTTATCTTTTAATCGTTGGATCAAATTGACCAATTTGATTCAATGGTTAAGAGATAGGGCCTCATCTAAGGGCCTAAGGCTCTCACTGTAGAATTCTTGCACTAGAATATGCAACGAGGCTAGTTTTTGTGATCCAAAAATGTCCTTCATGCATCTCTTGTCCTTTTACAGGGAAAACATGACAAACTAAAGAATTTTTGTGGATTATGATGTTTGAGAGAGGAAAAAGAAAGGAGAGGCCACAATTATAACAACATTTAAGACCTCAACTAAGAAAAAAATCCAACGACAACCAAGGACAGCCAAAATATAGGTGCAAGAACGTACATATTCAGTCCTATCCTAACCCATACATCACAGTACAAATCACTCAACTAGTTCATATTGAGCTCCACGGAAGGAGATATATTAGGGCAAAATTATACGAGCCCCCAAAACAATGATAACACTTTGACCAAGTATACTTGGATCAAAAAATACATTACATCTATATTGAGTATTTCCACGGAATTATTGGTTCAACTATTTTTATTCAACTATTTTTTTTCTAAAAATAAGTAACAGTCTAAACTACAAGGAGAATGAGAATTTCTTATACACATACTACCAATGTTCCCATGTATGTGCCATCAGAGTTCGAATCTGAGACCACTAGCCTGCAAAGCCCTTTTCCACTGGACTTGAAGGGTACCAATCTTCAACTCCAAAAATTATTACATTTTGTTGTAATTCTTCTAGTGAATTCAAATCGTAACCGCACTCTCTAGAGAATGGCGTGCATGACATGGTGGCTAGCAAACGAGCTTTTAGGGCCCAATACCATACCGGAAAAAGCAAAAGGGAACATAATCTCTATAATTCATAAAGCGTAAATTCTCAACCATCCATCATGTACTGAGTTCCAATGGAACCCACAAACTACAAACCAATGGATGGTTAACAGATTAGCAGTTTAACTCGACTGAAAACTGCACTTCTATTTTAGCAAACACATTCCACAAACAGGTCATTTTACAGAGCTCTTTTTACTAGTGCCACTACCAAGCTAAACTGAAATTCTATCAAAACTTGCTGAAGAATTTATTGTTGAATTAACTTAAAGCAAATTACTTATAACATGATGATGGGCTTTCACATAATCTGTCTGTCATATCCCATTAGAATCCGGCAATTCCATTTCATACTCAACTTGAAGCTCAGCCGTTCTAATCCACATCTTGGGGTCAGCAGTATAGTAGACCTACATCACCATACCTCCATCAATGGTGAGCACCTGCAAAAAAAGGTGAGTTATGGTCACTGATGAAAAAATGGAAAAGCAGGTTGTCTCAAATGATACACGACGAAAGACCGGGAAGACCAAGGTAATGACATTGACACCAACTCATTATAACAAGCCTTGATAAATAAATTGCAATGAAAGGTTTCTAACATAATAGTTTGGGGTTACCCATGAACTGCCATAAGCAAAAAATAAAGCTCCTTGATACAAAGCATAGTTACCACAAAACACACTGCTACCCTCATGCTTTGTAATGTGAGGTCACTCATCCAAAACATGATACACTTCCATTTGAATATGCTAGTTTTGGTGATCAAAAAATATACCTCATGTATTTCTTGCAATTATCATTTTTAAGGAAACATGATATGTTGATAAGAAAATACTTTTAGATTACGATGTTTGAAAAAAATAAAAAATAAAAAATAAAAAAAATAAAAAAGAAGAAGAAGAAGAAGAGAGGCTAAACTATAAAAACATTTTAACTTCGTCACAATCAAACTTTAAAGTTGAGCAGTCAATGAAAGTTGAATTTGAGTCCGTGTCAAACCCACGATTCATGTTCAGGGTAGGTGCATATACTGCATTTCTATTCCTATTTCACTGACCATAACAATTCACACTTTAGGTAACTATAAGACAAGTACACAAAGCTCAACAATTAATTCAAAAACAAACTAGAATATTAAATTAGTTAGGAAAATGAAACCTGTCCAGTCATGTAACTGGCTGCAGGACTAAGGGCCAAGAATTCCACCAGTCCAGCAACTTCTTCAGGTTGGCCATATCTTCCTGTAATCACAGCCAGTATGAAATCATTTTAGCAAATTAGTATCAAATATACTTGGGAAGCTATTTGATTTGAAAGAGTAGAAATTCCCCCTGGCTCACCTAAGGGGATGGTCTCTAAAATTTTCTTCTCAATGTCATCCCCTAGCTTGGCAGTCATGTCCGATGCAATAAATCCTGGGGCAACAGCATTAACCTGAAGGAAATCCATTGTTTATGACTCCATCAACTACTATCAATACCTTCTGGGACGAGTCTGATCACTAGCACAAAAATCAAATTCTAGGACACTCACATTGATGTGTCTGCTTGAATACTCCTTGGCAACAGCCTTTGTCAGGCCAATTACTCCTGCTTTTGCAGCACTATAGTTGGCTTGTCCAACATTTCCAACTAGGCCAACAACCGATGCTATATTGATTATCCTTCCCTGAAAAAAGCATCATCCAACTAATATTAGATATTAGACTAAAGGGTGGGAATACAACTTTTTGAAAGGATTGGTATTTACCTTCTTCTTCTTCATCATAATTTTAGCTGCTGCCTGAAAAAGTGAAATTTCTCAGTTCTGCGTGGTAGTCAAGTAACATTGCCATGAAAATTCAAAATTCACAAACACACACCTGGGTACATAGAAATACACCAGTAAGATTTAAATCGATGACCTCCTGCCATTGTTGTTTCTTCATTCTCATCAATAGACCATCCCTAGTAATTCCTGAAACCATGGTAGAAAGTTAGGAGGACCGAATATGAAATTGGAAAATCACATCCAAAGAAAAATAAAAAAGGAGCAAGTGAAACTTGCAATAACCACCTGCATTATTTATCAATACATCAACAGTTCCCCAAGCATCAACCGCCTGCAAATGTAAAATCATGAAACATATTAAACTAGTATGATCTGATGTAATTTTTTTATGAGAAGGGACCATTTGCTCACAGTTTTGAGCATGGCTTCAACATCTTCTTCCTTCGAAACATCTCCTCCAAAAGTAAGAGCTTGTCCACCGAATGCCTCAATCTGCAAGAAAAAACATAATCAAATACACATACAAACTATCTCTATCACTAATAACAAGCATGATATACGAACTCAGTCTGAATGACAAGTCAGTGAGGCACATTAATATGATTTGCATAGATGATTTAATTGTACCTCTTTGGAAACCTCCTCTGCCTCCTTTGACGACCTTGCGTAATTAACAAGGACCTGCATGCGGCAACATCAATTCATCCATTATCAACAAAACCAGAAATGAAGAATTTTGCACTATTGACTGTGGGGAGTCTAGGACTGACTGACCGACCTTGCAACCAGCTTTGCCCAAAGACAGAGCAATGGCTTTGCCAATGCCCCTAGAAGCTCCGGTCACTACCACCACAGGACCCTCCACTTTTGGTGCTGCTCCTGTGCTTGCTTGTTCAACCGTGGCCACCTGACCCCTCACGTGACCTGCATGTGACACCATGATCACCATCAAATCACACCACACCTCTCAATTCAATTCAATTTACTTGCATAACATAACCAATCAGGCTAATCTACTACATTCAAATCCAAAAGCATCTCAAGACAAAACGAATCGTTTCGATCATTAATTCAAACTGAAGTACCGGAGCTGCTCTTGGATCTGTACTTGAGGCCAATGCTCCGACCCGATCCGATTGTGCTACCAACTGGGGCCCATTGCTTGAAATGGCAGGCTCTGGCATCGCCAGGAGCTCTGAATTTATCGGCGGATTTAAAAGCGACGACGTTTGATGCGGCGATGGAAGCCATGGGAGCTCGGGACAGTGGGCGAGCCAAGAGAGTTGATAAATGCGAAGGGAGAAAATGAAGCCAGAAATGGGAAGAAAGTCGCTTGACTTTTATACAACGGAAACGAAACAAACAAAGAAATTCAAATGCTTTTGCTGTGTGTAGGTATTTTCTGTGCTGCGGCCTTGGAAACTCCGGAGACTGTGGAAATGGCGATGGAAACGAAGTGTCCAGAGTGTGGGTCTTTGGGACTTTGTGAGCTGTTTTACAAGGGGGCTGCATTTGCTTTTAATTACCATGCAGGTGCAGCCGTTAATGACAGTGTTGTCGAGAATAGGGGTAGGATTGTGATATTGAGAACATTGTGAGGATGTTTTTGAGATTTTGAAGTTGATGGGCAGGAAAATTAGGTAAGTCACCTCAACCGTAACCCGACCCAGTTTTATGAAAATTTGCACTGCCAATTGTTTGTGGTTTGGGCTTTCGCGCTAAAACGAGCCGCCTGGGTCATTATTCGACCGTGGACCGAATTTGGTCCAAGAACTAGCCCAACACCGGGTGATGCCCTCTATTAGTGCTACCAATTGATTTTCGTTTACAGTTAAAGTTATGGTTGGTGATTAAGATTTAGATTGAATTATGAGATAAAATTGAATTGCACGATTACATTGGATTAGAAATTATAAATAACCTTTACTGGGACTAGTGTTTGTGTCTCAGGTCCCTGATTTGAAGTATGCACGAAGGTTGGAGTAACAAGATTATACATTCCACCTATTCCATAGAATAAATTATCCTAAAAAATACACATAATCAGATTATCTTTTATCCTATCTAAATTCATTCTGGATCACCAAACATAGGATAACCTTACTAGCTTGGAACCCAATTCAAGATTTAAATACATCTATTTTGGAGTGCTGTTTCCAACCCCGTCTTATTTCCCCGTTCTCCTTTTATATTTCCACTCTCCACCAGATTAAAATTAATAATAATAATAATAATCTTTATGTTACCACCCCCATTGTCCCTAAAATACCACCATTACTGATTAACATTCTTCATTCTTCTCACTCCCTTTCTTCTTGACATTAAAGTCACAGATTATGTCTTCAAGTCTAATTGGCAAAATAGAAAGAAAAAAAATTGAACTAGATAACAAATCCACAATGTACAATTAGAACGATCATGGAGCTTCACGATGCTAAAATGACAAAGGTTGGATGGAAGCATGTCATATATCTGAAAACTTATGCCCTTTTCAGTGCTGGTTTCGGTTTCCTCTTGGAGTTGTTCTTGGGACGAATCTTCACAAAAGCCTTCTCCAAATCCTAAACAGATAAAAAAAGAAAGTTAGAGAGTGTCTGCGCGTAAGGACTTTGCATCTACATGAGAGCAAGGAGATAGGTTACCCCCTAAGTTGCAATGACATAGCATCAGCATCAAAACACGTATAGAGCATTGAAGTCTCACCAAAACCAGAGGTAATTCAATAAACACAAATTATTATTGATGTAAAAAAAATTCCAATTCAGTTATGATATAATCATGCAGAAAAGAAAAATAATAACACACAAGCTTCTCCACTGCGAAAAAGAGAGGAAGCGTACTGACTTCAGCCAGTGATCTCAGAACTTTAATTCCATCTTTCCAACGCTAGAGGACCTAAAAACTACTTTGATTTTACATTTGTAGAGGAAAATCTATTTATGTCAACTGATTTCAGGATGCTAATAACTATAATGATCCAAGAATTTCCGAAAAGTTGAAGACCTAAATTACCAGGAAAACTACTAGCAAACCCATGACACAAACTTCAGTGAACCAAAACCTCGTCTCCGTCCATGTGATACAAATGACTAGCGTATTAGTTAGATCCCTATGCTAATTTTTGTATGTGAATTGATATGAGGAACTAAATGTGGCCTGCTTTCACAAGACTTCAACCAAATTGGATTTCAGTAACAAATCTCGTGCTAGAGGGAATCATAGAACAAATATAAATTGATGACAGGAACGTCAATAGCTGCTTCACAATATGACTGTGAAAGGGGCTTATACATGTAGCGATAAAGTGCTTGCGTGATCTGATCTCCCATAAACATCATTGAAATTATTCTAGTAGTGCCAATTGGATGGAGTGCATAGAGAAGTAGTCTATGATGCAAAGCATGTATTGCAATTTACCTGAATTGTATCTTCTTCAGGCTTCTTCTTGGACCAAAGATCCTCCAAATTGTAGTACGCTCTAGCCTTCTCATCAAGAGCATGAACTATAACTTTGCCTAAATAAATGAAGAAAGCCACTATAAAAATCCAAAAAGAAAATTAAAAACTATAAACTAGCCAATATCAATAAGGCATTGTATTACCAGAGTCAATGACAATCCACTTTCCTCCCTCTTGCCCTTCCACACTGGGAAGCACTAGCCGCTGAGCTCCTTTCTGCTTTTGCTTAGACTGTAAAAAAATATAATCATTATCAGATGGTGATCAAGCTCATCATCCATAACCAAGACAATGGTAGACTAGTTAATCACCAAGAAGCAATGTTTTTAAATACTCAAGCAAAAAAAAAATTTGAAAGAACAAAAAAGTGCACATTCCCCTTTCCCGGAAAACAAACAGATGACCAGTCAATCGGCATTCAATACAAGACCTCAACTTCTACCCTCTTCCGTTTCCCTCCGATTCTCGGAAACTAAACACAAACTCGAAGCTATTGAAAACAAAAGAAATGGGACCTACCTTGTAAATTAGGGCTTGAGCAATGTTCTTGACGTGCCATGCGGACTTTCCGGTGGCGAGAACCATGAAATCGGCCCATTCACAGAGGTCGTTTGCTGGAATGACTTTGACGTCGTCCGCCTTGACGTCGCTGAGAACCTTCTCGACCTCTTGGAGATCAAGAAGGCCTCTGTTGGGGGATGAGGAGAAGGCGCGCTCCAGAACAGGAAACCCTAGCTTCCATTGTTGAAGGATAGATGAAGAAGGTGAAGAGTAGAGAGAGAGTGACCGGGATCGTAGAGCCGCCAACATGAGATCGCGCCTATCGGAAAAGTTGCACTGATACTGATAGTGGTAGCGGTCGTGCGTTTCAGGGTTCCCCTTTTACGACATTGTAGAACGATAGTGGCGCCAAACGGCGCCGTGCCGTGACGCGGGCTTCCAGAAGCATCTTTAAAAGTAAAACGCAGCGTTTGGGAGAGGTTAGAATGGTTGGTAGAAATATATATAAAGTAAAACAGTAACAGGAAGGTAAATGTCAACGACAGAGCATGAACATCAAGCTCACGTGTGCTTGAAAGGGAAAGTGAGGATTTTTTGGTTGAACTGGGGTTTTGGTGGCATCGGGAATAGGTTACCAAATCTATTGATTTATGCCTTAAAATATTGTTGATTAATGTGTATGTTTTTCAAAGGCCAAAAAGTTCATATTATTTTATTTTCAGTAAATCAAATTCAAGGATAATAGAAACGAGGCCTATTTAGCTATTGGGCCCTTATGCCCCCTCCTTCAAGCTTATGGCTACGAATATGGATTCCAATTTAATTAAGAATAATAATAATCATGATCCATTATGAATGATTAGTGAATAACGACGATGATCATTGATGAATCATTTAGCGTGTGTCCTACTCGACTTAAACATGAATATCGACTTACAATTGCACGTTTCAATTTAGTGGTGTTAGAGTCGACGGTTCAAATAAACAAAACATAATACATAATTATTACTGATTTAAACTTTATAATATATTTATTTCTAACGAGGGGTCGAGCGATATTCTACAGTATGATTATACTGTTTTAATCAATTAGCTTAATTGATATAAGAAACTTCGAGAACAAATCACTCTAAATATATACATACTCAATATTTCAATGTGATGTTGGTGTACATTAGTTAGGATTCGTGTTTAATTATTTCGATGATTTCGATCTTATATATAAACCTACTTGTTCTATAACAGTACACAACCCACTTAAATTCCTAATAGAATACCCCAAATTACAGCTGTATACTACCAAATGATATGTCTGCATCTCCTTATGTTTGTGGGGAAGTTGAATATAAACAATGCATTCACTTGTATTAAATTACTAGTTTCTTATTATTTTATTTAATACTTTTTTAACGACGACAGGAGACAAAATTGCTTTACCTCTCTCCACGGTTTTAATTTGCATATTGTTTTTTCTTCATAAATATTTAACTTTGTTTTGGATGGGTTGCTGCTATGACAAACAAGTTTTGGCTTAAACTATTTACAAAAATTTGCTGTTATGAAAGACATGTTGAAAGCAATACATTGAATTTTTTTATTTTTTATTTTAATTTTTAAATAGTTATGATTACAGTGAAGCCTTCTAAGTTATCTCCATCACCTACCAATTAAAACGACATAATTTATGCATCTTTCCATTAGTACACAAATCCATGATTAGCATGGTTGTTATAACTTATATCATTTATGGGCTCTTTTCCATCGCTGTCCCACTTATTTATTTAGTGTCTAATAATAATAATAATAATAATAATACCTTATTGACACCCATAGATTATCTTCCCTCTCATAGTCGTACTCGGGGAAAAGTTTACTACGTGTACTTTTTGTATTGTCCAAGCCAATAATGTCAAAACATTGTTTTATCCAACATAAACCAAGGTCTTTATTATATCCAATGTGATTATAATTTGTTAATCATGAGAGAGGGTTTTCAAAACTTCTGGTTGATTATGAGAGGAAATAGACAGACAACTACTATGAGACAACGAATGAGGGATCCGTAGGGGAAAAAAAAACTTATGCTGTTGTACTACTCATTTTCTCTCCTTTCGTATCATGTTATTTTCATCTTTTTTTATATCTCTCTAAGGTATTTTTTTGACTAATGACAAGAATCGAAAACAATTATTGTTCTAAACGATTCGAAATTAGATATTAGAGCACACATTTGGTTGTTTATTTTAGAAAATTAGAGAGTAAAGGGAGTGTGAAATAAGTATTATTATTACTTGTTTTAAAAAGAAATATAGTACTATTTGGTATTGGTGAAAAATGCTATGTATAAATCCATGAGAATAGTGCAGAGATTTGGTAAGTTACTGGTGCTGCCAATGTTTTGTTGATGTGCATATTGAAGGGATGTGTAGGCTTTCTATTCTTTTTTCTCTTTCGTTATTATTTCTCCTTGAATTGTATAGCATGTCTCTCGTGCTTGAATTTTGGATGGTATTGGCTATTTTAGTGTTATTTTTGTATACATTTATGGTGCTTATTATTTTTTAATAAAGCATCTATTCCAACAACAAAAATACAGATTTGGTAAGAAAATTGAATTGTTTTTATATGGTGAGAATAAATTTAAATAATTTTGTTCGGTTCTATTATTTGATTTGAATACATTTTATGGCCATTAAACTCATCATTTCTTCCCCAGAAAAAACGCATAATTTCATATCGCGCTGCATTCACACCAAAATAATAATAAATGTACTGCTCCAAATCCACCTCTTAATGCATCTGCCCAGGCGCATACTACACTGGAAAAGAAACATCCCACCAAGAAAGAAACTAATAGCCAATCCAACTAATCTTTAATTTCGCATGGAATATTATTTATATTTTTCGTCTAAACATATCCATCAGATAAATACGAGAAATCTTCATAAATTTGATGGTAACCAATTTACTAAAAATTATTAAAATGATCCAACTCACACCCCCCCATTATTCGATCCCTTCCCCTGTATATGAGAATAGTTTAGAATATCGCTTTGTAAAAATAAAGTTTATACATTTGAAGTTTTTATCACGGTAATTATGATATTCCAAATCACCTATATATAGTAATTGGAGTAATTTAAAATATTACATTTTGCATCTGAGTTCGATTCTCATCATCCTACTTAAATAGTAATTTAGAATATTACTTTGTCAGAAAGAAAAAAAAATATTTAAACGCATGAAAATAGTAATTATTATTTTTTGTTTGATACGATTTTCATTATATTTTTTAAAAACTAAATAAATATAATTAAAAAAATCTGACTATTTAAGTTTTGCATTATTTTCCATCACCTTTATAACCTTCATTCTAATTTCTTTCTATTTTTAAGTAGAGAAATAAAAATACAAAATCCATACGAAACGAGTGTTCTTATAAATAAATACATGAAAAACAAAAGAATGAAAACGAGAGGTTAAGATAAGTAGACAATACTTACTATAACGGCAGTGGCACGGTCGTAAAAATTAAGAAGAAGAGAAAAGTGCAATTGACAGAAAGAAAAACAGGAAAAAAAAGAAAAGAAAAGAAAGGAAAGGAAATATTTGATGAGCAAAGAGAAACTGAGAAGCAAAGAAAATGAAAGCTTGTTGTGGAGGAAAGAAGCAAATCTAGACGACAACAAAAGCCAGTATAAACTCCCCAATTTCACTTTCTCTCCGCATCAAATTTTCTCCGAGGAGAGAGAATGCTAGAAAATTGTCGCTTCTTTCGCACCGATCCACTACCGCTTTAGCTTCCGATCCGTACACCCAGACAAAGCAATTAATGATTTAGATCCGACTGTCTGATACAACATTCGTCGCGTTGCGATTGGAATCTTCGAGCTCTGTGGTTCAGTTTCGAAGTTTTCGGGATCGCAGTTGCTGCTCATACACTGGGTTTGGTTGAAGCCATTTTTGTCTCTGTGAGCCAAGCAGACTGAAACTACTTTCGCCGAAATGGTGATTTTTGGCTTGTAATTTCGACTTCAATGGAGGTTTAGAGTGGCCAGTGGGGGCTGAATTGGAGTTTGAATTAGGTTTTGTTTTGCTCTTGTGGCGCCGTCTCTGCTTTTGTGTCTTCAAATGGCAGCATCTAGGGTTTCGGGGTTGCGCTGCACGATGAAGATCTTTATTTGATTAGATTACATACGTGGACGTTGAGCCTCTGCATTGCGAATGGTACGGTTGTTTCAGTTGCTACATTAATTTGTGCAATTTTTTTATGCATTTTAACAAAAGATTTCGGCTTTGAGTTGACTTGGGCTTACCATACCATGTATGCTTCCCATTGGTATTAAGTCGCTGGTGTTGAAATTCAATTAATTTGAAGCAATTCGCGTAGACGCGAATCAGAAAGGAGTTTGGTTTCTGAAGTGAAACTGGGAAAGTGATTGTGGGCATAATTTATTTTCATTGTGAGTAGTAGCTAGCTAGCTAGATGTATATGATGGGCTATTGCTTCAATTTGCGTTGTATGGAGAGTTTGGGCTGGCGGTTTTGAGTTTGTAGCTTTTGGTGGTGAGAGATGCCTCCTTCGCCGGCAATGAGATGCTCTCCCGGACGAGAGCCGAGAGGGAACCATCACAGACGAGGTCGCAGTTTTGAGAGTGGAATTTTTTTGAAAGAGAAAGATGAAGATCTTGCCTTATTCAATGAAATGCAGACGCGAGAAAAAGAGGATTTCTTGCTTCAGTCGTCAGATGATCTCGAAGACACATTTGGTAAGATTACATTTATTTATGATTTTATAGGAGGTGGAGAGTTCAGGATTTTGTCTCTGACTGACAGGGCTTCTTGTCTATTTTCAATATTACAGCTACAAAATTGAGGCAATTTTCGGATTTGAAGCTCGGAATCGCCATTCCTACACGTGGAGAGAGTAGTGACCTGCTTAATGTGGAGGGGGAGAAAAATGACTATGACTGGTGAATTATACTTTTTCTTTTTCTGATTTCTTAAGTTATTGTTGCTGTATTACTAATTTTATGACGTTCTTTGCATTCTGAAGGACTAAAAACATGATTAAATTGCATCTAGGAACAATTTTCATGTGTTTTACAATTTGAAAGGGTATGTGTTTTACATTTTAAAATCATGATTCACCAAAACCAAGGTTGTAAGACAGATGTCCTGCCTGTAAAACTGGGAATTGTAATGTTATGTAGACCACAATAATTTACTTTTTTGGATGACAAAGAAAGCAGAAGTTTTTATGTTTTTTTTTGGATGACAAAGAATTTTAAATAACAGTATGCACTCCTCGTGTGCGAGATAATAGAGGAGTGTGAGAAGTGATTTTCTGAGTGCCAAAATCATATCTAAGAGGGTTTGTCTATTTAATGTATATTTTGATTTATCTGAGAATTTAAGCTTCTCTGTCCAAAAGCTGCAAAATGTCATTGCCTGAAATTGTCCATTTATTCACAGAGCAAAAACTGAACGGTCATTATGTTATGAGAAATGTGTTGCATTTTGTTCTTTTCATGATGCTTTTCAGTGTCCGCCCTGTTTGTCCCTTTTTATTGATGGAATGATCTGGTGTTTAAATGTCAAAGGTTATTAACGCCTCCCGACACCCCTCTTTTTCCTTCCTTGGATAATGAGCCGCCACCAGTTAATGCACCACAGAGGGGCAGACCTCGAAGTCAACCAATTACTATATCAAGATCATCCACGGTAGGGAGTCAAATCACTTTTATGGGATTTGATTATGCTTGGTTTCTGAAATATTTCCTTAAAAGATTATGCTGAGATCATAATTTTCCTTATACTCTACATTATACTTGCTTCATTTGCAGATGGAGAAGAGTTACCGAAGCAGCAGGGGTAGTGCTAGTCCTAATCGCTTAAGTCCATCTCCTCGTTCTGGGAATAGTTCATTTCAGTCAAGGGGAAGGCCGTCACCTGTACGTCATTCCAGTCCAACCCCAAGTCTACGGTCTGCTACTCCATCACGGAGACCATCTTCTCCATCACAGAGACCTTCTACTCCCCCAAGTAAATCCCCAACACCTGCTCCAAGGTCTTCTACCCCCACACCACGGAGAATGAGCACTGGGTCCAGTAGTACTGTGGCCTCACCGGGGATAAGAGGAACTTCTCCGGTAAAGACAAGTCGAGGGAACTCTGCTTCACCAAAAATAAGAGCATGGCAAACAAATATTCCAGGCTTCTCCTCTGACGCACCTCCCAACCTTCGTACTTCTCTTGCTGATCGACCTGCAACATATGTGAGGGGTTCCTCACCAGCATCTAGAAATGGTAGGGACCATTCCTCCAACTACAGAAGGCAATCAATGTCTCCAACTGCTTCTAGAAGTGTTAGTTCATCTCATAGTCATGATCGAGATCCATTTAGTTCGCACAGCAAATGTTCTATAGCATCTTCTGGTGATGATGATGTAGACTCTCTGCAATCTCTTCCTGTGGGTAGTTTAGACCGATCAACTTCAAGAAGAGTTGCTGCTTTCTCAAACAACAGAGCTGTGGCCTTCTCAAAAAGACCAGCCAAAATGGTGTCCTCATCTTCTGCTCCAAAAAGATCCTTTGATTCTGCTCTTCGACAAATGGTACTTAATGATCTAGTGCATTTAATTGATCCTTTATGATAAGATATTTCTTTTGTCATTTAATGAGAGGAAATTAATTTATAATAACTTAGCCCTTTAATTATTTAGAATTGTCAAAATTGTTGTCTGCAAATGTATTCTCTTGCTTGTTCAATTCACTGTCTTTGTGGTGTGTTTCTTTCCTATTTCAAGTAATGACAATCACATTGGGTTTAACTGAAATTATAAAAAATGCCAAAAACAGGAAGTGTACTGAATTATTATAAGTTCCTTCTCTCTTCGTATTTTTATTAGGTATTTATTATGGTCTAGTGTTTTTCAATGAAATGTAGAGCATTGAAATCCTATAATTATTAAATATGTTACATTTTGCACTTCCCTCATTATGATTTATCTGTTCATTCGTTGTAGGTTTTCACATTTCATAGAATTAATGCCTTCCAATGTCTGTGCAGGATCACCGTAAAAGTCCTCAGATGTTTAGGCCACTCTTATCTAGTGTTCCCAGTAGCACCTTCTATGTTGGAAAAGCAAGTTCTGTGCATCGTCCTCTGATTTCCAGGAACTCCTCAGTCACAACTAGCAGCAATGCAAGTTCTGATCTAGGTACTAGTGTTGCACCTGATACGGAAGGGAGTGATCACAACCAGGATGATATGGCCAGTGAATCTGAGAAAGTGCCATACTCTGATGTTCATGAAGAGGTATTTGGCTTTGATAAGATGGACGCAGTAAATGAAGACACCAGGCATGATATCCATGATGGGCCACATGACCTTCATCAGGGTGACTTCAATAGAGGCACTGCAGTGGAGGGTGGAGCTGCTCACTCTGAAGATTATGGTCGCCCCAATGTCATCATGGATGTCAGTCCAACCTCAGAAGATTCTCATGTTAAGGGTGATTTTTCAGAAATTGATAGTCTCGAAGACATGGAACCTTGTCCTAAATGTGGTCGCAGATTTTATGTTTCGGATCAGGCGGAAAGGAACACTAGATTTTGTCCAGAGTGCAGTAGGGAAGATAAACTTCTGAGTGTCCTTATTCCGGAGATAACCGTAGTTCCTGAACACTCCACACCTTTGTCTGTAAAAAATTTGGAAGAAGAAAAGCTTTTGGATGCAATGGAAACCATGATGGTTGTGCCTGGATCTCCACAAGTTTCTGATTTGGGGAAACCACAGAGTTCCCAGCGTGAAGAGAATGTTGATCCAGGCCAAACTATCTGCAGTGAGAAATTCCCTAATTGTTTACAGGAAAAATCTCTTGCAAGACCAGTGGTGGAGGGAGTTGAGGATGGGCTAGCTAACCAGCAAGAGGTGGACTCACAGACTGTTGGTTGTGGGCTGCCTAATAGTGACATTGGGGGTCAGAATTTGCATCATTCTAACAACTATCGAAATATGAGGGTTGACATTTCAGAAGGTGCGGGCATTTCCATACTTCTGAAGAGGACAAGCAGTAGCAAAGGGGCAGTTGTTCAGGGCAGGACTTTCACAGCCACTACCATACCTTATGAGGATCTGTCATATGCTAGAGATAGTTCAAACAGTATGAGAAGCTCCATTGGCCATGGTAGTTTCTCTGCATCATCTTCAGTTGATTTCGGTTCAGCTAGACAAACTGAGACTCGTGTGCAGCGACAGTTAAGTGGCAAGAAGTCAGACATGGAGAATCACAGACATGACACCAATATAAAACCCCAAAGCATTGCATCATCTTCCTATGGAGATTCAAACCATGCTCACCAAGCTCTAGGTCTTTCATCAAACACACATGATGATGATATTGAGGTTGCTGGGGGAATTTTGGAATGTGATGTTGCAGAGGTGACTCACATAACATCGCAAGAACGCTTGCTAGCTTCAGAATGTACAGACGCAGATGCTACTACTACTTCTACCAGGACAACTGTTGGTGAGGAAGATGATACCGAGTTCAATTCTAGCAGTAGAAGAGTTGATACTTCTAACTCAGAGTTGTCGAGCCATGCAGTTAGCTCTCCATTAGAAGACAATTGGGTAGCAAAATTTCCAATTTGTGAAAATGGTGCTTCAAATGAGCACGGTGAAGAATTGCAAAACAATGCAAGGAGTTCCACAGATGTAGAAGTTGCAACTCCAGAGCCATCATTCAAGGAGGAAAACACCAATCTCAACAGTACTGTTGACGGACTGGATGTTGAAGAGATTGCTACTCACAGCTCTTTGGTTACAGTATCAGTATCAGAAATAGAAACTGAAAAATGTCATCAGACTTACCCTTGTTCACTCAACGATGATGCTCCCCTTGAATCAAGGAGCACCTTGGAGGAATTTCAGGAGCCTTCAGTTCCAATTCCTTCTGACAGTGATCTGACATCTTCTGTTCCAGAGACCAACAACGCTACTAATGCATATGGCATCCTAGGTATGATTTATGATTTGCATTGAAATTTTTTTTTTGCTAATTAAGAGTTCAACAAACTCTTTTTTTTTGGTTTTGTTTTTTGTGAGGATGAGTATCACGTGGAGTTCATGATTTAGTAATTTTCTATGACTATTTTGTTGTCCCTCATGCGATCTGACCCTCATCTTTTCCAGTTGTTGAAAGAAGCATCATATCCTGACCACCTTATACTCCATTATGCATTATGTTTCTCTCATGTTTGTATTGTGCTAATTCTCAGTTTTGAGATGGAATTAGAGTGATTAGCTGACAAGATCTCTATGTTTTTTTTAGAAGAGGAATCGACAGTAATGGTTGAGTGTCGAGGTCGAAGCAAGACAAAAAGCCTGACACTAGAAGAGGCAACAGATACAATACTCTTCTGCAGCTCCCTTGTCCATGATCTGGCCTACGAGGCCGCAGCCATAGCAATGGAAAAGGAAAGCCCAGTCGCCTTAGAAGGTTTGCAGCCTACAATTACAATATTGGGGAAGTCCAATCCTGAGAGAAAGGAACCACGTGGCAGAACTGTTGGTCGACGTACTTCAAAACCTCGAAAGAGCAGGCAAAAGTGGGTGGAAACAGATGCCGAACCCCCTGTTAGTAAGACTGAGAACGATGAGAATGTTGACGAGTCTATGCAACGCAATGTAGGGCTTCCTAACAAGGTAGACGGCATGAAGCCTCCGAAGCTGGAATCCAAGTGCAACTGCACTATAATGTGAAAAGTATTCATTGAAATCCTGCTTAAAGTGGCCGCCGTGCATTTTGACCATTCCCTCCCTTCCGTGGTTCAGTTCGGCCTCTAAGGAGGAGATGGTCCTGAGTTCTTGTATTTTAAGGGTTTTATGTTTGAAGGGGCTGTTTGGGGTAGTTGGCAATTGTTTCTGTTGGTTGGTTGCAATATATTTGTAAGAATCCACGGTGTTTTGATGACGTAATTGTAAAGTTCTCCCTTGTCATTGGGCTGATAATGGTGAGAGGCATTGGAGGGGTTTGTGTTTGCCTCCACTTCCCACATTCTCTTGTTATTGGATCAGTGATTCCGATTCCGATGTGGTTCAATTCCTCCATTTGGGGAAGTGTGTGTGTGTACAAGAACCCGATTCATATTCATTAAGATTGTTTCAAAAGTATACCTCGATTTTTTTTTCCGTAGTTTATTGGAGCAGGCAAAAAGAGGAGTTTTTATAAAAAATAGTCAAAATTTAACTCTCAAATTCATAAATGTCAATTTTTTAAAATACTTTCAAATATAGCCAAAAACTCACTTAAATTGACCCAAATGCCCTCTAAATTAACTCAATTACACCTAAAAGCTAAAACCCAAAATTACAGGAGCACGAAAACAAGATTGGCTTCGTCAACTTAATCATGCCTATGAATCCTATTATAAAAATGACAATGTAATTACCAAAAAGAAGAAGAAAAGTAACAGTCGATGTTTTCATAAATCGAAGCAATAAAAATCATCTCTGCGACTATGGCTTGATTCATGGGTTTGGGAGTTTTTTACAATAAAAAAAGTTAAAGTCAGTTTCTTGACATAATAATTTTTAATTGAGAAAAAAAGTTGAACTTTCTCGCAAAATTTGTATCATAAATACTGCTAGTCTGCATATGATATGAGGGTTAAACTTTCTTGCAAACCATCATATGTGCTGCTGCCTTCCCTCACCACAAGAGGTCTAGAAAAATTGCAAGGCCCTCGCTGTTCATAGACTATCTTCCCACAACACAAACTTGCCTATATTAACTTTGCTTTCCATTAAGGGTGATTGGCGAGGGGCAGCGTCCTTATGTTTGAGGGTAGGCTAAGTGGAGAGTGAGGCTTGTGCTCAATAGCTTACGGCTTGGAAGAGCATGCTTTTTGGTTAGGTTTTAATTTAGAGGGCATTTGGGTCAATTTAAGTGAGTTTTTGGCTATATTTGAAAGTTTTTTAAAAAACGGACATTTATGAATTTGAGGGTTAAATTTTAGTTTTTTTGATAAAAACTCCTATGTTGGTTTCTAATCCAAGGCCTTGTCTCATAATAAGCGGTCAAGAGATCCTCTCATTTAGCTTTAAGTGGTTAAGAAAATTTATTCATATAATATGATCCTAGATCTACTAGTGTTACTAAAAGAAAGGTGGAGAAAGGTGTGTCGTCCTGAGTTGTAGACAAGAAGTCTTAGGTTTGAACCCCCTAACATCTTAGTTGTGTGTGTGTGTGAGAAACCCCGCTTCCTATAGTTTAGACTATTACTTATACTCAAAACAAAGGGAGAGAAAAGTCTATCGCTTCTATACGTACCCAATGGAATGAAACTCCCCTCAAGTAAAATGGACAAAAGTATCCCATAAAAATAGGTCCTAAAATTACACAAAATGAGAAGAGCTCAAAACAGGGCGGGAAAGAAAAGTTCCACAAAATGGCGGGAAACCCATAAACATAGATAAAGGGCAGGACGTGAAACTCTTTAATCTACCATGGAATCCAGTTCAGACTCAGATGGCTCTCATATCTCCGCCACTCCGCCAAGGCACACTAAGCCCTCACGGCAACGACCACCTCGACCACCACCACAGCCACAGCCAAAGCCTTTGGAGCCAAAACCAGAGCCAAAGTTGAAACCAAAGCCAAAGCCTGCCCTTCTACCCTCCCACAAATCCATACTTAGATTCAGAGCCTCGTCCAAATCCAACCCCATTTCCGAACCCAAAAATCCCTCTTCCGAGCCCACCCTACCCGACCCACCACCGGATCCATCTCCCCTTTTCTCCCCCACCTTACCTTACCAGATATGCCGCTGGCCGTCCGATCCATCCCGTGCGATTCCCGTCGTTGATTCTGGGGATACCCTTCTCGCCCCGCAGGGTCGGCACTTCTACAAGTCACCGTCGTTCTCGAAAATTCGACGAACCACCATCAATTTCGATTCTTTCGAAGACGACGAGCCGTCGTCTTCTTCTTCGGCACCAAAGCCTCAGCCGAAGGCAGAGAATGGTGTGTCTGATTCTTCTGTGCCCGATTGGGTACCACCAGAGCCCAAGCGTGAAGTGGCTAGCGGGTCTGGAGTTTCAGCCATAGCTGTAAAGAAACGTTTCGATTTGGTTGGAGGCAATGTGCCTTCGGTGCCTGTAAAGTTCCGAAAAAGTGGGGCTGAAGGGAACTTCGTCAAGCTCAATCTGAATCGCAGGAAACGCAAATTTGTGAACAGAAGAGGAAATAGCAGTTCATCAGGTCGTCGAAAATTTTATAGAAAGGGCAAAAGGAAATTGAAATCACATGGTGAAAATGAGGGTGAGACTGTTGGTGAAGAAGATGAGTTGGTTACAGATGCTATTGTACAACAACAGAATCGGAAGCAGGACAGTAAAAGACCGAAATTTGATTCCGAATTGTTTGAAGAGGCGGTTTCGGCGGCACGAAATGAGCCGTCGGATGAGAACTTGGTGAAATTGTTGAGTCTAACTTATGGATACGATTCATTCCGAGATGGGCAGCTGGAGGCGATCAAGATGGTGCTTGAAGGAAAGTCGACAATGCTTGTTTTGCCTACGGGTGCTGGCAAATCGTTGTGTTATCAGTTGCCCTCCATAATTTTACCTGGGGTTACTTTGGTTGTTAGTCCATTGATTGCATTGATGATTGACCAGCTGAAGCAGTTGCCTCATATGATTCGTGGTGGTCTTTTGAGTAGCAGTCAGGTATGTCATGCTCTCTCTCTCATTGCCCAAATGCAAATATATGTGTAATTTGATTCTTTTTGTTTTTGTAGAGACCTGAAGAAGCCTCCGAGACAATTAGGCTGCTTCAACAAGGGGCCATAAAGGTTGGTATATCAACCTTTGTAAGAGTAATTTGTCTGCATTACTGATTAATTGTCATAATCATATGCATGCTTAAATGTTTTGTTGTTACATTCATCTTTCACGGATACAGAATGTGTTTTACCTTTACTGCTCATAAAGTGTACAAGTTATTTCTATTTGAACTGTTTCCGGAGAGCTAAGGTTTGATGTGTTGTACTGCAGGTGCTTTTAGTTTCGCCAGAGAGGTTTTTGAATACAGAATTTCTATCCATATTTTCTGCCACCACAGTTATATCTCTTGTTGTGGTGGATGAAGCTCATTGTATTTCTGAATGGTGAGTGAATAGTGATGGTTGCAGAAACTGTTGTCTTCTTGATTTTAGTTGTCTTAATACATGTTTTTTGTAGTTTGGTAATTACTCCTCACCCTTCCAGCTCAATTTCATATCTCATTACATATGATTCCCCTTAAATACTTAATTTTGAAGGTTTTTCCAGGTCACATAATTTCCGTCCCTCATTTATGAGGCTCAGAGCATCTTTGCTTCGTGCCAAGCTCAATGTCAACTGCATTCTTGCAATGACAGCTACTGCCACAGCCACGACTTTGGGTTCTGTGATGTCAGCTTTAGAGATTCCTCCAACCAATCTCATTCAAAAAGCCATACTGAGGGATAATTTACAACTGTCAGTGTCGTTGAGCAGAAATAGGTAAGTCTGAGTGCTCCTTACTCCCCCTTTGTTTTATCAGTTTTCTTACACGATTAACTAAATTTGTTATGAATAAATAGAATGAAAGATCTGCTGATGTTGATCAAGTCTACTTCATTCACGGATGTTCAGAGCATCATTATCTACTGCAAGTTTCAGGTACACATAGTGTCATTCAAATGTCAGTGTTTTGTTGAGATGTTTTAAAACACTGTATATTGGGTAGTCTTAAGGCGTTTTCAAAGATACCATTTTCAACAAGATTAGGTAGTTCTGTAAAATTGCCCCTCTTTCTTCCCTCTTTCTTGTATGAGGGAATGCTCAAACTTCAGATTGTCATGCTATGTGCCCCTAAATATGTTGTGGTGGGATTATAATACTGTTAAACTACTGGCGGCTGAGGATCACTATCACTTTTTTCAATGAATATACATTCTTTCTTAATACTCGTTTAGTGTGGATGAATATAGTCCTACGTTCTTGACACTCAGTGGAAAATATTCCTTTCATTCTAATTTTGCAGTTTGAAACTGAAATGATAAGCCGATACTTATGCGATAATAATATCTCTGCGAAGGTCAGTTTTCCATATTTCATAGTTGCATGAATTATAACTTGTATGTAACTCTTGGTGAGGAATGGTAAAATCTGACCACATTGTAAAATGCTATTCAGAGTTACCACAGTGGCATCCCTGCAAAAGATCGTAGTCGTGTGCAGGAGTTGTTTTTCACTGACAAGATTCGTGTGGTAAGAATATTACCCTGCTCATGCCGTAATCCTGTATTATGCTCTTTTCATTATGTTATGGATATGTTTCTTTTTCCTTTATTTTTTTTATATGTAGCAAACTGAAACTTTCGGATTCTTGGATGATTGACTTGTATGTTTTCATGGAAGGTTGTTGCAACTGTGGCCTTTGGCATGGGCCTTGACAAGAGGGATATTGGTGCTGTAAGAGAAACTATACTCTTTAACTTTTTTTCCTTTTCTGGAAATACTCATGATTAGGGTTGCTCATCGAATTATATTCTCTTGAATTGTAACCCGAGAAAGGCAACAGTTGGTGTCTGTACTAAACAGCATATTAAACTTTGCAGTGCATGGATGGGTAGGTCGATTAAGTGTGGCTTGTGCTCCTAGCTTCTTAGAAAGTCCATAGAAAATCTCTGGTAGTTCCACCCCAAAAAGAGAGTCAAGGCCTGTTAGTAGACACTTTAGTCATTAGTGTGCCTACATAAACACATGTATGCACATGTTTACTTCATGATGGCATATATCTGCATATATGCTTGCTGGCTTATTGTTTAGAAATTGTTTCTGGAAGTCCTGATTGCATCTTTTTCAGGTGATTCATTACACCTTGCCGGAAAGCTTGGAGGAGTATGTTCAGGTGGAACTTTTTTCTAAACCACTGAATGGTTAAAAGATGTTCTTTATCTCAGAATTTGTTAACAAAATGAATGATAAAATTATGTAGGAGATCGGACGTGCTGGACGGGATGGGAGGTTGTCCTATTGCCATCTTTATTTTGATGAGGATACATATTTCAAACTTCGCAGTCTTATGTATAGGTAGTTAAATATGATTACATCTTCTATTAACTTTGGTTTTTCAAAGGCTTTCATAGGTTTAAAAGTGGTTCACAACTTTACTGTATTGTGTTCTCAGTGATGGTGTGGATGAATATGTGGTGAACAAATTCCTCTGTCAAGTATTCACCAGTGATGAAAGCTTGCATGGGAAAATTTGTTCGCTGGTTAAAGAAACTGCATCCCGCAAGTTTGATATGAAAGAAGAGGTCCTTCCCTGCTACTGTTGCTGTTCAGTATTCTGAATTTTGATGTCGAGTCATGATAGTAGAATCACTTACAAGGAGTTTCAGAAGCTGTGTACTAAGATATTCTGTTCCTGGTATTTGTTTTGGCAGGTGATGCTCACACTTCTAACACAGTTGGAGTTGGGTGAAGTGCGGTATTTGCATATACTTCCAGAGTTAAATGTAACATGCACTTTGAATTTTCATAAGGTAGGTAGCAAATACGTTTTGAGGTTTCTGTTTCCTCATGATTTAACTTTGAGCTAAATGCTACAAGATTGACCTCTTGATGATTGAATATTGCGGTACTTGCATGAATGCAGACATCCCCAGTTTTGCTTGCTGGAAATGATTCTGTTGTTGCTGCAATTCTGAAAAAGTGAGTATGATTAGTGGTTTTGATTGCACAAAGAAATTGAATGACTTTTCACGAAGAAACAAGTGGTGAACCAAATTATGCTTGATGAGATTTGTCAGGTCTGAGACTAAGCAAGGACAATATGTGTTTGACATACCGACTGTGGCAAATAGCATTGGAGTTACAGCTACCATCCTATCAAACCATTTACAGAATTTAAAGGTTTGAATACTTTGAAAGAAAATCTTATGTTGAGAAAAATTAACTATTTGAGTTGAAAGCATAAAAAGGGGAAGGCTGAATGGGGTTATGGCATCTACCTATTTTTGCTTTCATTTGTATATTTCCCTTGTTTGATTGGTAAGATTTGTCCCAACCCTATCCCACCCATGATATCTTTTAAAAAAGAAGCCAATTGTCTCATATGCTTCACTTGACTTGTTCGAAGTTTATGGAATGCTTATAGTTACGGATTGGGCCTTTGATAAGCTACCATGTATTATTATCTTCTAAAGGTGGAAAAAGTACTGTGTTATCATCCCCCCATGTATCTATACCATGGTGCTCATGTAACCTCTCTTTTTCCCTTTTGATATTATTTTAGTTGAAAGGAGAAGTAACATATGAAGTGAAGGACCAAGCCTACTGTTATACAATTGTTGAAGTCCCTGCAGATCTTTGTTCTCTATCAGCACATCTTACAAAATGGTTATCAGAGGTGGAAAGTTGCAAGGTAAATGATGATATGCTATCAGATTAAAGGTGTTTCTCAATTCCAATACACATTCTACCATAAACGACAGTGAGAGGGAGGGAAGTATAAATAAAATCATATAAGCCATCCCTTACAGCTGCTGTTCAGTAGCAATGGTCATAAACAAGTGCTTTTTCTTGTTCATATCCGTAAGGAACCAGTTCGAACTGATGCTAAAGTGGGCCTATTGGTAAACCCATATATGAAAATGGTATCAGCTCTTGGTTGTTAGAACCCTGTTGATGGGCTGTTGTGGGTTCTTTTAACTTTTGTGCGTGTTCAATGTGCATGCCTGCATTTTTTCTGTACTAATGATTTGTTATCTGCTTTTTATTTAGGTGCGGAAGTTGGACACAATGTTTAATGCGGCAGTCTTTGCTGTTAATTCTTGTGAGAAGGTGCAAGGTTGTTGTGATGCCCAGCACACACTATGTTTGCAAAGGAATATTTTGGAATATTTCAATGAAGATGATAATTTTGAAGTCCCTAATAAGATGGGTAAAGACAGGTTGGTATGATGACTTGATGACATTTGGCTGTTGAAACTTAAAAATCGTTTTAAATGCCCATATGCTTAATTTGTGCATGAAAAGTTTTGCGTTTCTAACTCACTTGTCCATATGCTTAATTTGTGGCATGAAGATTTCTTTTTCTAACTCGCTATGTACTGATATCATTATCATTTACATGTGCAGCCGATTTTTGCGAGCAGATATAAAAGTAAGAACCTACATATTTGATTAGATCCTAAACTCAAGGCAGCTCATGCTTGGCAGTTCTAATGCGTTGGCTCTTCTTGGAATGACAGGTCTTTCTGCAGAGCAATTCACAGGCCAAATTCACCCCAAGAGCTGTTGCAAGGATAATGCATGGCATTGCAAGCCCATCCTATCCTTCCACATTCTGGTCTAAAACTCACTTCTGGTATGTAAACAAAACTGAATCTCGGAATTGTATTCATTTGATTTGTAGGGTTGGACACCATTTAAAGTGTTTGAGCCACGTGCTTGGCAATGTGCTTTTCTATGGTTTCAAGTAATTCTCATGAATTTTTTTTGGAGCTAATATGCTCATTCTGTATTACAGGGGAAGATATACAAATATAGACTTCCAGGTGGTAATCGAAGCAGCAAAGGCAGAATTGATCAATTTTGTGAGGAAAGATGCAGTGTAGCTTCTTAGAGTCAGGCATGCTGTCTTGTATAGCAATCAAGAGGATGGCAATTGAAGGTAATAGATAGAAACTGTCATATGCTAAAATATTGTCAATGTACTGCCACCAACTAATTTTTCACTGTAAGCAAAGAAAGATGCGTTCCATTTTCTGTTTATTATTGCAGTTTGGAATCAGATAAACAAAATTTCTCAACTCTAGGGCTCCAGGAACTCAGTTTTACCATTAGTAGGTAAGCAGCAACCTGCTCCTCTCTCTATCTCTATCTCTCTCTCTCTCTCTCTCTCTCTCTCTCTCTCTCTCTCATCCTTGTTGTCACAGGAATGGCAAAGCCCAAATCTACATGAACACAAAGAATAAGGGTTTATTAAGGAAGGGCCATATAAGGTTACAAAGATTCAAAGCTCAGAATGGGAAGGATCTGAACTCAGGCAGTTGGGTGAGTGGAAGAAGGGTGGTGTTGTCATTATCGATGGCTTTGATATGCAAAAAAGTATAAAGAAACGTAAACTATGCAATTAAGTTTTAATAATGGTCGGTTTACGAGTCATATTATCTGAAAGGTGAAAGTTTGCTCTAATTGGATTATGACAGAAGTGAATTGGACGTCTTGTCGCTTGCCACGACAGCGATTTACTATAAGACGCTACTGCTGGAGAAACTTCATGAGTTTTTGTAAAGTAATATGTTACAAATATTAGTTATACAAAGTTTACAGATAATCCATCCAACTTGGTCCATTTGGAGATAATTAAGCCTTAGAAAGAAAAAATGGCTATGGAGAAAAAAAAACCAAAATTTTCAAGTCTTAGGGATTGGAACCCATTTGGATTGCTTGCCCAACTCAAACAATCATTCATTTATTCATGGTAAATTTTCTTTGTTCTTAGGGATTGGAACCCATTTGGAAGACGTGCACAACTCAAACAATCATTCATTCGTATGGTAAATTTTCAATCTTTCTTAGGGATTGGAACCCTTTTGGAAGACTTGCACAACTCAAACACCCATTCATTCATGGCAAAATTTTCAAAGTACAAAGAGGAAAAAAGGCAAAGGGAACCGTAATAATATGCCACAATTGGGGGTATATTCTAGCAAAGTTTAGAAGAAAGAGGCATATTCAGTTAAAAGACTAGAGGCAAGGACCGTTAGTTATGAGAAAGCTAGAAGCAGCAAGCAACCAAATACATCAACAAGAGACGACCAAAAACCATAGCTGCGATGGCTCATAATACTCATAGCTGGTAGTACCAAGAAAGAAGAAGGAACCCACCTCCTCTGCTCTGACCACTTTTGCTTGTTTTCAAACATAACGACACCAAAAGGCTCAAACTTCGTAGATCGTTGTAGAATCAATCGGTCCTTATCATCACGTCACGCTCTCCCTCTCTCCTTCTCTCCCTCTCTCCCTCCTCCTTCCTCCTCCTACGCGTACAATCAAACAATCTATCAAGTGTCAGATTGGGTTTTGATTTTTCTGTTTACCCTTTTGAATTTACAATCTCGTTCGAATTCAACCAAGAAAAAGGCGATGGTTGAGGTGGCGGCATCTTCGACATCGTCGTCTTCAATCTTCACCAACTACCCTCTTCTCTCTGCTGTTGTAGCTTTCGCCATTGCCCAATTCATCAAGTTCTTCACCTCCTGGTACTTGTCTATCTCTTTTTTACACAATTCTTCGGATTTGGATCTTGCCCAATTCATCAATTCAAGATTTTTGTAATGCATGTTGCTTTGCTTCGTAGTTCTTTTTTCTGATTGACTTTTTCAATCTACCCAGAAAAATGGGTTGAATTGAATGTACCATGCATATCTTTTGCTAACTAGCATTTGCCCAGCTCTTGATTCTTGGGGTGAAAAATGAAATCAATTCACTATTCTTTTCTTTTTAATATTTATATATAAATTTAGAAGGTCCTTTAATCAAAACAACAATAAGCCTTAAAAAAATTTGCCAACCACACAATGCAATATCATAATTGAATGAGTGTTGGGTGAATTTCATAGCTAGGAGTCTACAGATTGGCTACATTTTTTGATTCAATGGCCATTTGATTCCTATGAGATGGTATAGGAAGGAAAATGAACTTCTGTAGAGCAATTCTTTAGGGGTACTTGTTCTTTCCTTTCGTGACAAGCCTCAAGAGTAGAGATGTTCTTGATCATTTAGGATTGTTGACTATTAGTTTATCCTAAGAGTTCTTAAACCTTGATAGATTTGCAGGTACAAGGAAAGACGATTGGATTTCAAGCAACTTGTAGGATCCGGCGGAATGCCGTCTTCTCATTCTGCGACTGTTACTGCGGTTGCTGCAGCCATTGGGTTCCAAGAAGGCGTTGGCGGACCAATCTTTGCAATTGGATTGATCTTAGCATGTGTTGTAAGATCCCTCTCTTCTTTGTTTAGCAATTTGCAGATAACATTTGGGCTTACATTTTTTAATTTTTTAATTTATTTACATTTTCAAAGTCTGAAGACATCATTTCGGTTTACATTGAATCTTATATTCATCTTGGATAATGATTATACAATGATAATTCAATACTGTCTCAGACTGCAGCCAGCTGAAATGTGTGTATTCACAGTCTTGAAACGTTTTAAATAAATTGATAATGGTTTATTGTTCTCATGTTATTTACAATGCACATGTCATGAGGAGATCTCTAATGTAGAAAATTTGGTGGCAGGTGATGTATGATGCAACTGGTGTGAGATTACAGGCTGGACGCCAAGCAGAGGTTTGATGTTTGATGTTTTTGCTTCTCCTGGTTCTCTTTTAGCCCCTTCCCACCCTTTTCTTTATTCTCTTGAGTTTCTGTGTCAACACTTTGTCTAAGAATTAACTTCAGAGAAACCTTGATGTTTGACGACCTTGCTTTTATCATGTTCTTCACATAATTCAGCTTCATCGTATCCTATTAAATTTTAGTTGATTTGGTTATGTATGTAATCTCATTGGATATGAATATTCTTCAGGTTTTGAATCAAATTGTGTATGAACTTCCTGCCGAACATCCTCTGGCAGAGAGCAGACCACTACGTGAACTTCTTGGCCACACACCCCCTCAGGTTCTCTATTAGTTTTTTACCTGTCAAATTGTTTAAAGGATACAGATTGTGTATCTATCAGTATTGGAAACCTAGAACTTTGATAAAATAAACCTTTTTTCTTATGATGATTGTTGTTCCCAATTGACAGGTTATTGTTGGTGGGTTGCTTGGAATCGTCACAGCAGTCATTGGCTACTTGATTACTGTAACAATCAGTCATACATGATGCTGGAATGGTTTACATCCACATAGATAGTGATACAATATAGCAGCATCTCTTGGTGCCTCATCTGTTATACCTTTGGATTGCAAATTGCAGATCCATCATACGCGGTATTTTCTGACTGCGAATACACAGTTCTTCTTGTCTATAATTCATTAGACTGCGTCCATTTGTATAAACACAAAAAATTTGTAAGATGTAATTTGATTGATTCAGTATCTTTTGTGATAAAAACGGTCTTGTTGAGACGATTTGTACCACACTGAGTTTAATAAAGATGCCATATTTTACTTTGGTACTACTACATCTAAAGTCCCATTTTTGTCTTTGTAATCCAAGCAAGGCATGAAGTAGGGATAACTTTTTATCATGCTTGTACGCTTTTGAACTTGTCAAAGGATGCACATGGACGACTTGGCAACGGTTGCCCATCTTTCATTCATTCTGCTGCTTCAAAAGCAATATCTCCGCCTAACATCTCAATGGCAATGACTTTTGCATGATGCCTCATGCAGTGCCCAAGATTCAGTTTAGATAATTCTTTCAAGCATGTGTGTGCATCCGGGAAGCCGTCAGGACGTAACCAATTCACCGTCCATAATTCATATGGTGGTATTTTTTCCATATCTGGTCCATAATTCATTGTCTAGTTTTAATGGAGCTTCTAATTGTCCTTTCACCAATTTGATCGATTATATTATGTTGGAGTTTTCCTCAGTCGGGCCCTCTTATTGAATCTCAGTTCCTCCTTTACAACTTGTATCAATAATGTGTGATTGTGCGGGAGAGTGAGAATTCAAAAGAATTTACTTGGTAACAAAGTGACATATACACAAGAACAAAGTCCATTACATTACAAGATGTCTCATGTTACGACAAACCTAATACGGAACAAGTAATATCCTGTCAATGGTCTATAAAGTACGTTACTCACATCAAGACCACTTTTATTTCAATACTGCATTGAGTATGCGGCCCCCTCTTTGGCTAGTATGTCGGGAAGAAGACAGCTCCTTCCAACCCAAAACAGCATTCCAATAACAAATGAATAAAAAATGAAAACTAAGAATTATGTCATCGATCAGCTTCTTGATCTCTCCTATTATGCGGTTTTACGCCCAAAGTAGCAGAAAAAACCCTTCTCATTTCTGTTATGGGATCCCCAACAACCCCAGACTTCACACGCCAAGCAACATGCTCATCAGGCCGAACTAGGATGGCTCCTTTGTCAGTCATTTGACAGAGATCCCACCATGATGATGGATTCGATGACTTTTTAACTTCCACAACATCTATGTAATTCTCCCAGGGCGTCAATAATGCCTTACTTCCTGCTTCAACTTGTTTAACACTACCAGCAGGCCACAAGACGCAAACCCTCGCAGAAACTTTGAATTCCTCGGCGACTTTGAATGCAGCATGAGCAAGATGGTAGGACGAGTCTGCTGGTGCTATGATGAGGAGAAACTCAATTTTGTCTCCAGATATAAGATCCAGTGTAGAAATAGTAACCTACATTAGTATGACAGTTAAGATGAATAAACATTGGAAATATAGTTAGTTTCAAAGCAGTTTGGCACTTTAGCAAAAATATGGGTTACTTCATGTTATTACTTGCAGAGTGAACTAAAACATTTAAGGCTTCCTGGTTTCTGGAGCCACAACCCACTGATGTAGACAAATTTAATGACAGCAAAAAGAAAACCGTTGGACAACACAAGCCAGAACATCTCCAGGCCAGCAGACATTTATCATGTAAATATTGAAAGAAAACAATAGCAACATACCTCACTTGAGGAATTTGACAATATCGCCACATTCATGTGGGGTAGCCTTGAACCTGGATCTACAGAAGGAACATAGTCCCTTCGGCGACCAGTAGGTCCTTCTGGAGCACCCAGTGCATCATCAGTATCAGGAATAAGTGCACCTTCTAGGTACCTAAATTGACAGCCTAGAATTAGACATGTATATATGTGCTTCTTTAGTTGTTGAAGAATTTATCAAATTGATAAACCAATTGACAAGCTTTCATACAGTTGCAGAAGCAGTTATGTCTAACTAGTTTGAGAATCACGTCTGATATGTGTGATACCTGAAACCAAGATCCTCTGCTGGGAACTGGAGTTGGAGACTCTTTCCTTCTTCAAATATCCGTCTTAGATTAGCAAGCCTTGAAGATCCAAGTGGGTTTTTTTCATTCAAAAGAGATTCCGATAGTTGTGCACGACCTATAGTGAAAATTCCATCCAAAATGGCCCTCTGTAGTCCAGATGGTAAGATGGAACCAACCCCCTCATTTATGACTTGATGTACTGCAAATCAAGAAGGAAAGTAATAGCCGCATGTCTCTAACAAACAAGGAAAGCAGCTCACCATGCAAAATGCTATAGTAGATTGGTTTACCAGAATTTGCAACAGTTGGATCAAGACCAAGTGCTGCTGGAACAGTCATGGCTGCTTTAAAGTTCTGAATGCTAAGTTCTGTATTGAAAATGGCAATCTGACAAAAGGCATAGTATGAAGATTACAAATCCATTCTAATTTCCAAAAAAAGTTATAAATAAAAGTGAAGAAGAGTGAAGAAGAAAAAACCAATACCGGCCTACGTTCTGTTTCATAAGTATGAAGTATTGAAGATGGTGCAATACCCTTCACTACAGAAGCTATTTTCCAAGCAAGATTATGAGAATCTTGAATTCCAGTATTCATTCCTGGACAAATCACATGAAAGGCCAAAAACACATTTGCATGATAAACACCTGGAGAGCTTCCCTCATCTGCATAACAAAAGCAAACTACTAACCAAATCCTCCAGCAGGAGGGAATCGATGGGCAGCATCACCAGCAAGTATTATTCGGTTTCCACAACTTATGAACTTCTCAGCAACTTCAGCATGCATCACCCATGGTTTTATGTCAATTACATTTATGTCACTTAGCTCTCGACCAACCAAATTGAAGATTAATTCCTCACATATCTACGACAAGTAAATCCTTATGAGCAAGTACCCACAATGAAGAAGCTTCTTATTAAGGCCTTAAATGTAAGAAAATGCCTTCAATTTAGTGGAAACAATCATGAGACTGCATAGAACAATTTCCATAAAATTAACTTATCTACAATGCATAGCAAATATACCTCGGGACTGAAATCTTCAAGGTTTTGCTGAGGTGGATAAAATGGAATCTGCAAGATGATAAGAGACAATCCATGTAATTGCACATTTATATCACCAAACAAATTCCAAGACACTTTTAAAGCCAGCAATACCTGCAAAACAAACTCCCCTTGCTTGAGATCATGAGCGACAAGGACACCTATAGCTTCAGTATTGAAGATAAAAAACAGCATGCCGGGTCTCTCACTGAGCAAGTACTTCCCAAGATCCCTGCTAGAGAAATGGACACTCACAAGCTTCTGCAAGTCCCTCTTACCTCTCATATCTATTCCAGCCAGCTTACGTACAGTACTTCCAGCACCATCTGTACCAACAATGATATTACATCTGATATTCCTCTCCATACGTTTCCCATCTTTGAGAAAAGATGCAGTCACAGAAATAAAATCATCATTGGCTTTAATGGAAACACACTCATGCCCCATTAATAGTTGCCTTTCCTGAAAAGGCCTATGGTTAAGGCCTTCCAACTCGTTAGACATACATAACTTGAAGCTGAGATTTTCAAGCTCCTTAAGTAGTAAACTAATTAGCTTGTACTGCGAGAAGTGTGCAACAGAGGCCGGGCTGACAACTTGCTCAAAATCTGATGATAAAGTGAAACCAGAATGAAACTGCTAAAATACCAAATCCTAAAGCATATTCATACATTAAACAGTCTACTTATGAAATGTTTGAAAATATTGCACACACGGGCATGTCATCATTGTATTGGAATATCTTAAATAGTTAAAATGTCTGGTTGTCTAATCTCAAAGTTGCATAAGACTGACTTAAATGCTGTGTGCTAACTGGGAAAACAATGGAAGAATAAAGAGTTCAATTGCACCTTGGGGTTGCATATGGTCCACTGACCCAAGAATTGAACCATAGAGCGAAGTGCAATATATGAACTTCCTCCATAAATCTACTGGTGGTTGAGACCTCTGAATCTCCTCTGAGAGGCCATCCAATTTACGGAACACCTAATAATTTACAAGTTGAAATGAAGCTTGAATTCCTTCAAATAAGTCATTTAATTAGATCTTCCAAATATGAAAATCAACCTCCATGGACCGATTGTTGATGAAGTGTGCCTGCGGATGTTTTGAGAAAGTTTTGCTTTTCTCCAAAACTGAACATTTGACCCCTATAAAATAATAATGATACATGATGATTAATAATCGAGAACTTATTCCAACTTCTACCAGGAATAAGAACAACTTACAACCAATAGGTGGATATTAAATCATAAACTGCAATATATAAATCAAGCAAACAAGAGCTAGTACGTTTCATCAGAGAAAGTTGATTGCCCCAAAAAAAAAAAAGTCCTTAACTTCCGACAAGAAATTTCAGATTTTAAAACCTTACACTACCTTAACACATGCACCATCACATTCTATAAAACCTCCGCTCAAACACCACTCCTCCAGTAATGTCAAGCATGAATATTAATTAACTAGCACACTGAAATTTCCAACTTACTGCTCCCTTTGTTGACAATTTGATCATAAGAATTTATTTATTTATTTTAAAAAAATAACAAAGTATCTTTGAAGGTGAAAACAAATGCCAAATACAAGCATTCTAAACTTCCTTCTTCCCTCCCGAACTTTCTTTCTAGGCAACAAGCAAGACCAAAGGACTTTAAAAAAAGTTGGGTTAGAACAAGAACATACCTAGTTTTGTTAAAAGTATAGACAGAACAAGACCCACAGGTCCTGCACCTACTATCAGAACCGGAAGCACCGTATCATCGCCATTGTTGAATACCTTGGAGTCTGATAAGGCTCTTCTATGTATGTAGCCAGGTAGGCATGCTTGGATTCTGGCATTAGCTTTGTGTAGACCGCAAAACCTCTTGAACAACCTTGAAACCGCCATAACCCAGCAGCTGATCCTGAAACGAAGTTTAGAGCATGGTCACTGAAGTATGGAACAAGAAAAAGTGAAGCAGTGGTGGTTGGTTGGTTGGCTGGCTGGCTTGGGCCTTGGTGGCATGGACTGGAACAAATATTTTGGGCTAAGGTTAGCTCTTAAATAGTTGGGCCTTGGCCTGGTATATTTTGAAATACATACACAAAATGGGCTCCTCTCAATTGCCCATTAGGGTGAATCTTTGGGTGTTGCATAAACAAATGTTAGGTTCATGAAAAATGGCGGTGACAATTCCAAAAATTCGAAATTGAAAAAGAAAAGTTTAGAATTCCAAGCGTACCTATGAAGCTGTATGGCGTCGTGTTCTTCAGTTCATCTCAAAGCACACTGTTTTTAGGTCAAGCGCACCTTCTGAACTGTGAAGTGCGGTGGAGACTCTATGTGGGCAAGCCTATGGTGCCAAAAAATATGACATGTTAGGCATATACCTCCAAAGAGCAACCATAGTCCTGACCCTCACCAGCCACTTCTTCTCATCTTCCTTCTACCGTAACTTCACATTTAGAGGGGTGGCTGGATTCACTGGATTGGCGTGGGGATCATGAGAGAGAGAGAGAGAGAGAGAGAGAGAAAGAGAGGAGAAAGCGGTCTAGAGAGGGGTGGCTGGGTTTGCCAGAGGAGGGGGTGGGGCGCGTGCGGACAAGGAGAGGGGCTGGGTTTAAAAAATATATATATATATTTGTTAATTTCTCTTTTTTTATACCTCATCAGCATTTAACCATACATTCAATCTAATGGATATTGTGAATTAGTCAGATTTTAACGTTGGGTATTAAATTGATGAAATTGAAATCTCATTGTCCATTTCAATACAACACTTTAAACTTTCATGAAGTAAAATGTGTTAAAAAAAAAAAAAAAAAAAAAAAAAAAAAAAAAAATGGTCTATTAACTAATGACCTTCTAAAATTAATTTTATAATAAGATGAGTCGCCTATCAAACATATGATGTAAATGCAACTCAGAAAGGTTGTAACTTCTTAACCGTTGCAATTTCCATTTCAGCTAATAGTTCAACACACTCTTTATTCTTTAGTCAGGAGTCTTAAAGCACAATGAATTTTACTCATTGAACTAATAGATTTTATGTTACGTCAATTTGAACTTATTCGATTTGTTCAATTACAACCTTGAAAATGCAGTGGCATTCTCTTGTGGATCCAAATAGCCTAGGCATAAAATGGTGTGTTTTTCCAAATCCTAGTTGCTTAAGAGCATCTTCAAGGGAGATGTCAAATGCAAAATATTAAATTTAAATTTAATGACTTATGTAGCAATTTGACACTTTGGAAAAAATTTAACTCTACAAAAAATGCCAAATATTATTGTATTATATTTTAAAAAGCAAATGGAACTCATATGACGCATCAAGTTTTAAAAAATAGTAAATAATAGTGAGGTTCATGATTAAAAAAATATTAAAATAACATTTGACATCAAGCTTTTTGATATGTTATTTTTGACATATCTCTTCCGCCTTCAAATTTATGTAGAATTTAACCACTCGGTTAGAGCAACTTTAACTTTTGATTTTACTATTTCTTATCCGTGTAGCAATTTGACATATTAGTTGGAGATGCCCTAAAACGAAGCCCCAATCATCCAAATTGTCTATGGAACAAAATGACAAAATAATAAAGTGTGGGGTGTGGAATTTAATAATCCCAACAGATTGGATTGTTAAACTTTTCTCACAATGCTTGCTAACATGACAGCATGTGATTTATTTGCCAATTTGCCACTGCTTTGCTTGCTTGACTTATTTAGCCAAACGGCACTATCTATGACGTCCATACAATCATTTATTAACCAATTGGCTCAGACTTCTTCTTCTTCACCTCACCCATGGCCACGTGAAAGCCACAGAGCCCAGACATTGCATCTGAGGGGACTGACACTCTTGTTCATCCTGACCATTCACGTGTCACCACCTCAAACACTCGATCAGCTAGTTACCGTTTCAAAGGACAACCGTATTTCGAAACCTTTTTACACTCTCTAGGGACTAGAGCAGTTACAATTATTTTTCTGTGGGTTGCTGAAACTCTTCCCAAGAATACTTGGTGAAAATGTAACTTGTAAATTTGTAAGCAACTTACCTGTTGTTAGTGTCGTGCCAGTTTTCTCAGTGATAAAGTTCACAAATTCCCATGTAAATGGTTTTACTATTGCTGCCATTTGTAGGAGTTTCATGTTTCAATCATGCATTTCTTTTAAGTATTTTTAATGTTAGAGTGGATCTGAACTTAATTTGTAAATTCTGCAGGTCACAAAATTCCATGTGTATAATAAAGGTATATTATTCTCCCAGGACAAGGTTTCTTCTGCAAAAACCCATCTGTCAATGGTTGTTCTGTGTTGAAATTCAACCTAAATTCTCTGCTGAATCTTTTTCACAGCTGGGTCATCTGTACATTACATTGCATCACTTAACTAGCCATCTGCAGTTATTTTTGACCTCTGGGTTTGGGATGCTTTCATTTCCAGGCTACTTGGTGTTTAAAGTTTTTAACTTTGGAGATTAGTTGGCATTGTGGATAAATCCCAGATGGGTCCTGGGTCCCTTGCTGCTGCAGTGTTGGAAAGTTCAGATTTTTCTGGGTTTTTGCCGGGTACCATTAATTTTTGTTGATGTAACAATTTTGTCCATTGCATTTAATTTACTTCTAAGCTGGGCCATATAATTTCTCTGTTTAGTGGGTAGGAAGATCATTAGGTGTCTCATGTGCTTCAGCATGTTACTCATGTATGCCGAAGAATAGTTATCCGTCAAGCTACATAGTTCCCAGTAGGCTTGTATAAAGAGCTTGTTTTTGTTGGGGAATTATTGGGGATGGTTTTGTCTCCCAGATCTGTTTTAGCATGAAGTTAGAGAACTAAGGTAGTTACAAAGATAGGATTTTGGTCCACGTTGGTTTGCTGATAGAATCTCTACTTCTGTGCAATTGCAGACAGAAAAAAGAAAAAGAAGAAGGAAAGAAAGAAAGAAAGAAAGAAAGAAAGAAGAGGAAGATTGCGTTGAACATGGCTGTGTGGAATGGAGTTCTGGTTTAGTGGTTATAGAGTTGTCTTGTGTGGCCCATGTGAGTGAGAGAGAGTGAGAGATTTGTTTGAGGAAGAATGAGATCCGTAGAGGATAAGGGGTGCTATAACAACCATGGACCAACTCAGGAGATTTCTGGCAGCAGTTCTATAAATTTTGAGTTTCACAAAGCAAATGGAGCTAGCCGTACCCCTCATCATCGAACAGGCTTAGGCAAACCAACGCCATCAAAATGGGATGATGCACAAAAATGGCTAGTGGGGCTGTCAAGAGGACCAGACAAAAACCAATCCAAAACCAAGCCCAGAAACTCAAATGCAGATGACTTGAGACTCATAGCTCCTGTGCCACAGAAGGAGCAGGACTATTCAAGTGGAGAGGATGATGGGGTAGAAGATCAAGAAGAAGAAGAAGAAGAGGAAAATGGATGTGATGGCTCTGCAAGGCCAAATCAATATGATGTGGAGACAAAGAAAGTGGACTGTGATGACTCAGTTTGGAGAAGCAACAAACCAATGGAAAACTCAACAGCAGCTATGAGATCTTTATGTTTGAGGGACATGGGAACAGAAATGACCCCCATTGCAAGCCAAGAGCCTTCGAGAACTGCCACCCCTATTAGAGCCACAACTCCAGCGGCACGGAGCCCTATATCTTCAGGATCCTCCACCCCAGTAAGGCCATGCCAACATGGGATGCAAGCTAGTCAGGGCTATCAAAAATCCACTGATGGCAGAAGTAGTCATGAGGCCAAGTCTTGTGGGAGAGGGAGTGGTGCAGCCAAAAGGTATGTAGAAGAATCAAATGCTTGCAAGAGTATGCCTGACAACCAGAACTCAGATCAAGCTAGGAAACCAAGTCCCCTAGAAACTCGAGCAATGGCTTGGGACGAGGCAGAACGTGCTAAATATATGGCAAGGTGAGAGGTTACTGATATTCTTTTCCCCGGCAAGTTATAATCAGTTGCAATTAATTATATATGCAGCACTTCAGTATTTTTTACTCAAATGTTAGGATTTATTGGGCCAAGTTTGCTTACATAGGCCATCTGAGGCCTTAAACTTTCAATTATAGCTAGCTGGGTACATCTTAAATTTGTATTGTTGTGTAGGTATAAACGCGAAGAGGTCAGAATACAAGCCTGGGAAAATCATGAGAAGAGGAAAGCTGAGATGGAAATGAGAAAAATGGAGGTACTGATTCTCTAGATTCTGTTATTTATATTTTCAGAATATTTCCATTTACTCTCCTTTGTTTAGATCCTAGATTTTGTATTGTGAGTCTTTAAGTCAGTTTGTTTGCTACACATATTTTCTGGTACCTAGTAGCCAAGAAATTCAAGCTTCTCCAAAGTGCAAAAAGAACCAAGCATCAGCTCAGATTGCTTTTCATGAAAAGAAAAATAAAATAAAATACAGATCCAAATCAGTGTCTTGGGCTTCATAACAATGAAAATCTAGCACTGGCATGAATCCGTTTTTTCCCGAATCACTTATCCTTGTACTAATTCATACTGAAATTCATGCCTTCTTGGTGTTATGACCACAAACTCATGAAAATGGTGGCAAAGATGCCCAACCAGTTTCCTATCTATATTATTAACTTCAAAGTAGGACATAACAATGGCTTTGCAGTTTATATATTAACTGCAAATCAATGCCTCCCCGGATACTATATGGAAGTGTGATTGCAAATGCTCAGACTGCCACAACAATATCTACAAGTCTGTCCAAATAACACCAAAAGCAATTAGCTCTGGTTCAAAGATATGGAATCCGATGCAATAGCATTCTTAGAGCTTTCTGACATGTTGTTTGCTTTGTTATTAGGTGAAAGCTGAGAGAATGAAAGCTCGGGGTCAAGAAAAGTTAACGAATAAACTTGCCGCAACTAGAAGAATAGCTGAAGAAAAGAGGGCTAATGCAGAGGCCAAACTCAATGAAAAAGCTTTAAGAACTTCAGAAAAGGCAGATTACATAAGGAGGACTGGCCATTTGCCTTCTACATTCTCATTCAAGCTGCCTTCTCTTTGCTGGTAGCAGTATCTTTAGTACATGTAACATCTACTAGTTCTTTTTCTCTTTCTGCCACTTATTGAATATGTAATTGAGCCTTGTGGATCTATTGTGGAGTTTATCATATTTGTTAACTGTTTGAAAAATGCATTTAAGGGAAGGGGTAAGTTCCTAAAATAATTTGTGAACACCCACCCCATTCACAAATACCTCTTTTACTCTTTTTATTTTTTAACATTAGTTTCTTATATCTGAGTATGTGAACCCTTCGGCCCCAAAATGCTCCATTTCCTACCACAGGGCAAAAAATCTAAGAAAGAAGTATGTCTGTATTCTTTACTATGGGGCCAAACATGTAACTTGCTGTCATCATGATTCATGTGGAACGATGATTCCTTCCATAAATCAATATCATGGTTTTCGGATTGTGTTTGGAGACTATTATGGTGGCGTGGCTCCATAGATGGGAATATAGTAAGTAGAATTTGGTTGAAAAGGATTGAACGAAATGGGGACAAGCTAATTATTACTGGCATTTTCCTGCCAACTATTTTCACTAGGGCGAAATGTTTGGCTTTAAAATGTAACTAAGGGCCAAAGTGCTTGTAGCCTGATAGCCCCAATGATAGAGCACTTTAGCCTCTTATTCATGCAAGAGTTCAACTTTCACTCGCGTCCTCCGCCTAACGAATCTCACAAAACATTAAGGCTCAGTTTGGGATTGCTGTCGCTTTTAAAAAAAAGTTGCTTCTACTGTGCTTCGAAAATAATTAGCTGTAAAGTAAAGCAGCTCCTTGTTTGGTAAACAATATTTTTAAAGTGCTGTTAGTACAAAAAGCAGTGTCAAAACCGTTTGGTAAGTTTTAATATAAAATTGTTGTAACTGTGAATAATGACTAAAATAGACATGATGTTAAAAGTGTTATGTATTAATTATGTGGTAGTAGTGGTAGTGATAGAGTGGAGGTGGTGGTGGTAGGGATGGCGCTTGTGGAGGTGGTGGTAGTGACAGCATGGTGGTGGAGGTGGCAGCATGGTGGTGGTGGTGGTGGTGTTGGTTGTGGAGGTGGTGGTGGATGTGGAAGTTTTGAAGGAGGTGGTGGTTGTGGTGGTGGTGTTGGTGGTGGTGGTGGTGGTGGTGGAGGTGAAGGTGGAGTTGGTGGTGGTGGTGGTGGTGGTTGTGGTGGAGGTGGAGGTGAAGGTGGAGTTGGTGGTGGTGGCGATGGCGGTGGTTGTACAGGTAGTGAATGTGGTGGTGTAAGTGGTGGAGTTGGATGTGGAAGTGGAGGTGGTGTTATTTTTTAAAATGAATGATGGTATTTTTGGGAATTAAAAAAATTCATTAAAGGTTCATCTTTGCTTATTTTGAAAGCAGATTTTAAAAACAACCCATAGCCTGCTTTTAAAAGCTGCTGTCAAAAGGCCACTGCTTTTAAAATAATCGAGATATTTTATTTTTACCAAACACCTAAAACTGCTTAACTTTAAAGTGAAGTAGGTTTTTGGCGAAAAAAAGCAATCCTAAACGGGGCCTAAGAATGTTAAAACAGATGATAGGATGGTTAGATTGGAAGATGAAGATTCATGTGACCTATCTTGTATGCATGATAACTCTTATTTTGAAAATTATTATGGTCCATGGACAGAGCATGGGTTAAATGCATTTGATGAAATCCAACTCGACTTCCCCATGGACTAAAATCAGGGCCGTCTCTGAGATTTTGAGGGCCATGTGTGAAACTTAAATTGGGGCATCACATAATCTAATATGAAAATACTATAAATAAAAATTTGCCATAACTTAATGTCATAAACAATTTTTTTATAACTAAAAGTCACCATCAATAAATATGTAATGACAATTAGAAATCAAACTCATTAAAATTTAAATGTTTCCATTTGATACAGGTAAATGTTTGGTACAAAAATAAGCTCATTGTGCCTTCATAAGGTCCCTTTAAGAGGGAGTCAATTCCTCGATTTTTCTTAAGGCAAATAGATTGACTTCAATGAGAATCGAACTCTGGCGCTTCTATTAAGTGAATATGCACTAGAGCCAACTCCACCAGACACGCTCTTATGCAAATATTTAGCACGCTACACTATATATACAATTCCTATAATATTAATTTATAATATAAATAATTTTTTTTGGGGCCCTCAAGAATCGGGGGCCCTGTTCGGTGGCACCACTTGCACCAATAATCCAAGATTAGATAGAAATACAATGCTTAGAAAGCATATGAATTATCGTCTGAGATGATTAGTCAGTTCGCTAAAAGTGGAGAAACCTAAAACATAAAAAGGTGTAAAATCCCAAAAAAGGAAATGAAGAAGTACCTTCTGGATTTCAGTGGGATTATCTTTTGATAGCTAAGAGCATCCACAATCATTATCCTTATTTTTTAGTTAAAATTTAGATTAAAATACTAGAAAGCTATTTTAGGAGCTCCTTATAAAATTTCAATTCCAACCATACTCACTAGTTTAAGAAATCATAAATGATTTATTTTTATTTTTGGTTTAGCATAAATAGTCCATCTTCATATAAAAATAATAATAATAAATACTTAAAATAGGATAAAGTAAAGCAACATATTCCTTTATCTCTCCTCAGATTTAGAGGCTTCTAGATGTCTCCCTATATTAGGAGGTGAGCATTTTTGCTCACCACTTTAACCCAAGGTGTATGCTCACCATCATTCTCAACACTTTACACGTGTTCACAAAAATAATTGTGATTACATAAATCAAAGTAAAAAGTTAACTATGGTTATGCATGTAGACACGTGTCAATTATTAAGAATGGTGGTGAGCATACACCTTGGGTTAAAGTGGTAAGAAAACATATTTCCATTTTAGGAGTTAGATATGGAGCATGGTTGGAGGTAGATTTTCTCACTTCATTCTTAAATTTTATCTAAGGAGGTGGTTTAGGCTCAGTTTGGCATTGCTATATTGTGAAAATAATTTCTGTCAGATTTGTTGTGAGAGAAAACAGTTTAGCATTTGGTAAACATTTTGTTATAAGTGCTGTTTATACAATAATAAGTTTATGAGTATTTGATTTTTATTTTTTTGGTGAAATTGTTGTGAGTTGTGTAATGACTAAAAATAGCACATGTTGAAATGACTTTTCTGTTCAAGTGTTTGGTAAAAGGAAAAGCATTTTCATCTTTTTTTTTTTTTTTTTTTTTTTTTTTTTTTTGGGTGTTATTATATGTTTCCATCACACCCTAAAATTTATTTTAATTACAAAATAAATAAATTATTCCATTAAAAATAAATATATTGTCAATAATATGGTTATAACAAAAATGAAGCTTGTCATAAACAAGCAATCATATACATTTCTAAGTAGATGAACTCATTAAACTTGAGGTTATATGATTTCTCAATGCCTCAATTTCTTGTGTTACATGACCATCTTCTTGTTGTGCATCAACCTCTCTCTCTCTCTCTCTCTCTCTCTCTCTCTCTCTCAATCTCTTCACCTTGAACACTATTTAGGTCATCTTCACTTTCATCAAAATGACAATCACGTTTGGCATGTCTTCTTATATAGTTATGAAGTGTCATGGTTGCAATAACTATTTTTACTTGTTTTGCAAAAGGATAACTAAATATGTCTTGTAAAATACTCTATCTCTTTTTCCATACTCCAAAAGTGCATTCAATAACACAAAGGGAAGAGTGTGCATGATTGAATACCTCTTTATGACCTATTAGTTGAACTCCCCTACAAAAATCAGGAAGATGTTATCTTTCACCTTTATATGGTCCTAAGTAACCTCTCATTTGTGGGTATCCCACATATACTATATAATATTTTCATATAAAAAAGAAATTTAATTGATTATTCACAATGTAAAAAACTTTTTTTTTGGTCGAAACAATGTAAAAAACTTCAATATAAATTATATCAATTTTTTTCTTTAGATATAAATAGTACCATTTGGAGGTTTAGGAAAATTCAAACTTATCACGTAAAGTTGATAGAAATATCCTTGTGACATGAGTCGTACCTTCCCATCCGACACATGCAATTATAAATTGCATGCAACTATCACATTTTTGGTAGGTATCCCCTGTCTATCAATAAATGGTATTTGATTAGAAGGAGATACTATGACTTGTATATAAACACAATCTATAGCACCAATATAATCCTACAAGTGATAAAAAGACAAACATAATATTAATTATAACACAATAAAAACATAGGCAAATATTTAAGAGTAGTAGATGCAATAGTAATTTTGAAATGAGGCATATATCTAGAATCCTATAGGATTTCCTTTGGAGTGTTGTTAAATGCATTTTCCAATGGTTTAATTACATCCATAAGCAAATGATGTACAACATCAAGTAAGATACTAAAATATCTGCTCACAGTCTCACTAGAATGTTGAAAGACATACTGTGGTTGCCTATTTGCACAACCATGTCCTAAGATGTTCAAGAACATCCTTAACATTTCAGCAACACTCATTCTTCTTGAACCCTTTTAATCCATGATTGTTTTGCAATTCATCACACAATCCAATGGCAATGACTTTCATTTCCTTGTAACACTCCTATCAACCAAATATTTCGCAAAACACTAATTGCATTTTGAAAATTCTAGTATGAACATCTTTTTTTTTATTTTTTTATAAACACTGGAATGACAAACTTTTAAGCCCAACTAAAAAAATCCCAAACCTTAAGTGTAATTTCATTCGTAGACAAGAACTCACCTTTTCCTTTTGAGGGCTACCAATTAGAAGAAGATTACCATCAATATTTATGCTTGTAGGCACAACTTACAATATATCAAATTAATATTATAATATGAGAGAGAGAGAGAGAGACCACTAGTAGGAGCACTAATGCTGCTACAGCTCACATCAAAATGCCATGATATTTAGAGTAGCAGTAACTATTGCATTAGAAAGGAAGACAACTATCTATTCATCATATCATGTTGTAAAATATAGAAGATTCATTTTTTCCTAATTGGCATTCAACAACTTCATAAGGAGGTAAGGTTTGGCAAAGCAACAAACTGGTCACAGTGCAACTCCAAAAGACATTTCTCTAATGCCAAATCATAGGAAGGGTTTCCATTATAGAGGATTATAGTTCAGATTCCGCAAAACTCAACAAACATCAGAAAAAATGATGGGTAGGAAAAGGGTGAACTAGTCAAATACATGCAAGAGGTCTCGTAATAGAACTTGCTAGAATCATATCTTCGCTAATGATTATATTCTAAGAGGCTTGAGATTTTCCAGAAAATCAAGGTAATGTCCAGTACAAAATAGGCTAGTACATGCAAGAAAACAAGGTAACTACGAATAAGCTACATAGAGACAGAGAAAAGAAAAACCAAAAGGCAAGACAATAATGAAACATAAATTTACAACTAAGAAGAGTAAAATAGAACTGAAGAAACAATATGCACCTTTAAGATATGCTACAACAAGGATCTCAAAGAGTAATGATACAGTCATAGAGAACAAAATAAACACCTGCACATATAAGAGGAAAAAAATCTATTACATTCTTTTTCGTATTTTATATTGACAGAAGTAAGACAACATCAGTACTTACCGAACATGTCATATATATATATATATATATTGGTTGGGGGTGGGGGCTGTTTGCAATAGTAGCTGCAAAAGGTCGTTCAAACCTTTCGTCAAACTTCTAGCGTGCACCTATCTTCGAACTCCCTAATCAAATCACCGAAGCCCTAAAATCTAAAAATCCTTAACCCCAAACACGACAACATGGTAGTAAAAGCAACAACAAAACACATAGATTAATTTCAAAGAAGAAGAAGAAGAACGAATGGAAGAGAAAAGCTGTGGGAAGAGAGGGTATGAAGATGAAGAGCACGATTGAAGAGAGAGGCCGGAGCGAGAAGAATGAGAGAGCGAGAAATTAGATTATGGTATTTTTGGAGTATGAAAGTTAAATTAAATATCCAACGCCTCCTCAATTTGATTCAGAAATTGAAAGCAGGTCCACACATGCTTCTCCTAATGGCATTGACTCACAGTAATTTATTATTATTTTTTTGGGTAAATACCACGAGGTGTCCCTACACCCGAAAGGTGAGATTAATCCTCACTCTGGGTTCGGCTTGCCCCTAGCCACAAAGTGCTTCAAACGAGTTTCGAACTCCTTTCATTGATGCACCAGGTAGCTCGCCAGTTAGATATGGTAGTTTGCCAACAACACCACACCTTGTGGTTGCTCATAGCAACTCTTTAACAAAAGTGATTTTCAACCCTTTTACCAAATGGGCTTGGACTTCAAAAAATTTCAAAAAATCACTTATGGCCCTAAATAAGAAATGCCAAACGGGTATTTAGGGAGTCTATTGTGGATACTTTGTTTATGATATTTTCAATAGAAAAATTAAAAAAAAAAGGCAAAGAGAGTCTAAAATGCTTACCAAAAAAGAAAACGAAAACATGACATGGAGTCAGTGAACCGATATTTAGCAATTTCATTAAAATAATTTAAACTAATTAAAAAAAACAAAATAAAAGTAGCGAAACCAAAATTTCGCGAACCCAAAAACCCAATCCGATCTCAAACACACGCACTCTTTCCCTCTCCGTCTTCGTTCGAGGGCTTTCTTTCGCTTACAATCGGCGCTCGCCGCCTCTCTCTCTCTCTCTCTCTCTCTCTCTCTCTCTCTCTCTCTCTCTCTCTCTGTGTCTCACGTACCTTTTAGCAGTATCAACCAATCTATTTCAAACCCTAATTCCCACAGCTATACCTATATTTTTCAATTTCTAGGGTTTCATTTCCCAATTTTAATCGAATAATCTCCGAAGCTGCATAGCTCGTGAATCGAAGAAGTGCATGTTAGTCTTTACTGCTTTCTTGTTTTAATCTCGTTTTGTTTTTAGATCTGAGTCTGTTTGGACTTAGGGTTACGTATTGATTTTCGTCGAAGTTTGTAACTTTGCAATTGAAATATTGGGGAATTAGTCGGGCTGATTTTGTGGGGGTTTAGGGTTAGGGTTTTATAGCTGACTTGAATTGGGATAAGGACTCCCGATTCTGTGGTTCTCTAGAGCTCGGATATATAAATATATGGCCACTGGAAGACATGGGGGTTATCGCGATAATGAGTTCAGGGACCGGGAGTCCAATTTTGACTTGCCAAGGAGGGATTTCGCTACAGCTAAGGAGGACTACGAACGGATGAGGAACGGAAATCGTGATGGCGAAAGGGGTCAAGGTAGGGATTTGAGAGATAGAATTAGGGTTAGGCAGAAGGATATAAAGGAGAGGAATGGTGGGTATCGCTCCTCTTCGAGCAGCAGCGGTGGTGGAGCTGGTAGTCGTGGGCCTAAGCAAAGTGGGTTTTCTGTTAGGGCCTTGGACAGGGAACCTGGTGAATTGTCGAGTGAGAGTGGGTCTGATGATGCTATTGAATCTGCATCGCAGGTCAGAGAAAATGTGGTTTCAAAGGTCGTAGAGAATGGAACTGAGTCTCCGAAAGAGAGGAAAAGGAAGTATTCGCCCATTGTCTGGGATAGAGATGACAACAAAGGAATGAGTAATTCGTCAAAAACTAGGATTACCACTGCGCTGACAGCTCTTCCTCCTCCACCGCCGCCGTCTAGGGTATTTCATCAGTCTCCTAATGTTATTTCAGATAGCAGTGTACAAATATCTTCAGTTAAAATTGTTGAGGTCGAGAATATACAGTCTTCTTCTCCAGTTAAGCCTCCTGTGGAACATGGGTCTGTTAGCAATGGTGTATTGGAGTCTCCAGTAGGGCTATCTTCACTAAGTCAGCAATGGGGTGATGATCATGAAGCAGAGCAGCTAGAAGATGAAGAATATGTCCCGACCCGGAATATATCATCTTCAAGATGGGCAGCGGGAAATAATTCTCCTGGTGATGAAGGAGAAATTTTAGGGAACGAGCAAATGCCTAAAAGGAGGAAGAAAATTCCGTTTGTAGGGTCAGTAGAAGATGGAGTACGCAACAATTCGTTGACACCTGAGTCTGGGGAGCTTAAGAGAGATGGGTCTGAACGAGTCAGAGCGAGGTCATCCGAATCTGAAGAACAGGATGCCCATACTAGGTCTTCCAGTAGGAATGATTACCCTGATAATGACTCAGAGAGGGATGACTACATGGATACTGACAAGGAATATGGTAATAATGACTCTAGTGTTAGTCAGTCAGATACAGATTCTGAGGATAACAATAACTCTCGTGAGACCTCAGAACCTGCAGCTCCTCCACAAAGAAGCGTAAACATGCTTCAGGGTTGTAGAAGTGTTGACGAGTTTGAGAGACTAAACAAGATAGATGAAGGCACTTATGGTGTTGTATATAGAGCCATGGATAAGAAAACTGGAGAAATTGTGGCCTTGAAGAAGGTAAAGATGGAGAAGGAAAGAGAAGGTTTTCCCTTGACTTCTCTTAGGGAAATAAACATTCTTCTTTCTTTTCATCACCCATCAATTGTCGATGTGAAGGAAGTGGTGGTGGGGAGTAACCTTGATAGTATTTTTATGGTGATGGAGTACATGGAACATGATCTTAAAGCACTAATGGAGACAAAGAAGGAGCCATTCAGTCAGAGTGAAGTTAAATGCCTTATGCTCCAGTTATTGGAAGGTGTCAAATATCTTCATGATAATTGGGTGCTTCATCGGGATTTGAAGACATCGAACCTGCTTTTGAATAATTGTGGTGAGTTGAAAATATGTGACTTTGGATTGTCTCGTCAGTATGGGAGTCCTTTGAAACCGTATACTCATTTGGTGGTTACTCTTTGGTACAGGTGAGTTGCAATATCCCCTTCTGGTCTGCATTGCTATTTATAGCTGATCATATGATTTTAGTGTTCATATCATCCTTAAAATGTTTTATGTTTACCCGTTTAACCTATTACTTCCACTTTGACTGTATATTGATTTGTGGTTTTTCTGGTTTTCCATTTTTATTAAATTAAATTCGTTTTAATTTCAAGTAGTTGGATGCATACTTTTTTGTAAATTAGCTTGTTACTCCTGGTATCTCTCTTTGAATTTTGAGTTTGATGTTATCTCTGTTTCCAACTCAATTATGTTGGTCATGTTGGTTTTAATGTGATAACAACTGTTGACCTCTCTTTACCCCTACCTCCCTTTGCCTGGTGTGCATGTGCTTGTGTGTGTTGTATGTAGATTCATGCTTTTTCTATATCGGCAGAAGATTTAGTCATTATCCTCATTCAATGCAGGGCACCTGAACTCCTGTTGGGAGCAAAAGAATATTCAACGGCAATCGATATGTGGTCACTTGGTTGTATAATGGCTGAACTATTATCGAAGGAGCCACTTTTCAATGGGAAAACGGAATTTGATCAACTTGACAAGGTAAGTTAATTTTTGTTGATGCTTGGTTACACTCTTACTCATTCACATACTTGTGGATTTATCTATTTATATTCACTAACTCTATAATCACTGCAGATTTTTAGAATCCTTGGCACACCAAATGAGACTATCTGGCCTGGATATTCCAAGCTTCCTGGAGTCAAGGTCAACTTTGTTAAGCACCCGTAAGTATGAATATATTTGTGAACTAATTCCCAACTTCGATTATGACATCATGGTGTTCTTATTCTTGCCTGTTTTCCCAGGCTTCCAGCTTTGGGTGATTCTGGTCTGGCTATCTGGCCTCCATTGGTGATGCTTTCAGATGCTAAGAATTTTCGTTTATGTATTAACTACTGACCTGTTTTCTTCAGGTATAACCTTTTGCGCAAGAAGTTCCCAGCTACATCATTTACTGGATCTCCAGTTCTTTCTGATGCTGGATTCAATTTGTTGAACAAGCTTTTAACTTATGACCCTGAGGAGGTGAGTTTGCTATCTAGACTTGCCTTATTTTGCTATTATTGATATAGTTTACTTATACATGTACTGTATTTTATACAGAGAATTACAGCTGCAGATGCTCTGAATCACGAGTGGTTTCGTGAAGTTCCTCTTCCCAAATCGAAGGAGTTCATGCCCACATTTCCTGCTCATCATGCTCAAGACAGGTATCTTGACCTCTAATGTTACAAACAATTCCCACCTGTAGTATTGCTTCTGGTTCCATTTTCCTGCATTTAACAAATTTATCCATGTTGTAAACAGGCGCACACGGAGAATATTGAAGAGTCCTGATCCCTTGGAAGAGCAACGTAGAAAGGAATTGCAGCAAGGGGAAATAGGAACTGGTGGTGTGTTTGGCTAGTAGATATGAATCAGTGATCAGTGGCCTTGATATGCAGTTGGACATGGCTGAGGTGAGAGACATGCATTGAACGGAAGTTGCAAACATTCTATGTCAGACGATCATATGTGCTCTTTTTTAGCAGGCACTTCTTTGTGATTTGGGCGGAGAATTGTATTTTTTTTATGGCTCCTGTCAACCAGATTTGTTGCAGGTTAACTTTGTTCTTCATCTTTGATCATCGTATAGAATTGCATCTATGACCCTGCTTTCATTGCGAGGTGTGGCATAATTGCCTTTTCTTTTAAAAAGAGAATCAGTTTCAGCTGAAACTTGTGTATGTAACATATTTTCCTTGGCACATTGTAAACAGTTCTCCTTTGGTTTTCAATATTAGCACTGTCAATTATATTAGAATATATTTAATATTCACATTGTGTTTGCAAGAGACGGTTGGTGTGGAGTGGAGGGGGCGTTCTTTGCCTTTCGTTGATGAAGAATTTGACAATTACCATATTATTTTTTAAAGGTAATCTGTTAATTTGATATCTGTGGGATGTTATGAGGGATGAAGATTTTAACCCATAAGGGTGTATTTAATTTCAATTTAGATGTTGGAGCATACACTAATATAATGCGGTCTAACCTCAATTATGTCAATAATGCAAATCTTTGTTGTGTCATAACTAACTCCTTGCATAAATGTGAAGGATTAGGTGAATCTTTGTAGAGCTGCGATGAATATGTTATCTTATTAGCATCCATGAAATATACCATATATCCGTTTAAAACTTTTGTTTTTTAAGGAGAGGGCAAATATGTCTGTTCGGTAGCACTGCTTGGAAATTAAAAGTCCTCAAAAGGAAAAGGGGGACAAAAGAAAACCGAAGTTGCTGCTTTTTTTAATCACTGGTTTGAGTCAGTGGACCTGATAATGTGTTCTTGATTTAGTGTTCAAACGTTGTGTTAAAGTAAGCTCGTTATACCTGGAACTGAAGTGCTTACTAAGGTTAATTTGAAGGGCACAAGCTGTAACCTTTGTCATTTTCTTTTTCATCTGTGCCATGGTAGGAATTCAGATATCAGATATGAACTTGATGCTTACTTAAGGAGGGGGTGATTCTTCTGTTTGCAAAATTTTAGTAAGTTCATAGTGAATTGATCTTTATTATATGGCTATGCTGTGTTGGTATAGCGGTCCATCCTTTATTTTCAGTGGCCTCGTTAGCTGTGTCTTAGTGGTTATCGGTATTTTCCCTCCATCAATACGTGTGGGCATGAAAAATGATTGACTTTGTCCATTTGTTGTCTTCTTTTGCTTCTGGTGTGCGTGAAGAATCAACATTTCACTAGTTCTAGAATTGTTTATGACATATATCTGCGTATGTCACTGCAGTATCAAAGCAAGCAGGTTGAGGAGGTTTCCTGCACTTCCAGGAATTTATAAAACTTCAATTAGTTGTTCCTACAGGCTCACTAGAGGTACTATGCAAACCTTGGTTTGTTTAGATTTTGGTCTTATCTTCTTGGGATCTTATTGGTTTTTTATGGGAATGATTCTTGATGGCATTTAGTGTTTTTTTTTTTTTTCTTTTTTTTTGTTCAAATGTTTTATGAATGTTTTAAAGGAAATAGCAAAAAAAAAAAGAAAAAAAAAAAAAAAAAAAAGGTCTCAGTTCCTGGACAGTTTACATTCTAAAGTTGACAAAATGGCAGGTGCACGTTGTGGCCCATTTAAGATGCTGCCTGTTTGTTCATATAATTGAATAAAAATCAATTCTGGTTAAAAACTGAATGCATACATTTTGAAAAGTGAAGTGATACTAGTGATATACAACATGTTTTTCCATCTAGAAATTGCTTTTGTATATTTTTTTGGTTTCCCGTACTTTTTAGAGGACATAACTGAGGTTTTGGATAGATGGTCTGTTTCTGGTCCAAATTCGTCCATACAAGGAACATTACTTCTCTGTCACTTGAGATTAGAAATTTGCAGTGTGTAAAATTGTCTAGAACCAGAATAGCTTGATTTGTACATCGTGGGAGTCAAATATACCGAACAATTTAAAATGATTCAGTTCTGTAAAAGTTTGGATATCTGATTGTCATTTGATCATGGAATTAGCAAAGAACAGCTGCTTGCATGAATGGATATTGCTTCTGTATTACTGAAGGGGCATGGAGGGCTGGGTACTTTTTAAAGGCTCCTGCATGTATCTGTTGGAACGTGTAGTTTGATTTAGATACACATCTTGTTGAAAACATTGAGTTTCTTCAAGTGTTCTTTGTCCATATGTTTTTCTAATTATAAATATGTATCAATCTTGATTCATGCAAATTCCGAAAATGGTGTTGCTCATTTGGTGGTGTGAAGATGAATGCGAACTTACTAATTTGTACCTTAATGTGGATTATTAGTTTATAAGGACCTTGTAGAGATACAATGTAAAGTTTGTAGTCTTGTATAAATATCATGTGTCTGGGGCTGGGTTTATGGAATTTTTTTCTCCTATAGTGGACAGGAAGATCCTCATATTTTGATATCTGGTTATTGTTGCTTATGTGTGGCATAATTCTATTATAGGCATGGCTGGAGTGGGATGGGTTGCTTGGAGATGGAATATAGTAAAGTGTCAGCTTCCCATTTACTTAACCAAATAGAATCCGAGAAGATTCAGTAAGCCTAGGTGGGATATAGAAAATACTTTGCCATATGCTTTGTGCAGGTGGTGACTGATGATATTCAACCAGCACACTTTTGACGTTAAGGTGGTGGTACAAATGTGAGTTAAAGGAGGTTGCTGATGGCTGATGAATTTTCCCAAACATCAAACGATCTGCCTACGTGCGACTAAATTCTGTTCCATGTACTTTAAAATGTCAGGTTTCTTTTGCACATTGCAGTAATGTATTGATCATGTAATTTGTCTCGGGCCATTCCAGATATTTTATGGTTGATTTCTATGCTGTATCTGTGTCAAGCGGCAATGAAACCTTGTTAGCCCATGCCATAACTCATGTTCTTGTACATCCATGATAACACTGGCTGATTTGGGGAGGTAGCACTGAGATATTTTCCTTCTGACATTGTTGGAAAGTAGCAATAGAAAATGTGAGTTTTCCTTCGGACAGTAAAGTTTTTCTCATAGATGAGTGAACTGTCGGAACCTGGGATGCTGAAAGACCTTGTTTCTGTATTGGGATAAAGTTCGAAATGCTTAATGATTCAATCTCTGTTAGGAGGGAAGTTGATGGCTTTGAGCCTTGCAAGTGCACTGTGGTATACAAGCCATGCATGTATGATGTTTAAGATATCTTTAATAAAATTTTCAAGATCCAAGTGATTTTGGTTTATGGTTATTCTGCAAGACAGCCTCTGAATCGGCTTGGCCTTTCCTTTTAGCAATCGACTTGTGCACCCCTTTTTATCTCAAAGGGAAGGGTGTCTTCCCTGGCAGATATTGTGATCTCAATATTCGTCTTGTTTTCGTATGCATGTTATAACTCGAAGTACCTAGTTATTTTCCTTGTGCCAAAAATGGATATTATCATGTGGTTGAAAGGCGGTGAAATATCCGTATTTCGGAACATGAAAAATCAATTCTGAGTTGGCATTTTATTGTATCAAGAGCGCTTGTTGGTGTGCCCGGAACATATAAAAATTTCTTGTGGTGGAGGGCTTTCTTTCAATTGAAAAATTAGTAAAAGGACGAGTGGTTTTACAACTTGAAAAATAAAAATGAATAAATGAATGGAAGACGGTTTGACATTCAATACAACAACTCAAACATGGTTGCTGCTCTATCAACTTGAATTCTATTGCTGTTTCAGTATATGTAAAAGAAGCACGAATTTACAACAAACAAGTTTCTTCCTATTTTTCTCTGGCCGTTGGACTTGTATTCGGAAACAAGGTGGACACTTTTGAGAACTGCATCGTTATGCAAACTCCTCCCAACAGATGTCATGGGGAAATAATCGAAGAGATGAAATTGCAAACTGAAACAGATCGACAATCGCAGCCGTAAACCTTGAATATCTTGTTCGCAGGTTGATTTCCCGATGTCATTGTGGTCGGAAAAGAGTGGCTCTTATTAAGTTGACGAAAAAACTAGTGTCTTTCCGAGCACAAAGGTGATCAAAGATAGTTCGATGAAAAAGATGGTGTTGAGGAGGCCTCTATCGACTGTCCATCCAAATATTGTGATCCCCCCATAATTAGTTTGCAAATACATCACTGCATTGGAGAATAAAGGGATAGAGCATGAGACAAAGGAGAACCCACAGAAGCCAACTACGTGAAAATGAACAAAAAAAAACCTATATGACATGCAGCAAATGATACAACACTAAAAGTGCCTCCTGCTCAAACATGAAAAAGATAAACAGAGTCCTTGAAATTTCAAAGTTTGAAAACATTTGAACTAAAATGTCCACTGATTAGCTGATGGAAGAAAATGCCATGACTTAAGGCAAGAGTTCAGTTTTGCAGGACAAGCCAACGACACATAACTAACAAAGCGAAATCTGATGCTTATTCACTAAACAATCTCACTGTGACCAAACTATAGATCAACATTTTATTTGAGAGTTTTAACACATGATCCATAATAAAATGATGTCAAATTGAAGTGAAGGAAAGTAGCTAGCCTTTTGCTTCCCTTTGTATTCATATGCATTTGTGAGTTGATTTATCTCTCATTATAATATTGTCTCATGTAGATCATAGCATTAAAGGAAACATAAGCCAATTTTTATTCTTATAAGTTGAAGAATGTTACCAAAAGCTTGTCTCCTGTGATACGAGGACATATATGAAGCCAGCTGTGTATTTGTAGGCATTGCAACATAATCCACTGATTCCAGATCACTCTCAGAGTAACTAATATGCAGTGAGTTCAATGTGCTGGCAGCCTCCAAGTTCAGAGCACTGTTTGAATTTCTGTTTTGAGATGTCTCACTAGAACTGCATGTTACTAATGCATGCCATCTACTGGCAACTGATGCTATGCCTTGGGCTCTATGGGAAATTCTGGTCGCCGCATGCAGAGAAAGACTAAAGCCGACAACCTGAACAATTGTAGAGACCTGGAAATTTGGGGCAAAAAAGGGAAGGAAATTCAATGCATTGAACTTAATTACTGCGGAATGTACTGAGAAGCAAATACACAAAAAGCACGAAACTCACTGCAAAATCGCCGCCGTTTACTAAAGTGATTTTCCACTGTATCCTGTGGTCTCAAATAGAGTCACAAACTGGCTTGCTGTGACAACTAAGAACTGCAAAACAAGGAAGATCCGGAACCTGTGGCTTATTTTAGAGAGATGATACCGCAGACGAATATGCTCCTCCATAAAGATCAACACATCAGATTCCCTTTCCAAGAGCCTTGCGTAATCATCAAAGTGGATAACTTGCAAATTGCAGACCAGGTGAAACAAAATGCTGGCGGTTAGAGTGATTGTACTCACATAGGCCCATGACAGAACCAAAGCTAATAAAATAGCAATGACACCCCCCATGAATCGTGAAGGACATAGATCATGCGGACAACCTCACGTACAGTCTTCAGAAGAAAACATGGCAGTGCCCACCAAACGAGCAAGCGTAAAGAACCCTGTGAAGATATGGTATCCAGGGAAATTCTGAGCATAGTAAATTACTGGAAACTTCTGGCCAAAAATGTCTAGACGTTTTAAAATAAACAAATGAAATAGTTAACTGACGACAATGAATCTATACTCGATAAGTCTTTTCAATATTTGCAGGCCGCAGTTAGTGAAAGAAAGTAAGTTACTTGTTGAATGGATAACAGAAAGGTGAATGTGCTATGCCTATGGACATTGATGAACAAATATAAAATTGAGAGAATACGAAAACGAAAGACTTCAGTTATGCTTTCTGCAGGTTTCGAAGTAGAAAGGAAGGATGCTGAATTTTGGTAAGTACATTATGTTGCATACCATGTAACCCTCCCATTACAGAGTTGTATAAATAATAATTACTCATCACAGCCAAAAGGTGACAACTTTAGCTCACATTCAAGACCATAAATTTGAATTACCAAATTTTACACAACTATGAAACTGGCCATAAGATCACATTTGGGATTGATATATATGAAGCAAAGCACTGGCAACCTCTTCATAACACAATCATCAAGCAAACCAATTTAAATAAGCAGCAGCAGGAAGAAATATATCAAACACTAAACGATCTTACCTTTATCTGCTTAATGTAATCGTTTCGAAATCGCAACATATGGCCGCTATAGCGGTCGACAAAGAGGAACCTCCGAAGACCATACTTTCGAAGATTGTGAGAGAGGCAGAGCAAAGACACCGTGGCAAGACACGCCTGCGAGCCGACGATAACGAGCTCGAAACTTTTTATCTGATACTTCGCGCAATCCGAGCAGTTGAAGAGCTCAACCGCAAGCACTGGAAGCAACACACCTATGAGCACAAGAGCAGTCCAAGACATGGCAAGGCTTAAGAAAGAAGATTGACTGAAACCCAATAGAGTGAGAAAGGTTTCTAGCCATTGAAGGGTTTGGTCCAATTGGGTATCTTTGTATCCTTCTTCTAGTCCTTGGTGGTGGTTGTTGTTGTTATTAGAATCAAGAAGAGGGGTGTTTTGGGCTGGTGGCTCCTCTGTTTTTAAACCAGGATTAGCCATGAATAACTTAGAGCTTAATTGGGGAGACGAAAGTTGAGATTTTGATGGGTTTGGAACTAAAATGGTAGCAACCCAGTGGAGATTTTGGTGCTATAAGTAGGAAAGTTTATAAACCATTGACATGTTCAGCCAGTCAGATTGAGAATCAGATCAGTCAGATCAAACCCAGGGTTCAAGTTTTTAATTCCCTTTCCCTTTCGTTCAGGAAGCAACTTATCAATCAGATCACCGAACGTAACAATAATATTTTTAAAAAAAAGACTGCAACGTATGCCAACTAGACCAAAAGAATCGTTTGAACCGAAGGCTCGTTATTGAATTTGATCCGTTGGATCATTGGGGGGAAGAAATAGTATATTCATAACCGTAGGATTTCGGTGACTTTTTTCCCGGTGAAGGTTTTTTCTTTTTGGCCAATATACTTACCTGGAGACCTGGGAATTGGAATATCTTTCCAACTTTTTGCCATCTCGAATTCTTTTTTGTGAAGAGAAAATGATGAATGAGTATGAGTGACAGGTACCGGAAACAAAAGGGACAAAATGACTCATTACAAGTGTCGGATCTGTAATCTGACTGCGCTTTGTTTATGCGACACTCGGATGCAAATACATAAAACCAAATTTGTTATTCAGATTCTTAAACCACAAACCTTGTCCAATTCCAAGTCTTGGGGTTCCCGCCAAATATAAACTTGTTTCTGTTTCCATAGGCCTATTTGAGCTGAGCCAATCCTGGCCGCACGCACAAGAGCAATCACTGACCCAACCCATGTGAAACTAATAAGCAAGATTAGGCCGTTTTGATTGGGGTTTAAGTGTAATAATTGGTGGGTTAGTGACTAATGAGAGGGTTAGGGAGGGTGGAATGGTTTTGTTTAGTGAGTTGGAGTGTCATGATTGAGAGAGTGATGTTTTTCTTTTTTGGGTTACATGATGAGATAGTGATAATTTTGTATAAGTGGAGGACGGTGTAATTGTAAATAGGGAAAGAGAGTTCTCATGGAAGAAATGTTTACTTATACGGAATGATGATGTCATAAATTAGAAATAGAATGAATACATATGAGATCAACAACTCTCCTAAACGAATCTAATTTCTAATTTTTCCGGTATTAATTTTTGAATTTTAATGTAGAACTTGCATAAGTTTTTCGTCCCTTATGTTTAGAATTTGAATAATTTCAATATCCGTGTCACACAACTACATAAAAAATCTCGAAGGCATAATTTCAATACCAATTTGTTTTTTTAATTATTATCTAAAATATATAAATTTCGTTAATCGAAAGCATTGGTTACAATACCCATTTTAAACAAGTAAACATGGGGAATGCCATATACGCATAATGTATATCCTTTTCCATGAAATTTTTGGCCCTATATCTATACAGTGAGGAACTCACGTTGCTTACGGATGGACTCTTCTTTTATTTTAATTAACTGACTATGAACTATGCTTGGGTTTAGCTTTTGTCTTTTAGGTCCTGACACACCCCCCAATTTCCATTCTTAAATAACAAGTTGTCACTAGAGCCACCAAAGGAATTAACAAAAGTAACTAGAGTTAATTAACTTGTATTAAATCATGACAATGCCTCACTAGTATAATTTTGTTTCGAACATTAATTATTATTTGAAAGCCTTCTTCACGAGTAAGGCAAAAACGTCTTGTTGTTTGCCTTTAGCTAAGCTCCACCACACATCTCAGCTAACATTTTGGGAAAGCAAAAGCTATGCATGAGTAAATGACATGATAGGATCCCCAAAATATATACAAAGAATCTTTTGATGAGATGTTACTGAAAAAACATAGGTCACACTGTTATATACAACATTTCTTTATGTGATTCACAAGTTATGTGCTATCCTCTAGGAAGTTATTGAGCTGTTTATTATAAAGGTTTGACTTGGACTAGTTTGGATTAAATTTAGGGTCAATTTGCTATTATTTAAAAAAAAAAAGTTATTTATGCTGTGCTTTGAAAATAATTAGCTGTAAAGTAAAGCAGCTCTATGTTTGGTAAACAATATTTTTAAAGTGTTGTTAGTACAACAAGTTGTGTCAAAACCGTTTGGTAAATTTTAATATGAATCTGTTGTAATTGTGAATAATGACTAAAATAATAGACATGATATTGAAAGTGTTATGCACTAATCATGTGGTGGTAGTAGTGGTGATGGAGGTGGTGGTGAAAGAGATGTTGGTGAAGGTGGTAGTGGTGGTGATGAATGTGGAGTTAGTAGGGATGTCAGTAGTGGAGGTGGAGGTGGTGGTGTAGATGGTGGATGTTGAGGAGGAGGAGGTGGCGGTGGCGGCGTCGTGGTAGTGGTAGTGAAGGTGGAGGAGGACGTGGTTGTTGTGGTTGTGGTGGTGGTGGTAGAGGTAGTGAAGGTCATGGTGGAGGTGGCAAAGTTGGATGTGGAGGTAGATGTGGTGTCATTTTTAAAAAATAATGATGGAATTTGGGGGATTAAAAAAATTCATTAAAGACTCATCTCTGCTTTTTTCGAAAGCATCTTTGAAAAACAACCCATAACCTGCTTTTAAAAGCTGATGTCAAAAGTATTTTTAAAATAATAGGACGTTTTAGATTTACCAAACACTTTAAACTGCTTAACTTTAAAGTAAAGTGGGTTTTTGGCCAAAAAAAGTAATCCAAAACGGGTGTTTAGTCTCATGTTTGTTTCATCTAATCCTAGTCTAAAATAAGATTGCTAATATCGGGCCCAACAAAAACACATCCTTAAAGCATCTCTAACCGATATGTCAAATTGCCACATGGATATGAAATGACAAAAATTGAAAGTTAAAGTTGCTCCAACCGAGTAGTTAAATCCTACATGGGTTTGAAGGCCGGAAGAGATATGTAAAAAATAACATATGAAAAAGCTTGATATCAAATATTTTTTAAATATTTTTTTAGTCATAGACCCCACTATCATTCACTCTACTTTAAAACTTTATGCATCATATGACCCCCCATTTACTTTTAAAAATATAATAAAATAATATGATATTTGGCATTTTTGATGGAGTTAAATTTTTTTCAAAATGTCAAATTGCCACATAAGCCATCAAATTCAAATTTAACATTTTGTATTTGACATCTCCCTTGGAAATGCTCTTAGGAGGGGACTAATAAACCCATGTGGAAAGAGAGGATTAACTAGTTCCATGCTCACCAATGTATAAGATGCATATATATATATATATATTATGTAGTAATAATAATAACAACATATATTATTATAAATACCCATATACATTATATTATATTATACATATATACACATATATTATAATATATATAGACGTATATATATATATAATATGTATATAATGAGTTTTTGACCGAAATGGTCCTCCAATTATTGCTCGAGTTTCATTTTGGTCAACGAACCAAATTTTTCATTTCAATAGTCCTCCAACTCTCCATTTAGTATCAAAACAGTCCTATCGTCAAAGTCTGTCAATTGTTCCATGAAATGAAGGGGCAAAACTATCTTTTTCGGGCAAAACCATCTAAAAAATGAACAAAACTAAAAAGAAGCTAAAAGAAACTATAAATTATAATTTTTTTTTATAAAAAAAAAAAACCTAAACTAAACTAAAAAGAAACTGTACCCAAATATCACCCCATCCCAACCCCCAATCACCGGCTCCCCCCCTCCCATTCCCTCTCCCTTTGCCTCCACCTTTCTATTATCTTTGATTCATTTGCTCTCATTTAAAATAAAATAAAAAGTTTTATTGTGGGAATGGGATTTGGTTATAGGGGTGGGGTATGTGCAGCCCACCTCTTTGTCCCCTCTTTCTTCGTCTTCTTGGAGTTAGTTGTGGAAGATCAATCCTAGTAATCCTAGCAATCTCAATAATCCGAAGCTTTGGGATACCTAAGCCTAGAAGAGAGATTTTGTATGAAGCAAGGCCATTTAAAACCATAATGGATACCAAAATTAATTATGTGGATTGCTTTCTCAGCTACATTCATTCTGTATCATTTGAGAAGAAATTTGATAGCTTCTTAAATGGACATGTGGCAAGATAAAGATGGTCAACCTTCTTACTGTAGGACCGTTTTGCCCTCGATTTCACGGAACAATTGACAAACTTTGACTGTAGGACCGTTTTGATACTAAATGGAGAGTTGGAGGACTATTGAAATGAAATTTTTTGTTAATGGACCAAAATGAAATTTGAGCAATAATTAAGGAACCATTTCAGTCAATAACCCGTATATAATCTATGTATAATATATGTATATATAATATATGGTTATTTACTAAATGGTCCTCAAATTTATACATGAGTTGCATTTTGGTCCATCAACTAAATTATTCATTCAAACTATCCACAAACTCTATATTAATTGACGAATTGGTCTTACCGTTACATTCTATCAATGTTGCCTTCAAATATAGGGGGTAAAACAGTCCAGTTAAATAAAATACTAAATAAATTAAAAACTAAAAATCAAAAGAAAAAGACCTCCCTCCCTCTACCACCTCCCAGTCCCTAACCCCATAACCATCGCCCCAATGCCCCCCATCTTCTCTTCCCCGCACCCTACCCTCTCTTCCCCTCCCTCCCTGTCCCTTCCTTTTTTCTCCCTCTATCTCTCTCTTTCCCCTTTCTCTCTTTAAACAAACCTAGACCCTGTAGATGGTGGTGGTGGTATGGTGATGGAGTTACATGTTTGAAACTACCCACTCAAAGACCTGCAAAGAGGAGTGAGAGGCTGTTGCAGACCCACGAGGAAGAGAGGGATACGAAGATAAGGAGATTTGGTGGTTGTTTTTTTTTTTTTTTTTTTTTTTTTTTTGGGGTTGGGGGGGGGGGGGGGGGGGGGGGGGGGGTAACTGTGTTGTGTGTTATTTTTTTTTTTTTTCGTTTTAAATTAATTTAAAAAATAAAGAAAATATTGTATTAATTTTTAACCATATTTTTTTTTAAAGCTGTCAAAAGTCTTATATACCTCCACAAATATAGCATGTGCTACTCACATGACTAAATTTAACAGAAAATGTAAAGATATGACCAATTCGCCGATTAATAAAGAGTTTGTGAACCATTTGAACAAATAATTTAGTTGAGGGACCAGAATACAACTCGAATATAAATTTGAGAACCATTTGAGTAAATAACCCTAGTGTATATAATATATGTATATACATTTATATTATTATTATGTAATATACATATGTGTATATATGTAATATATTATACTCATGTATATATTATAATATACATCTATACATGTATATATTATATATGTATGATATATACGTATATATATATATGTACAGTTATTCTTTAATTCGAATGTCCGCACGTTATTATCATGCAGATGCCATTATAAACAGGAAATGGTAGTAGAAAATAATGGCATCTTGTAATAACGTACAAACATCTGCATATGAAAATTTATGCATACACGTATATACATATATATTATTATTATAACATACCCATATATTATATATATATAGGTTACATATATATATATATATTATAAAAGAATATAAAAATATAGTCTTAGTCCAAGCATACACCATACGCACGATAAATATAGTCTTGTGCATAGTTATTATTGGACTGTTGGATTGAACCCCCTCATTGTAACCCCTCAACATATGAACAAAGTATCTTATTTCGCAAGCCCCAAAACGCAACTTCAGAAATTACTTGAAATTTTAAGGGGTGGCTTTGTAAAGCCCAAATCCCTATCGAAAGAGAAAGAAGAAAATAAAAGGGCAAAATGAGTAATCGATATCGTTTTTATCGTTTACATATGGAACTATGATGAGAACTACAAATCCGACACGCACACACATCACACGTTTTAAAAACATATTAATAGTGACATTTCATACTAGCAAGTGCCCCTCCTACAACTAGAAATTAGAAATCGATAGGAAATGACGCATTCGACAAATGCAAAGTATTTCAATGAAAGGAGAAATATTGTCAACATACATTTGATGGAGATAGGACATGCATGTGTTTTAAAACATTTTAAAGCTTGTTAAATTGATAATGTCACACAACTAACTAATTACGACATTTCATATTAGACAAATGGAAGTATCCAAACCTAATTTGTATACCTCCATTTCCAATTCGAATTCTCAAACTCATACTCAAATGGCGAAGAAGGCGGATGAGCAGACTACCATTAGCAATAGCAGCAGCGCCGTTATTGATCCAAAGAGCGGGTTTTGCTCAACCACCAAGACTTTCCACAGCCTCAGGCCCAATGCCCCTCTCCCTCCCCAAACCACACCCCTCTCCGTCACCCACTACATTCTCTCCCATCTCCAACACTCTCCTCCCCCGCATTCCACTCCCGCCCTCCTCGACGCCGCCGCCGGCCTCCGAGTTCTCTATCCCGAGTTCACTCGCCGAGTCCAATCCCTAGCCTTCTCTCTCCATTCCCAACTCGGCCTCTCCCATGGCGATTGCGCCTTCATTCTCTCCCCCAACTCTCTCCACGTCCCTGTCCTCTACCTCTCTCTCTTCTCCCTCGGCGTCATCGTCTCTCCTTCCAACCCCGCCAGCTCCATTCCCGACCTTTCCAGCCAAATCCGCATCTGCAAACCCGCCGTCGCCTTCGCTACCTCCGCCACCGCTCATAAAATCCCCAATTCGCTCCGTCTCGGGACTGTTCTCCTTGACTCGGCCGAGTTCGAGTCCATGATGACGTCTCCCGCCGCCGCCGAGCCGCGCCTAGTTCAAGTGAGCCAATCGGACACCGCGACGATTCTCTACTCGTCGGGAACGACCGGGAGGGTCAAGGGAGTGGCTTTGACTCACCGGAATTGGATATCAACGTTGGCCGGCGTCTACGCTGTTCGAAGAGCCGCCGCGGCTTCTCCACAAGCCGCTGTGGCTCTCTGTACGGTGCCGTTTTTCCACGTGTACGGGATCGCGTTCTGCCTGAGGGTTTTGGCTGTGGGGGACACGCTGGCGTCGATATCGGGGAGGTTTGATTTGGAGGCGATGATGAGAGCCATCGAGCTGTTCAGAATCACCCACGTCGCCTGGGCCCCGCCGGTGGCTGTTGCCGTGGTAAAGAGCGGGGATGGGAATGAGACGGGCGGCTACGATTTGAGCTCGCTGCAAGTGATCGCCTGCGGCGGTGCTCCGCTTGCGAAGAGTGTCATCGACAAGTTGAAGAAGCGGCTCCCGAACGTTCAACTGGCACAGGTCAGTGTAAAGCTACTGCATGTTCACTATTCAATATGTTGAAAGAGCTTGAAGATTTTAACGACATTGCATATGCTGTCGTGTTTTTGGGGGCCTTGTGGTGGGCTGTGGTTGTGCAGGGATATGGATTAACGGAGACAACGGCCCGAGTGTTTGGGGCAGTGGGCCCAGAAGAAACGCGAGTAGAGGGAGCTAACGGAAAGCTGATGCCCAATATTGAGGCCAAGATTGTTGAGGCTGATTCTGAGACTGGCATTGGGTTGCCTCCTCTGATGCAAGGGGAGATTTGGGTTAGAGGACCATGCATTATGAAAGGTAATGTTGGTTTTTACACAAGCGATATTGAGGGTGAAGGATTTGAGTATTTGCTCTAAATTACTTGAGTTACGAGTCCTTTAAAGTAATATTGCAGTAATGTTGATTTGCTGATGGAGTTTTTTGTCATTTTTAATAATGATAATTTTCTAATCTTTTAATTAATTAAATTACTGTAGGTTACGTTGGTGATGAAGAAGCCACTGCCGCAGCTTTGGACTCGGAAGGATGGTTAAAAACTGGAGACCTTTGTTATATTGATAACGATGGTTATCTATTTTTTGTTGATAGGATAAAGGAATTGATCAAGTACAAAGGCTACCAGGTTTGTCTGCTTTAAACCTTGCAAATCCACCTACTAAACTAAAACTAAACATGTTTTCTGCTTTGCTTGAATGGAGTTATTTATGAAATGCTGAGTGTGTGTTGCTTATATATCTGCATTAGGTTGCCCCGGCAGAGTTGGAGCATCTGCTTCAATCCCATCCAGATATTGTTGATGCAGCTGTGATTCCGTATGTAATTTCTCCCGTCTCATACTGTCAATCAGTTAAGTATTCTTTGAATGTGGCATGGCGGCTGTTTGAGCTTCTTTGTAAAACCATATTTCTGTTGCTGGCAGGTACCCTGATGAAGAAGCAGGTCAAGTACCCATGGCCTTTGTGGTGAGGAGCTCTGGAAGTTTTGTTGACGAATCGCAGGTCAAGGATTTTATTGCCAAACAGGTGACTCAGATATTCGCATGACCTGATCATACCGTACAAGGATGATTTCACCAATTTTGATCACACAATTTTGCATGAAATTATTAGGGCTACTAAAATTTTCTATGTCAATTTTAGGTTGCACCTTATAAGAAAATACGAGGAGTAGCATTCATCAATTCAATACCAAAGAGTGCACAGGGTAAAGTGATGAGGAAGGAATTAATCAAACTTGCATTATCCAAGCTGTAAACTCCAGTTTCTTTCTTCTGGTGTTACATTTAGATTTGTATACTCTAGAATGTTAACATGATTGCTGCAGCACCAAGCAAAGATTGTTCATTATTTCCAAGGTATGTGTGCATACATGCCTATTTATTATTCGGTGCCGTAGCAACATATTATATTAGCCTAATAGAAAAGCTTCATAGTTTCTCAAAATTTTCATTTTATTTGGTAGTTTTCTGTTTTAATCATTGGCTATTACAAGGCAGGATGCTCTCTCTATAATAAAGACTGCAGCTTTATTCACATGTACAGTACTATATTGATCACAGATCTTTTACTACTTGTTTGATAAACAAACTACGACTGCACTCCGACCGAAAAAAAACCTTAGGACTGCACAATATTTCGAATGTTATTAAGATGCTAATACCGACCAAAGCATTGAACCAGCTACAGCCATCAAATAGAAATACTGTTAGGGATTCCGCGGCCAGTTACCCCAGGGCCTGAAGAGGGAAGCAGCAACTCGTATGGCGGAATGCCTGCCCCACTCCTATTTTTAAGATGGCTATCTCTGTTCTTTTTCTCAATGATCTTCTCTATCTCCTTTAGTCTATCAGAGAACCTATTGAACGATTTCAAAATTTCCTGATCATTGATCCAATGGGAGTGCAGAGGGTTCACCTGACCCAAGTACTCTTCATCTGGGGAGTGAGTTGAGAGAGTATCTTGTACAGCCATTACCTTGGTGGCTTGAAGTTTGGTTGCCAAGGAAGACAGGAAAGTTTGCTGTGGGTTAGAAATAAATTTCTCATAATCAGGGTCGTCTTCTTGTGGAATGAGTTTTCTCATAAGGGTAGGACGGTTTGGCACATAACCACCAAACGGGTACTGGCCAAAGTTGATGGCTGCATGTTGACCTGAAGCGACCCAAATCATTGTTGTAAGTATACCGGATAAGTCCTCTTTGGTTTTAAGTTTAGGCCACCATGGCTCGTTCCGCTTGTCATAGTGACCCTTATTCTTGATCTCACTCCACCAGTCTTGGAGCTCAACATCGGACGTGACAGAATTTGGCTCGGAGTAGTAGTGTTCCACATAGGATTCTACCCATTCTTTTATGGCAGACCATATGAGGAGGCCGTCCGCAGCATATGGATAGTCCTCAATAACAAGTCTCACGCCACTAGGAGCTGAAGGATCTTCCACAGCCATGCCTCTGAAAATGTTAACACAAGTATCAACCACTTAGTCAATTTGCTTGCTTGCCAAGGCTGGCAAAAAATTCTGGAAATAAAGACACAGCTACACTGACCCTATGACACTCATCAAAACCTTACCTTCGAATAAGATCGGCTGGTAATGCCTCCATGTCAAACCTCCACATATTCTTGTACGCTGCAGAGCTTACCTCCATGGCGTACTTTCCAGGACTAAAAGAAGCTTCAATTATTCCCCCTCCATTTATTAAACTTTGCCGTGCAAGTGCATTGATCTCTAAAGTGTAGCGCATGTGAGGGTGAAGAAGCTTGTAAATGGGGTGCATTGAGCTAAGCTGTCTATGAGTCGCAATTATATAAGGCTCCATGCAAGCATGAGTCCTCAACCTAGGTAAACACAAATTACCAACAGATTATAAGTGTAAGACATCCTAGTTTAACATGGTCAATAATTGTTTAAACGTGACGTAATGTAAACTTTGCAGATCCATATCCGTTTGTGTTTTACCAGTGATTAACTAGTTGATGGATGCCGGCGTCGTTTGAGCAAACATGAGCTTTGGCCAGCTTCCAAATCCAATGCGTAGTAGCATGATGCCCATGTGTGTAAACATGCTTACTATGGGGGGATGAACTTGTTGGTGGAAGTGAAAGCTCAATAGCTATAGGCCTCATAATACCAGTAGGGGTAAAGAAGAAGACTGTCCTAGAGGCATAAGCTTTTCTCCCCGGCAACGAGTTCATCTTCTCGATAAACGGCATAAATATGTCATGGTAATCAAGTATAAACAGTCTCTTATCCTCAATAGCCTGGTAAGATAAAATGTTCGGTTTAGAGAACTATAAAAAGAAAGGAATACCCTTATTCACTAAACATTTCTCATAATGCATATAGACATTAATACCTTTTCTACACTTATCCCATTGAGTTCCTGCTCTATCAATTCCTTTGTGATAGCAGATTCTGGAGGACCATAAACGGCAGGATCTAGCTTGCTGATAATTGGAAATTCCTGTGAAATATAACCCAAATTAAGGACTTCAAATGGGCATTTCATTTAAAAGTACACAATAATTGACCACAGAATTTGTTTGTATGTTTGTTACCTTCAAAATTTCAATGTTCACTGGATTGACCCCAGCTAAAGTTTGGCGTGCAAACTCATTGTCCCGCAACCAAGCAAATCTATCCCCTGACCACACAAATTAAACAACAGGAGAAAGAAACGATATTAAAGACAAGACAAGGGGAAAATATTTAAGGATAGAAGGAGAAGAAGTGGATTTACTTTTTATAACAGCCGGGATTTCGTATTTTAACCACCTTTCTCCAACTGTGAGAACCTCTTTCACCATGCTGCCCAGAAACAGTATCTTGCCTTCTTTTTGCTCCTCTTCTTTAATGAGGACACCATCATTATATAGGTCATCTATATCAGAGAAGGCCTTGAAAGGGATGTCTGAACTTGACAATGTAGCAGCCAGAGATGGTAGAAGATTGTGAAGCAAAGCTTTCAACCTTCCGGCTGAGAAAGTGTTTTGCTTAATTTCCTCAAAAGTTTCATCCCGAGGCACGTAAACTGGATGGGGCTTTTCAATTCTACTCTCCGAAAGAGGATCTGTTTGAATGCCATGCAAAGCAGAGCAATTAGATGTCAATGCTATAAAGTTAATGTAATATGGAAAATTGGACTGCACCTATATAGTATAGAGAAAGAACATCATACCTGACTTTGTTGGAGGCCTGCCAGTTCTACAGCGCCTAGGATAAGGCCGCTCCTCTCCACCAATGACTGGTCTAGCAAGTTCTTGATCCTTATCAGGATTTCCCAATTCATTGTAAACATCATAGTCATAAATTCTATCATGTTCCTTCCCCCTGCCTTTCCCATTACCCCGGATGCTGAGTAAGTCTTCACGCCGAAGATCTTTAAGGCCTGCCGGCGTTTGTGAAGGCAGAAATGCCTATTTACAAACAACAACATGATAATGTAAGCAAAAAATAATTCATGCAGCATGATAGAATTTAGCGGAAATCAGATAAAGATATATATGCATATGGTTTTCGTACTTGATTTTTGAAGATAATTCTACTTTCAGGATTGTCCTTGCGCGAATGGATCCAAGTGTTTGCTGGGAAGAAAACCGGGCCTCCATCAAAACCATGAATGACAATCTCCAACAAGTAGAACTCTTTGCCCTGAAGATTGGTAATAAGAATTGCTCCAGGAGACCCAAAGTCAGATGGGACTGTGAAATCGGCAGCATATTCAACAATGTGTGCGTAGTCCGAAGGCAATGGCCTCGGCAGCCACCCTCTCACAGCAGATTGGACACTCTTTCCTGAATTGGTAACTGTGAGAACAAACAACAAAGATTAATTACCACAGGGCCTCAGATTTGGAAATACAATGCCAAAACAGAGCACGTATGAAAGAGACAATCTAGCACAAACATCTTGCACACTCATCCACCCATGAAACCAAAAACTAAAAACCAAAAAGAAGCACAATCATACAAAATTATTGCTTACCCAGAAAAGAATATATAAAGTGAACTACAAAGAAGCACAAAAGTTAAAGCCTTTTAATAAGTAAAATTAAGAAACTAACTAACCAGGATCAACTTGATCACTGATGAGCTGAATCATAATCCCCTGTCCAATCCCATTAACAAAGAACTCCCACTGATCCTCAATCTTCTCTGTGATCTTCTCCTTCATCTTCTTCCTGATGGTCACCACTGCCTTCACTTGGATCCCTTCAGAAGAAGAAGGAACCAAGGACCCAGTAACGTCTTTGCTCTGCACTGGGGTTGAAGCCTCCACAGCTTTGTCTCCACCACTGATCACGGCTCTGACTGATCCATGTCCATTGACCCTTGACCCGGAACCGAGTACACTGGCCTTTCGGACCTTGATGTAGGTCCCGGAACCGGTAACCCGCCGGTCAACGGCGACGTTTGACTTGAGAGAAGCAGTGGTGGGCTGTTTCACTGCATACATTTCTCTCTCTAACAACTTTTCACTCACAGATGATGAAGTTCAATACTTTTTGAAAAGGAAAAGTGACGAGAGGAAGATATATAAGTAAACTTAGTGTCGGTTAAACGACGGCGTTTCTGCTTTTTCTGGCGGTTGCTCTTGATGCTTTAAAGAAGAACATATCTGTCTCAGATTTTTCTGAGTGGCCACTCACTAAAAGAATGGGACTTTCTGAGCTTTCATTTCATCAGTCTTCCACACCATCATCTGGTTTTTTTCTTTCCTTTTTTTCTCTTTGTTGATGGCAACAATGGACACTCTCAGTTGATGGCGCGTGATGTCAAGCTCCAATTATAAAGAAGGGTTAGGGATATATTATGGCGTTGCTGGTTTACTCTCTCTCTCTCACCTTGTGGGGAGGAGAGAGAGGGAAACTGCGATTAACTTCAGCTAATCATCCGAATGAATAAGCATGGAAAATGCGATGACAAAATTTCTCTAAAAATATAGTGGGAAAGCTACGTGAAGTTGCCACGTGGCACATTGGTTTGATTAGAATTATGCTTACTTGGACTTTGATTATTACTTGTCACCTAACCGTTCACTTGATTTGACCCCCTTGGGCAAATTAATTTATGCCGTACAGACATATTTAGAGAAGTTGATTGGAGTGTATGTACTCTCCACTATGTACTCGGGTTTGAATTTCCTTCTCCGTAATTCAGAGATTAAAGTAGAATATATGGATTTACCTACTCTTTTTTATTTTTTGTGTGTATCAGAATATGGGTTTCTGAATTAATTGCCAAGAGGTTGGATCTGAGATATCACAGCAAATTATATACAAATTTATAAATAAACCCAATCCTAGACATGTATTTATAAAAAAACCCAAGCACTATTTAAACATAGAAACACACCCAAAATCAACCCCAAAGTCAACTTTTTGGGTGTGTTTATAAATGGGTTTTGAGTGTGTGTAATGATGGGTTTTGGGTGTGTTTATAAAGTGTTTTGGGTGTTGGGTTTTTTTATAATTTCAACCTCCATTTTGGGTGTTTTAGTGAAACTCCCCAAATTATATCTCATTTTGTCTTAAATTTGATTTGGTGAGCTCCTTATTTCATTATGTCATCCAAAAAAGTTAATCAGTGTCATCCAAAAACGTTCATAAAACTCGTGGTATTTCTTTTTATAATATTAAAAAATGTATGTAATGTGTGAATCCGCATATAAAATTTTCAACTTTAAGTTCAGTTAGTTGGAATGGATCGAAACAATGAATAAAATGAAGAAGAAAAAGAACATCCAATTAAATATAATATAGGTAATCTTACTTAGGTGACAGCATTGTTTAGTTTAATATTCCACAGTTGTCATGTGCGTGATACATTAATAATAATACTAATAATATAAAATAAACAACAACATGCATTTAGCTTATCAACGACCACAAATCTGTGGTGGTGATCTTCTTTGTAAACAAAATAACAATAATAATCAACCTACGATCTTCTGGTTCACATGTTTATTTTATAAGTTCGAGAAGAGAGATCTTATCAACGACCATAAGATAACCAGACAAAAACTACATTTTCATTATCTAATTTGATAACATATTTTATTTTTGAAAAGACAAAAAATAATAATAAAAAACATTTACTTGCGTGCATAACATATACTAATATCATGTGTATCACGGCCCTCACCAACTGGCCAACATTAATTCTTCTTCATGCCAAATTCCCAAGGGGGAGGGTCAATTTTGTTTAGCTCAAAATTCCCTTGTTTAAAAAATTAAAAAATTTTATTTGAACACTTCACATGTGAAAGAAGGCAGAGAACTCAAGTACCCACTTGCATATGATTAGCTATTTTCTTAGGGTCAACCAAATATACGCACTCAGATTCTCAGAAGATCACATGCAGGATCCATACATCTGTCAAAGTCAGGAAGGTTCTGTTTTACACAATATGGAAGGACCAGTGTTTATGTGAGTTTTATTGGACTTGTGTTATAAATTTAATGTACAAGTGGTAGAGGTTCGAATGAACTATGAAGGAGGAGCCTAAAACATGAAGTAGTTCCGAGATAGGGGTACTGTGGTGGCTGGACTGCAGGTAAGAACCTGGCCATCTGCTGTCACCCTGTATGTCTCTGGATCAACCTCTATCTTTGGCAGCGCGTCATTGAGCTTCATGTCCAGTTTGTTGAGTTTCCTAACGTTGCCCACGGCTGCGACTGTCTTGTCAAGGCCATACAAGTCCTTAACGCGATTATCTATAGCTGCCTGCTTGCACAGGAAAAAAAAGTATGCTTATGAATCTCATATGAAAAAGTGTGTGCGTGTGAGAGAGAGAGAGAGAGAGAGAGAGAGATTCATGCCTTGCTGACAAAAGCAATGGAGTTAGCACTACCAGCCTTGCCAAATGCACCAAACATAGGCCTCGCTATGACCTGCTTAGACATAAGGTTTTATAAAGTAATCAAAACAAAAATCTCCCAAATTATCCTCCACCAGCAAAAAATATCTAATCCAATCTAAGCTTCTTTCCAACCCTACTCAATATAAATCTCTAATCATGTAAAGATATACAGTTCAGCTTTTGCATGGTTGTTTGCCCATGTGAGCACCAGCACTACAAGTTTAAAATTATCATGACAAGGCAGATTGAGATCTGAGCAGGATGACAAGATTCTGAAATTTGCATCTCTAATCAATAGGTAATATGAGAAAATAAGAATGCTGGGTATAGAAATGCATCCTTACATAAGAATCATTGTAAAATATAAACTTTACCGGTTCAGGTGTGGGGATGCTTGCGTTTGGATCACCCATATTAGCCCATGCAATAGCACCACCTTTGACCACCATTTCTGGTTTTGCGCCAAAGAAAGATGGCTTCCATAGAACAAGATCAGCCAACTTCCCCACCTACAGAAATATATGAAGTTCATGAGAAAAACTGAGAATTCCACCATCTTAGAGGCAATAATAGTGTTTATGGAATCCACCAAATGCAAGTAACCATGTATGATGCATACACATCTGAAGATGTAATTTTTTATCCACAAGAAATATATTAAAAGTTGCAGCTCAACTCGTTAACTTATATTTATTTGTCTTATTAAGTGTTCTGTTAAGAGAGGATGAAAGGCCAAAAAAGCTTGAAGTGAATGATTTTGGTTTTCTGTTAAAAGTGGCATACCTCAACTGAGCCAACATATTGAGAAAATCCATTAACTATTGCTGGATTTATTGTATATTTTGCAATGTATCGCTTGATCCGAAAGTTGTCATTTTCAGATCCCCTAGGTTCTATCGACCCTCTTTGTGACTTCATCTTGTCAGCAGTTTGCCAAGTTCTGCTTATCACCTGTAAAGAAAGGTTTTTACACAATCTAGGCCTTACATATGTCTGTGTGCAATGAATAGATAAAAGGGTACAAATAAGACGCTGGAAACACAGGCTTTTAAGTGAAGACATGAAAATGAAAATCCATGGATTGGTAAAGAGTGACAATGATGAAGCTTCTATAGTTCATTTCAATAAAGGCTTTTTTTTTTTGGTTACAATTTCAACAAAGGCATTACAAAACAGACATATGAAGACAGGCATCTCAGTTTAGAAATTAAGAACCTCTCCAATCCGACCCATAGCCTGTGAATCAGAAGATATAATGCTAATTGCCCCCATATCATGCAAAATATCTTCTGCAGCAATTGTTTCAGCCCTTATTCTTGATTCAGCAAAAGCAACATCTTCTGGAATGTTCTTGTCCAGGTGATGGCAAACCATCTGTATTTATTGGAAATTTGAAAAACACAGACTAAACAACTTTAGTGCATGCTGTATCAATACTTCCATTAGATTCTCATACCAGCATATCAAGATGCTCATCTATAGTATTGGAAGTGAAAGGCCGTGTGGGGTTCGTTGATGAGGGCAGGACATTCTTAACACCACACACTTTGATGATATCTGGAGCATGGCCTCCACCTGCACCTTCCCACAAAAAAAAAAAAAAAAAAAAAAAAAAAAAAAAAAAAAAAAAAAAAAAAAATCCCCAAACACAAAAAAAAACAAAATTATGAGAAAAGGAATAAAGGAAGAAAGAGGAAAGGGAAAAGTAACAAAAACAGGCGTGCATGCCAAAGATACTCATAATCAGTGGAAGGTGCAAACTTATCAACTAGATTCAGAATATGATTTATACCTGTGGTAAGTATGGATAGTTCTTTCTTTAAAAGCACAAATTGTATCTTCCACAAATCCAGATTCATTCAAGGTGTCTGTATGGATATTAACCTATCAAGATCACAATTGATATTTGAAGATGTGAAACTCATAAGACATTCCCGCAGGCAATAGCCTATAACACTTTAAAAACATTAAAGTACCTGGATGTCATATTGATCTCCCACGGTCAAACAATTGTCTATCACAGCAGGCGTAGTTCCCCAGTCCTCATGCAGTTTCAGTCCCATTGCCCCAGCCCTTACTATATCATGTAGTCCATCAGGTTTCGAACTGTTCCCCTAAAGTAAACCAAGAGTATTAAAGAAAAAAGGAAACAGTTTTAGCCATCACTTCATATTTTGTAGAATGACAGTAACAGGCTGATCCTTGAATGTGGGCATAGGGTAGGGACGAAAGGATACCTTCCCCGTAAAGCCAAAATTTAAAGGTAGGTCATCAGTTGCTTGCAGCATTAACTTCATTTGTGACGGAGCTGGTGTACAAGTTGTTGCACGAGTCCCAGTAGCAGGTCCTGTTCCACCTCCGACTAAGGTTGTGACACCTACATATTTCGAAAAAGTTTTGGAAAATGGATTCTTTAAATGCTTGTTCATCTAAAATTTTGCACTATCTTGTCAGCGAGAACTTCAGATATCACAAAGTTCATCAGGGCATATCAAGCACACATAGAGGATAAAAAGTATGCAAAATAAATCAACCAGCAAGTTAAATATACCGTTCAGATTCTTAAAATATTATGTAGCATACTTTGAGTTAATAGAGGAAAATCTTCAGAGAAAAAAGTGAAAATGTGTTTATTATTTCAGAAGGACAGCTTGCTTGGTTTCATATGCAAAATGCTAGAACCATGTTGTGCACACATGAGCATAACAGACTGATTAAGCATCTCTTAAGTTCTAACATCAATAATGTTCAACACTAGCAACACTGATGAATGCGTTTCACTGTTGAGAATATCTCACATCAGAGATGGAAGTCTTGCATTAATAGCTTAAAAGATCTTGGGCCTCTCCACCTATTGCCAATTGGTTTTGGGTTGAATGCTCAAATTCTAATATTCACTACTCATCAAAGTCTGTCATTAAATGTATCACAAGCACTTTCCAGCATAAGTGTTCCATTAAAGTAGCTCACCACTCGATATTGCTTCATAAGCTAATTGAGGGCATATGAAGTGCACGTGACAGTCTATGGCGCCTGCAGTCACAATCATTCCTTCCCCAGCAATGACCTCAGTGTTAACCTAAGTAATAAAGAAGAAGGTGCAAAGCATTATTGACTTCCTGATCAGTTTTCTTCCCAAACTTCTGTAATATGAGATGATATTTACCCCAATGGTCATATGTACACCATCCTTAACATCTGGATTGCCTGATTTTCCAATGGCAAATATATTGCCCTCTTTGATACCAATATCTGCCTTAAAGATCCCGCTATAATCAATGATCACAGCATTGGTTATAACAGTATCCAACGAATTGGCTGGTTGGTTCCCAGATGACTGGCCCATTCCGTCTCTGATAACTTTACCACCTCCAAATACAGATTCATCCCCATAAACAGTAAAGTCCTTTTCAATTTCAGCAAACAAGTTGGTATCACCAAGCCGAATTTTGTCACCAGTAGTAGGGCCATACATGTTTGCATATGCCTCACGAGGAATTACCGTGGTGAAAGCTAGATCTCTTCCTGCAACACCTTCACTGCAAAATTAGTACCGAGGTAAGGCATCTCCAACTTTTCCTTCATCATCTTAGTGGACTAGCTAACTACCATGCAATACTATTGATCTAACAAAATAGAAGCAAATAGGCAAGAAAACATTTCTCAGGTAGAAAGCCAGACCTAGCTTTTGGTTCTTCCTCATTTCGAATTTTTCTTGCTTCTAAAGCTTCCAGGACTGCCTTTCGTTTGCCATCATCTACTGGATCATCCACAATGCCATTTCCTCCTCTGATTACTCTATTACCTCCAATACTTACAAGTGTGACATGCTTACTCTCCCCTGGCTGGCACAGCAAAACAAGCACCAGTAACGTACTTAGAATGCATAGAGCAGATTCAGTAAAACCTGAACATGTGCTAGCCCACTGAAAAGGAGCCCATAAGAAAAAAGAAAAGAAAAGAAGATTGCTACTCTACCAACATTCAACAAAAATTTTGAATCTAAGTAGCTTAGTAGCACCAATGACTTCAAACCACAGCTGGATACCATCAAAACAAGTTGCTTCAACATGCATCAATATGAAACCAAATCATAGAAATAAAAGATGATGAAGGATGACATGCCATCCTTGTTAGACTATCATTAGAAAAATATATGATAGGCAGAATATATATGTAATTGAGATGAAGTAAACAACTTTTTTAATTACTTAACATTAAAAAATTAAGAAACATATTTAACAATAAAAAACAAAACAAATGTTAACCTCAAATCTCTTGGCTGTTCCAGCTGGTATATTCAGGCGCATGCCATATGATTTCATTCGATCAAAAATCAGGGCGCGGTTGACCTCAATGAAGTGATAGTGACTGCCAACCTGAAAAAAAATTAATCATAAATCGGTTGTTTACACACGCTCTAGACCAGACCCAAGAACTCTACTGACCTAAAGTAAATGAGATGTTGATTAGTTCAAATGAAGGAAAACCTTTGATACCCTTCACTAATGAAATGCTAATAGTTTGACTACAGTGCACATGACTTAAGCTACTAGAAACCAATTAAAACGGAGTATGATTACAGAAAGGGTTTCACTATTTCAAAATACTCAACCGAGCTACAGAAGACTGATTTCTGCTGTGCTCTTACCAGTAATATACTTCTGTTAGGCAATCAAAAAGTTATACAAAGTACAGTATAAATATTCTATAGTTTACCACTATAAATTTTAGACACATATCAAGTTCAAAAGGTTTGTCATTAGAATCCTGAAGTTGAAAGAGGAACATGACAAGTACTTGATGATTAAATATATAGACAACAACCACTGACTGAAGAAATTTGGATATACGTAAATAGCCTCAACTGTATGGCCCAAAAAAAGGAAAAGAAAGTGCATCTAAACTAAATGAGAAATGATAAGTTAAAGATAAACACCTGAACTGGCCTGTCTCCTGTGTTAACAACTTTGAGGACTATTGCTTTCCTTCCATGATTAAGCACAATGGCACCGCCTCCAAAGATAACTTCACCCGGAATTTTGTTATCTTCCATTTCAGGAAACGTGTCTAGTGAGGGAACTGCAGAAAATTCTTGTTTCATCAATGCCCATTTGATACTAAGTAAAGCCAATAGGTCCTAAAAGACTGCAATTTGAAACTTGCAATATAGCATCACCCTTACCAGGAAGAAAAGAATCCTTTAAAGCTAGTTCCAGATTTCCATTATCACTAGAAATTGGATCATGAATGGTAATTAACTTAGTCCCATCAGGAAAGGTCCCTTCAACCTACATTTAAATCTTACTTATTAAAAATAATTTTAGGCAGCATGTCGTGTTAGGGTACAAGACAATAAGTATGAAATTTTGCAACTTTCAGCCGCAAGTAGTATGTTTCAGGCTTCTCAAAGCAACAAAGATGCAGTAAATTTGTTTCCCCAAATGGTGTACATACAACTGAATACATAGACACTATGACTACCGCACAAATGGCCGGAAAAGCAAACCGGAAGTGATAAAGATCCAGTTGTAAGGAGAGCAAATGCAAACAAACGAGCTAGAACTGGTAAATGTTGAACATTAAAGAACATAATACCTGCACCATATCCAAAAGATGTTGAACACCAGGAAGAACTTGCTTCCTGTTTGAAAAAAAAAGAAAGATGTAGAGATCAATCTTGAGCAACCACACATAAATTTCAAGGTACATGATATTTAACAATCTACACAATCCAGAATGAAGATCCACATGTATATAAAATAGAGCAAATTGATAAGATTTCACTGTTCACACCATTACCTTCCCAGGAGCTGTCTCCCAATGTCCATCAAGTCTGCCACAGATTTGTCACCATCACGAACAAACTCCAAAACCTACCAAAGCATAAACATATTAGACAAAAAAAAGTTTCCTTTACAAAACCCATTACCAATCTATGATCAAATTTGAAAATTTGAACCAAAGATCAAATTTTGGAGCAAAGTGTGGAAAACACAAAGCAGCACACACCTGTGTGGCTATGAGTGCTGCAGCTTCTGGGTGGTTGAGCCTCAAACCACGAGCAAGACGCTTCTGTGCTAGATATCCAGCATTATGCAGACTCAATTTCTCAGCTTCTCTTGGAACCACCTTCATTTTTTCCACTCCTTGTCCTTGCTTTCAAGTTAATGCCTACAGCTGACAAAGAAATGGTTTCACTTTTATGCAAACATCTTATCTTTTTGGCTGTGAAATTGAAGAAACAGAGATGATAAGTTCAACATACAGAATTATTAAACTGCTGACAGAGATGACATAACTTCTGACTTATCAACGGATACGAAGATGGTGTGACTTTGTCTGTCCGATGATACTCAGACACAGCTGGGTCCCCGAGAATACCAAGCGAAGCCAATGTCTGAAATTGGGCACCTAATTATTAATTTTGTTTTATTCGAATTTTCACAGAGTAAAAATGGAGTTGTTATTTATCGATGTGTTGTGTCCTCAGTGTTGCAGGTGGCCATATATAGCTAAGCTATTTTTTTATTTTTAATCACTCAAGCTAGGCCTGATCTGAAGATAATATTCCAACTACAACAAACAAAAGCCCAGGACAGAAATTTTGGATCTCCTTATTAAACTATTACAAGCCCTGCCAATGAGAACCAATTTTTATGCTAAGCTCAACCACCACAGCTGTTTCTTCATGTGTTATGGTGTTGTTAATAATACAAACTATGAGGTAGAGTTGCACTTATAACTTAGTAATATTTTTGTTGCCTGATAATAAGTGAGTAAAATACTATACATGTATGTTGATCAAATCTCCGTGATATATAAATTTGATGCATGTTGATCGTATCTCTATCTTATATAAATTTAACGTGACTTCAACCGTTAAAAGAGAAATGTGATCAACAATGTAGATACACAAATAGTTTTAAAGTTTAATAAAACTAAGCACCACCACAAAGATATTGCAATAACCAAAGAACCAAGTCACCAATCATTCAATGTATCAGTGCTTTTGCTTTGATCACGGTTTGAGGACCAAGCAATAATTTGCTAGTGTAAATGTGCAATCTGGAAACTGAGGGGAAACTTTGTATCCAATATTGAACTCGAAAGTATGTTGAAGCCTCTCCCAACTCCACCAAGGTTCCCGCTATGGTGTTTGCTAGGAGTTCAACGATTTGTACAACATTTCTGTCTGGTAGGGCCCGCTTTACCAGAGAATTGGGTTATTTTTGGCGAAACAAGAAAGTATTTTGCAGTCCCGAGCTTGGATGTAAGAATCAAATTCAATGTTTTGTCCCACATCGACCAGAGGAAGGACGGGAGGTGACCAAGCGTGTTATATATTAGGCCATCAAATTAGATTGGAACTCACGGAGCCACGCGGTGAGCACAGAGCGAACTATTCTTTCGCCTTTTACTAAAGAATACCGTGTGCTCGCCGCTTTTAGTGGCATACGCTTATTTTTGGAGGACACTCCTCTGTTGGAGGAGAGTCCTAACAATTCTAGTTCCCTAAGTTTCTCATAATTTTTGACTGATGTCCAGTTTCATAATTAGTTAAATGGGTTGACTCTGTCAAAGTTGTGACCTTTACCGTAACAATGATAATCGAAAGCGAGAAAGGAAAATGGGGAAATTTCCATTTTCCAAGCTCTTTAATTGTCTAATTATTAAACAACAAATGGAAAAAGAAATTTGTCTAATTATAAGGCCTTCTCCAACTCATGGGGGCTAAACTCAAGTTTTTCTTCTTCAAAAAGTGACTATTTAGGTTTTGCCCGGACTCAAATTGTTTTTTCTCCCAACCCTCCAGACTCAAATTTTAAGTCCGCAACTTTATTAAATAGTTTAAGTCTAATTTTTTTTTTCGTAAAACTTTTCTTCATTTAATCTTTTTAAATAACATCATAATTTAATTTTTGAACAATTTGACCTAAAAAAAATTGAAATTCCATAAATTTAATTTTATTCCAAAAGTAAATGCACAACATAATTGAAACACAATTTAAAGTTACTATTAGAATTTTTTTAAAAAAAAGAAAAGAGAATATTTGAATTGCAACGCAACTGTGAGCTAGAATCAAGCCAGCCTGTGAGCCCAGTCTCTTTTTAGAGATACTATTAGATTATAAAAAATAAAAAAAGGAGAATCAAATTGCAACAACTCTTTCATCTAGTGCCGACACGTGGCATGGGCAATAGACAAATACACCAGAGCTGGTCCCAGTGTTTTTCTCATGCATATGGACTGTGCCACCTCAACATGGACTCCACTAAATAGTTTTGGGTTTGGGCAATAAATGGACTGATATTTGGGTCCAAATTTGGGTCCTTCATTTTCTTGGGTTGGGAGAGGTTTTGAGGGATATTTTGGGTTTAAGTCATTGGGTTGGAGATAGCCTAAGAGAGCCTTTTTAAACCTTAAGAGCATTTTCAGCAGAGTTAGCAACTCTGGTTACCCATTTTGGCATCTCCAGCAATACCCATTTTGGTGAGAAAAACGAAATTTTTTAACTCCAACAGACTCCCTACTTGTCTCTCTATTTTGGAAAACCTAATTTTGGCTTGCTACATCTAGTAAGAGAGAAATTGAGCCTCTCCAAACTGGAAGCTGTGCAAGAGAGGAGGAGAGAGAGACCTTTGGGAGGTCGGTGGGGGATGATTTTAAAATAATAAAATATTTAAGATTAGTCAAAATAGAGAACATTATTGGAGGAAACACTTTTATAGTAGTTTGCTATAATGGCTTTTTAGCTATTTTAGCAAGAATTTGACTAAAATTTGGACTAGCAGTTGGAAAGAATCTGCAGAGATGGGACATAGAAGTTAGAAACCAAAAATAAATAGAGTTGAGGAATATAATGAGATTCAAGTTAAAGCAAAGAGGACATGTTGGTTCAAACGCACAAAAAAGAAAATTCATGAAAAATTTCAGAAGTAACGTAGTAGAGCATCTCCAGCAGAGCTGCTATATTCTGTTTCTTAGCCATTTTGGCTAGAATGAGGGAAAAACACAGCTTCATAAAACTCTCTCTATTTTGGAGAACTCCCTATTTGAGAGAAATCAAAAGTCTTCCTCTTTTAACTAAAATTTAGAAACTCTCAGAGATGCTCTTAGCAACAAGTTGTCAAGTGGAAAATTTTAGGGTTTACTTTTAACATCCTAAGGATTTTGAACTGAAATTAGAGGGTGCGCCAGGCCAATGCAGTAGTGCAACGCAAAGGCGACGCGCGAAGACCCCAATAGCAAGCTACTGTGATGGGCCCTCCCCTTAAAGAAATTAATTTAATATCGTGTGAGCCGATGGCCCACGTATCAGATATTAAACTGATAAGAACAGATACTACACTTGATCTTAGCCAAAAGGCCGAGAAAGGTATGATTTGTTCAGCAACTCGTTTTCGTTTTTATAAGGCATGTCAAGCTTCCCTGTTTTATGATGCTAGCGATGTGGGACAAAAATACGCAAGATATGATACATTCTCTTTTCCCTGCGATCATTATTGGCATCCACACTCTCGTTCCATAAATTTCAAAAGTTAATGATCTCTCTGGTGAGTTGTGAGCATAATTATCAAATTAGGTGATCCATCAATTTTAAATCCATGCTTCTTTTCCTATATGAGACTTGTTAATCAAGATTATATATTCTGCCCATTAATCTACTTAATCAATGACGTTGATTGATGGTTAGCCTAACAAGAGTATAATTGTCCCCTTCTTCATGCTATAACCTCTCGATACTGAAATTAAAAGTAGGAGAAATGACGAGATAATAGATAAAACGATGAGCTTAATCATACACGCGGCCCAACAGTGCTAACAAATCCTTCTCATTTGAGGAATTTTTGGTATTGTTAGTATATACAAGTGTATGTCAACAGCCAGCATGCTCAAAATAGGCCACGCTGGGAGATTATAACAAAATACAAATACTCCTTGGAGGCAAAAGTAACGAAAGATCCGCCATTGAGAGGTCATCTAAGCTGCAAGATCGAAGAAGAAAAAATTGAAAATACAGTAGGTCGGTGTGCTGGGCATGCCTTCCAAAAGTCCTTGATTGCAACTACGGTAGTATGGATGAGGCTGGCAATGATATGATATTAATTTGGGAGTTAGGGAGTCGGTAGCCTTAGCTTGGTTTCAGGGTGGGGGATTTGGTTAGAAAAGGGTTCCGTAGTTACCAGTTGTAGCTCAAACCAGCTTTCTTTCTTTTGGTGTTAATACTCAATACCCCCACTATTTCATCAAATACAACTGGTGAATAAGCTCATTTCTTTCCTTTACGAGCAAGAAATCGTTCCCTAGCTGCTTGTATTTTACTTTCGTGATCATCAGGAACTGCTGCAACAACATTCTCTGTCTTTGGCAAATCAGACATATTTTCCTCTGTGTGCTCTTCAATATGACCAATCCCACCACTGCATATAAGGAAAAAGGTTAAGGCTCAGGAATGCAACTTTGAATTAGCAACAAAATCATTTTCTAGTTAGAATTGTGTTCCATGAAAACTGGCTTACCTCAGCTTGTTGATATTTATTTTATTGACTTTGTCCAAAATGGGTGTGACCCAAGCAATATTTACAGCACATACAGTACGCAAGTATGGGCGGGAAGTGGCAATGAGTTCTTGGTACACAACATAGTCTGGCAATTTTCCTTCATCATCGGGTTTTAGCACACTGGATGGATGCACCTAAAATAAGAGGTAATACAAATATAAGTGTCAGTTCTAGACTTAGGGTCCAAAAACTCACTCAAAGCTTTGACTAAATGCCCTAAGATACACCTATCCGCAATCACTTTCCTACTCAAGGTTCATACCTGTACTACTTGGGGCTTAAAACCTAAGGTTCGATACCCATTGTGATAAACCATTCTCTCAGCGAGCTGATTTGCATATCCCACACACAAGGCCCTCCTCAAGTTGTGATAATCCTGTTGGCTTTCTTTCCATCTTCTGCTTGTCTGTACATCTAATGGTCCTGTTTTCCAGATATGCAATGTCTTATCAATAGAGTGAAGGCAAACAACATCACGAGAGCATAGCAAGAAGAATATTCAGGTGGTAGGTAAACAGTAACAATAAAGACCACAGACCACTGCAAGACAAAAACCTCTAGACTATAAATAA